TTGAATTTCTTCAAAGAATTTAATTATTTATGAAAATAATTGAAATTCTTTTAGAGAAATTAAATTTAAATTTTATTGAAATTAATTGAATTATTTCGAGGAATTTTATTAAAAACTGTATTTTATAAAAAATAATTGAATTCTTGCTTGGAAAAATTTTATTGTTTATGGTAATTATTCGAAAATTGAAAAACTGATAATTGAAATGAAAGAATTAAAAATGGATATTTAATAATTGAAATTTAAAAATAGAATTTGATAATTGTAATTAAAAAATTGAATATCGCTCATAACATTTACTATACGATATTTATTTATAGAAAAATAAATATATATTTTTTTTTCCTATATAATTTTTTTAAATCCTTTCGCAAAATAACCATTCGCCAGTAAATTATAAGTTACGGAGGGATTTAATTCTTTTATGAATATTCATGAGGAGATCAAATTTTTGTTTTCTGAGGATCTCTCATGAAAGTTGGAAATTAGGTTACAAAACCGAGTTTTCTGCATATATATACATTAATGCCTTCGTTTTGCGAAACTTGCGTTCCTAGAGTTCTTTTTTTTATTTTTTTATTATTATAAACTTTTATTAATATTTAATTCATTATTTATTAATAATAACTAATTTGTATTTTATAATAAAATTAAAATTAATAATAATAATATAATTTAATAATAAAAATAAGAATAAAAAATAATAATAATAATAAGAATAATAATAATAATAATAATAATAATAATAATAATAATAAAAATAATAATAAAAATAATAAGAATAAAAAAATAATAATAATAAGAATAATAATAAAAATAATAATATAAAATAAATAATAAGAATAAGAATAATAATAGTGATTATTATATTATTTTACATAGTGTGATAGTTTGGTCGTGAGGTCTAAGGCACCAAGTTTAATACGGATTAGGGTTCGAATCCCGGTCGATGTATTTTATTTTCTAATATTTTTCCTTTCATTTTCAAAAGAAAAGAAGGAGAAAAAGAAAGAAAAGAGAGAAGGAGAAAAAGAGAGAAAGAGAAAAAGGGAGAAAATGAAAAAAGAAAGAATAAGAAAGAAAGAGGAGGAGAAGAAGAGAGAAAATTAAAAAAAGAGAATAATAAAGAAGGAAAAAAAGAAGAAGAAGAAAAAATAGAGAAGGAACAAAAGAGAGAATAAGAAAGAAGGAAAAAAAGAAGAAGAAAAAAAATAGAGAAGGAACGAAAAAGAGAATAAGAAAGAAGGAAAAAAAGAAGAAGAAAAAAATAGAGAAGGAACAAAAGAGAGAATAAGAAATAAAGGGGGGAAAAAAGAAAAAAATTGAGAAGAAGAGAAAAAAGAGAATAAGAAAGAAAGAGAGAAAAAGAAGAGAAAAAAAGAAGAAATAAAAGGAGAATAAGACAGAAAGAGAAAAATGGAAAAAAAAGAAAAAATAGAGAAGAAGGGAATAAAAGAGAAAGAAGGAGAAGAAGAGAGAAAATGAAAGAAAGAGAGAAGAAGAAATTAAAGAGAAAAAAACAGAAGATAAGAGAAAAAATAGAGAATGAGAATAAAAGAGAAGAAAAAAATAGAGGAGAAAAAAAAGAAAAAAATAGAGAAGAAAAAATGGAGAAAGAGAGAGAGAAAGAATAGAAAAGAGCGAGAAACCTGGGGAGAAAAGGAAATTAAGGAGGCCAAGTTAATCGAGATTAGAAGCTTCCGCACCTCGATCGCCGACACGGAAAGAAAACTTTACACACAAATTCTCATACAATATATATAAGTGCATGTATGAGTTTGTTATTTTCATGAAGAGCTTTCTCTCTCTCTCTCTCAGGTTCGAAAAATAACTATATGTATATTGGGGCAAAGGGTGTGCCAAAGGTGCTATAATACACTCTTGCCTCTCTTTCTCTCTTCGCCAATCGAATACTATATGCACACCAACCACCCTTGTAACCTGCATTGCATCACAGTGTGAATCGAGCCACCGGCCAGAACTCATATATTCATCTCGAAAAACAAATTTCATAATCAAAAATTTATTTTCAAAAACGGAAAAAATACGAGCGTTTAAAAAAAAAATTTTTACCGTTTTTTTAGACTGGGAAAAAAATTAATAAAAATAAAAACAAGAAAATAGTACAAAAAAAAATAATAAAAAAAACAATAATAAAAAAAATAATAATAAAAAGTAATAATAATAATAAAAAATAATAAGAAAAACAATAATAAAAAAATAATAATAAAAAGTAATAATAATAATAAAAAATAATAAAAAAAACAATAATAAAAGAAAATAATAATAAAAAAAAATAATAATAATAATAAAAAAAATAATAATAATAAAAATAATAATAATAATAAAAAATAATAACAAAAATAATAATAAAAATAATAATAATAATAAAAATAATAATAATAAAAGAAAAAAAATAATAGTTAATAAAACAGTAATAATAAAATAATAATAATAATCATACAAGACAAAATAATTGTAAATAAAGAAACAATAGTAAAATATTTCTATTGAAAGAAGTGAGCGTTCGTCTCGTAGTCCGTGGGTCGTGGGTTCGAATCCCCGCGTGCGTTATATTTTATTTACTTTCGTAGCTTTGCGTTTATTTCAAGTTTTCTGTATTTTTGAATGTTTAAATATTAATATTAAGTTTAATAATATAAAAGAAGAAAAACAATAATAATAATAATAATAGTGCAAAAAAAAACAATAAGAGTCAAAAAAAATAATAGTATAGAAAATTATAATAATAAAATTACAAAATAAAATAATAAATAAATAATAGTAAAAAAATTACAATAAAAAGGAAAGCAAATAATAGTAATAAAAATGTAAAAGTAAATAAATTATAATAATAACAAGAAGAAAAAGAAAAATAATAATAGGAAAAATAAAAAAAGCAAATAAAATTCAGATAGTAGGAATAAAAATTGCAAATAAAATACAGAAAGTTAATAAAGTAAAAAACAAGTAAGAATAAAAATAGTAAAAATACAAATAGTAATAAAAATAAAACTATAAAATAAAAATAGTAAATAAATTAAAAACCGTAAAAATAAAAATAGTAAAAATAAAAATAGTAAAAAAATAAAAGCAGTAAAAATAAAAAAAGCAAATAAAATACAGAAAATAAAAATAAAACTATGTAAAATAAAAATAGTAAAAATAAAAATAAAAATAGTAAATAAAATAAAAATAAATCTAAAAATAAAAATAGCAAATAAAATACAGAAAATAAATAAAATAAAATAGTATTAAAAATAAAACTGTGTAAAATAAAAATAGTAAATAAAATAAAAACAGTAAGAATAAAAATAGTAAAAATAAAAAAGCAAATAAAATATACAAAAAGTAAATAAAATACAAATAGTAATAAAGCAAAACAAATAATAGTAATAAAAAAATAAAATAGTAATGAAGAAAAACAGATAATAGTAATAAAAAATAATAATAATAATAATAATAATTAAAAAATATAAGTAAATAAATAGAGAGAAAATTTGAAATAAATTAAAATGAATATAAATCCTCATAATGCTAAATAAATAGAAATTAATAGAAACTCCGTCTGCGTACGAAATGAAAAAAAAAGTTAATATGTCTTTGTCTTTGTACTAGAGAAATAAAAATTAATTAAAATCCCGCCTCTGTTCTAAATAAATAAAAATTTAATATAATATACGCTAAATAATGAAATAAAAATAAATATGAGAATAATTATAAAAATGAAGAAATTTTATGTGAAAAATAATTATTATTAATATTATTTTTCTTAAGGAGATTTATGTAATTAATTATTAGAAAGAGAAAATGAAACAATGCGAAAATTAATAAAAGTGTGAAGAAATAAATTTTGATGGTGAATTGTTAATTTTTTTTTTTTTTGCATTAGAATTTTTTTTTTTCGTTTTTGATGGCGGAGAGTTCCATTAGTGACACAAAACGTTTCTGTGCCAGACAGGTCAGCAAACTGAAAATGTGGGGAGAGAAAAAAATTCTTTTTTTTTTCTATTTCTTGAGCATGTGCCAAAAATTTAGATCCACGTGCTTTTCAATTTACACTTTTTTGGCGGGAAGGAATTTTTTTCTATAGAAAAAAATTGAAATAATTTTTCTTTTAACTTTTAGTTAATATTTTTTTTCGATAGAAAAAAATTGAAATAATTTTTTTTTTTTTTAGTTAATTTTTTTTATTACAAAAAAGTAACATTTGCATAAAATTGTTTTTTTAAATTACTTTCGAGAAGTAACAAGTCTTTATTTAATAAAAAAAAAATTGTAACATTTTTCTTTCAATTAAAAAATAGTATCAATTCAATTAAAAAAAAATAGTAACAATTTTCTTTCAGTTAGGAAAATAGTAATTCAATGAAAAAAAAATGGTAACAATTTTTTTTCAGTGAAAAAAATAGTAATTCAATAAAAAAAAAAATTGTAACAATTTTTTTTCATTGACAAAAATTGTAACAATTTTCTTTCAGTGAAAAAAAAATTTTAACATTTGTCTTTCAATGAAAAAAAAAAATAGTAACAATTTTCTTTCAGTGAAGGAAATAGTAATTCAATAAAAAAAAATTGTAACAATTTTCTGTGAGTGAAAAAAATAATAACAATTTTCTTCCAGTGAAAAAAATTGCAACAAATTTTTGTCAGTGAAAAATAATAACAATTTTCCTTCAGTGAAAAAAAATAATAAAACAATTTTCCTTCAGTGAAAAAAAAATAATAAAACAATTTTCCTTCAGTGAAAAAAAATAGTAACAATTTTTTCTTACACTGACAATGAAAATTGTTATAAATAAAAAAATGTTTCAATGAAAATTATAATAAATAAAAAAAATTTGAAAATAAAATTTGTAATAAGTAAAAAAAAATGTTACAATGAATAAAAAAAATATTACAATAAATAAAAAAAGGAAAAAATTTGTTCGCAATTTGTAATTGAAAATGTAAATAAATAATTTTGGTGGTAAACTAATGGTGTAATTTTTGTTTCGCAGGTTCTGTCTTTAGGTGCCGACGTTCTGCCGGACTACAAACTGCAGTCGCCACGAATACACAAATGGACTGTGTTGCACTACTCGCCGTTCAAAGCCGTGTGGGATTGGATCATTCTCCTGCTCGTCATGTACACTGCAATTTTTACACCCTACGTTGCTGCTTTTTTACTCGCTGAATCCGATTATAGTAAAATTAAATCCAAAAAATACGGGGAGGACCCAATTGTCATTATTGATCTCATAGGTCAGTTTCATATTTTATTTTTTTTCTTTTTTCTAATTTTACTATTTTTTCAATAATTTTTACAGTTTTTTTTTACTATTTTTTTACCATTTTTTTATTTTTTACAATTATTTTATTTTTTTATTATTTTTTATTCTTCTACAATTTTTTATTTTTGCTACTATTTTTTTTCAATAATTCTTTACTATTTTCTTACTATTTCCTTTTTTTCTATTTTCTCACTATTTTCTTTATTGTTTTTACTATTTTTCAATATTATTTACTATTTTTTTATTTTTTACTATTATTTTATATTTTTATTATAATTTATTTTTTTACAATTTTTTATTTTTGCCAATATTTTTTTTTCAAACTTTACTATTTTCTTACTATTTTCTTTAATGTTTTTACTACTTTTTTATTTTCTTTCAATTTTTTTTTATTTTATTAATGAACTATTATTAATTAATTATTTAATTATTAATTAATTATTTAATTATTAATTAATTAATTATTTAATTAATTATTTAATTATTAATTAATTAATTATTTAATTATTAATTAATTAATTATTTAATTATTAATTAATTAATTATTTAATTATTATTATTTAATTAATTTAATTATTATTATTATTTAATTATTTAATTTTTTTTTCTATATTTTCAATAATTTTTTACTATTTTCTCACTATTTTCTTTTTATTGTTTTTACTATTTTTCAATATTTTATACTATTTTTTTACAATCTTTTATTTTTGCCATTATTTTTTCAATAATTCTTTACTATTTTGTATTTTCTTTTAATTTTTTTATTATATTTACAATAAATTATTTTTTCTTTTTTTCTTATTTTTTTCAATAATTTTCTACTATTTTCTCACTATTTTCTTATTTTTTAAAAATATTTTTCAATATTTTTAATATTTTATTATTTTTAGTAAAAAAAAAAGTGTTTCACTATTTTTTAGTAAAAACGTATTTCAATAGTTTTTTTTACTCTATTTCTATATTTTTTAATTAAAAGTATTTGTTAGTTTAATTTTTTTCAAGAAAAAAAAACCTATCTTTCCAATAGTTTTTACTCTTAATTTATTTTTTTACTTTTTTTTTCTAATATCTTACTAATTTTTTAATTTATTTTACTGCATTTACTTTTTTTTTACTATTATTGTATTTTTTCTACTATTTATTGAAAAATAGATTTTTTTCTAAATTAAAAAAATTAAAGAAAATTTTTTTTTTTACTTTTTTCTTTATTATTTACAGCATTTTTACTATTTTTAAATTTTTTTACTACTTTCCTTATTTTTTCAATATATTTTATTTATTTATACAATTTTTTTTACTATTTTGTTTCACTACTTTAATACTTTTTTCGATTATTTTTTTACGATTTTTACTATTTCTGAAATTATTTTACTAAATTCACTATTTTTTATTATTTTTAAAATACTTTTACTACTTTTTTTTAATTTTTTCAAAATTTTTTACTATTGTTGCCATTTTGATTACTAAATATTAAATTATTTTACTATATTTACTATTTGTTTACTATTTTCTATTTTATTATTATTTTATTTTTTTGTACTATTTTTAAGGGCATTTGAACCTTGATGACGTCACACATGCTTTGCACAATCTGTAACGTCATCAAGGTTCAAATGCCCTTAAACACTTTTAATTTTTTTACGATCTTTTATTTTTGTTAATATTTTTTTTCAATAATTCTTTACTATTTTCTTTATTGTGTTTCAATTTTTTTATTTTATTTACAATTATTTTATTTTTTTCTTACTATTTTTTCAATAATTTTTTTTCAATTTTTTCAATAATTGTTTACTATTTTCTTTATTTTTTTTACTATTTTTCAATATTTTTTGCTATTTTTTTTACAATCTTTTATTTTTGCTATTATTTTTTCAATAATTCTTTACTATTTTCTTACTATTTTCTTTTTTTTCTATTTTCTCACTATTTTCTTTATTGTTTTAACTAGGTAAAAAAATAGTGAAAAAAATTGTAAAAATAGTAAAAAATATTGAAAAAACTATAGTAAAAGTAGTAGAAATAGTAAAGAATAATGATAAAAACATAAAATTAGTAACAAAAATCGAAGAAAATAGAAAAAATACTAATTGTAGTAAAATATTTTTAAAAATAGTAAAAATAGTAAAAATAGTACAAATAGTACAAAGAATGGAAAAAAATAGTAATTGTAGTAAAATAGTTTTAAAAATAGTAAAAATAGTCAAATAAATTAAAAAAAGTAGTAAAGTAGTAAACAAAAATATTAAATGAACGAAAATAATTTAATAAATAGTAAAAAAAATAGTAAAAATAGTAAAAATAGTAAAAATAGTAAAAGTAGTAAAAATAGCAAAAAATATTGGAAAAATAAAGACAATAGTAATAGTATTTTTATTTTCATTTTAATAAACAAATTTTTCTTTATTTCAATATTTTTACTATTTTTTTTTACTTGTTTTTACTAATTTCTCTCTATTTTTGTACAATTTTCTACTATTTTACTTATTTTTTGTTTACTATTTTTTACTAAAATTTTTGTTTACCAGTTTTTAGTAAATTTTTTGTTTACCAGTTTTTACTAAATTTTTCGTTTACTATTTTTTACTAATTTTTTTTTTTACTATTTATTTAATTTATTTTTATTTATTCAATTTTTTGCTAAATTTTTTGCTAAATTTTTTGTTTGCCAGTTTTTATTTAAATTTTTGGTTTACCAGTTTTAACTAAATTTTTTGTTTACTATTTTTCACTTAATTTTTTGTTTACCAGTTTTTACTAAATTTTTTGTTTACTATTTTTCACTTAATTTTTTGTTTACCAGTTTTTACTAAATTTTTCGTTTACCAGTATTTAACAAATTTCTTGTTTAGTATTATTTACTAATTTTTTTTTCACTATTTTTCTACTTAATTTTTTGTTTTCCATTTTTTTACTAAATTTTCTAATTACTACTTTTTACTAAATTTTTCATTTTCCGTTTTTTACTAAATTTTTTTGTTTACTATTTTTTACTAAATTTTTTGTTTTTCATTTTTTTGCTAAATTTTTTGTTCATCAGTTTTTGATAAATTTTTTATTTAATAGTTTTTACTAAATGTTTCATTTACCAGTTTTTACTAAATTTTTTTGTTTACTATTTTTTACTAAATTTTTTTTTGTTTTTCATTTTTTTTTTTTTGCAAATTTTTTTGTTTACCAGTTTTTACCAAGTTTTTTGTTTACTATTTTTTACAGAAAAAAAATTTTTTTTTTACTATTTTTAATTACTTTTTTAATTAAACTCTGTTTTCTTTTTTTGCAGTCGACGTGACATTCATCGTGGACATTCTCATAAATTTTCGTACGACATTCGTGAATAGTAACGATGAAGTTGTTTCCCATCCGGGAAAAATAGCCGTCCATTATTTGAAAGGTTGGTTTGTCATCGACCTTGTGGCCGCGATACCCTTCGATCTCTTGCTTTTCGGCTCCGACACAGACGAGGTAAATTTTTTTTCATTTTCCATTTTTAAAATTTTTTTTTAATTTTTTTTTTTTTTTTTTTTTTTTGATCTCCTCATTTTCTATATATATAATAATATATAAAAAAACATACATAATATACATAAACGAGGGATTTTCTCGCAAAAGCCACGTCGAGGAAAATGTTCATTTTATTATAATTTTATTCACGAAAAAAGAAAAAGGAAAACGTTCTATGGAAATTAATGAAATTAACATTTTATTAAATTATTTTTTTCGTATTTGTCAATTTTTTCTTATTAGTTCTTTTCTTTATTATTATTCTTACGTTCTATGTTATTTTTGTTTTATTTTTTTTCTATTTTTATTTTTTGTTTTTATTTGTTTTTACTTTTTTTATATTTTGTTTCTATTTTTATTTTTTTTATATATTTTGTTTCTATCTTTATTTTTTGTTTCTATTTTAATTTTTGTTTCTATTTTTATTTTTTGTTTCTATTTTAATTTCTTTTTTCTATTTTTTGTTTCTATTTTTATTTTTTTATTTTATTTCTAATTCTTGTTTCTATTTTAATTTTTGTTTCTGTTTTTATTTTTTTGATTGTATTTTTTGTTTCTATTTCTAATTCTTGTTTCTATTTTTATTTTTTTATTTATTTCTTTCTTTATTTTCATTTAAAAAATATAATAAAACGAATGAATAAATAAAAAAAAATAAAAGGAACGAGAAAATAATAAAATAATAAAGGAATTAAAATATGTAAAAAATAATAATGAAATAAAAAATTCTAAATAAACACAAAAATTAAAATTCCGAAAAGGAAACAAAAAGAATCAAAAAGAAAAAGGAAATAAAAATTCAAAAAGAAAAAAGAAATAGAAAAATCGAAAAGAAAAGGGAATTAAAAATTCAAAAAGAAAAAGGAAATTGAAAAATAGAAAAAAATTTGAAATCAAAAATGAAAAAGAAAAAGGAAATTGAAAAGAAAATTGAAATAAAAAATCGAGAGAGAAAAGAAATAAAAATTAAAAAAAAAATAAATAAAAAAATAAAAGACAGTAATATAATACCTAAAAATACTAATAAAATAAAAGACAATAATAAAAAATCGAAAGAGAACAAAAATAAAAAAAAATCGAAAGAGAACAAAAATAAAAAAAATCGTTAAAGAGAAAAGAAGTGAAAAAAATAAAAGAGAAATAAAAATAAAGGAATAATAAAAAGGGAAATTAAAAAAAAGGGGGGGGGCGAGAAATAATTGTCGAGTGACTTGGCTTTTGCCCGAAATAATCCCGGGTGTTATTTTTAGAATGTCAGTGTTAGTTCGTAAGCCCGATAAATAGGTTGACATGCCAAAAACCTAAGATCTGTGTCCATACACGGAGAAAAAAATCAGGGCTTTTCAGCATGGAGTGGTCTGTACCTTTAGCGCATGGGCGCTTCCTTACGGCGAAAGAACGAATTTGTACGATTGCAGCAAGAGCTCGCCCTATTTTAGTAAGGAGCCTTGCTGCAATCGTACGAGTTCGTTCTTTCGCCGCAAGGAAGCGCCCATGCGCTAAAGGTACAGACCACTCCATGCTACAAAGCCCTGATTTTTTTCTCCGTGTAGATGTCTTTTTTACCGGATTGGCGCTTAGTTTCGTTCATACAAAAAAAAAAATATTTTTTTAATTCATATATTCTTTTTTTTTCTTTATTTTTTTTTCTCTTACAATTTTATTATGTCATTCCTCGGTGTTGAATGATTTCCTCATTGGAATATTTTTATAATGATTTATTGGACTTAGATGTTAATTTTATTTATTTATTTATTTATTTATTTTTTTTTTTTTGTCTCTTTTCCTATATTTATGTCTTGGTACAACTAATTCAATAGTTTCTCATTTTTTTCGTTTTTGTTTCTCATTTGTGTACTTTTACTACTTATTCCAATATTTTCTCAATTTTCGTTCTATTTCGATCTACAGAAATTCCTCTCATTCTTCTAAATATCAATAAAATTTAAATACAATGTTAAAATTAAAATTCAATTTATTTTGTTGAAAAACATAAATAATTGAATAAGAACAAAAATATTTCGGTTTTCAAGTAAATTAAATTTTTAAATAATTTTATTGAGAAATAAATTGAATAAAAAAATAAAGAAGAACAAAAATTTCGGTTTTTAAGTAAAATTTTGGAAAATTAAATTAAAATTCAATTTATTTAATTGAAAAATAAATAATTGAATAAAAAAAGTGAAAAAGAAGAAAAATTTCGGTTTTTAAGTAAAATTTTGGAAAATTAAATTTAAATTCAATTTATTTTGTTGAAAAATAAATAATTGAATAAAAAAAGTGAAAAAGAAGAAAAATTTCGTTTTTTAAGTAAAATTTGGAAAATAAGAACAAAAAAAATGTAAAAAGAATAAAATGTGAAAATTTCTCTTTCTTTCAATGAATCAAATTTTTGAAAAAAGCGAAATTTTTGAAATATAAAAAAGATTCCGTTTTTTTTGTTAATAAATAAAATTTGGAAAAATGAAAAAAATGTAAAAACAATTAAATTTCATTTTATTTTGAATAAATAAATTTTTTTATATTTATTAAAACGAAAAAACCAAAAATTGAAGAAAAATGAAAAGAATAAAAATACAAATTTGGAAAAAAACAAGAAAATAGCAAATTTTTCTTATTATTTATCGAGAATTTTCTGGAAAAAATCGAAAAGAATATTTTTTTTCTCGAACCAAAAATTAATTAATTTAATTAATTGATTTTAGAAAACTGGAAATTAAAATTCTTAATAGTTTTTTTTTTTTTGAAATTTTTCTGGAAAAAATCGAAAATAATGTTTTTTTAAACTTGAAATTAATATAATTAATTGATTAATTAAATAAAAAAAATTATAAATTAATTTGTTTTTTTTTGAAATTTTTCTGGAAAAAATAGAAAATAATATTTTTTTTCGAACTAGAAATTAATTTAATTAATTAGAAAACTAGGAATTAAAATTCTTGATGTTTTTTTTTTTTGAAATTTTTCCTGGAAAAAATCGAAAATAATATTTTTTTTCGAACTAGAAATTTAATTTCATTAATTAATTAGAAAACTAGAAATTAATATTTTTGACAGTTGTACTAATTCATAAATTGCGGCGACTAAATTAAAAATGTGAAATTATTAACTGACGGTGCGAAAAACTTCTTTAAAAAAATTAATAACTCTTTTCTCGAGTTTCTTTGGTGTTCAAACTTTTTTCTAATTTTTCGAGACCCCCCTTTTTCGAATTAAATATATTTAAACAAACTTTTGGTTTTTTTCGTCATAATATTTATTTTTGAAAAAAACAATTTCGATTTTTTTTTTATTAAAAAAGTATTTCAATAGTTTTTTTTTGTGTATTTCAATATTTTTTTGTAATTGTTTTAATATTTTTTTTTTTTACTCTATTTTTGTATTTTTCTAAATTATTTTTTTATTTATTTTTATCAAAACTATTTCAATATTTTCTACTTAGAAAAAAATAATTATTTGATTTCAAAAGTATTTCAATATTTTCTACCAAAAAAAAAAAAAAAAATAACAATTTTTTTTCGAAACTATTTAAATATTTTCAACTAAAAAAAAAAAATTAGAACAATTTTTTTCGTTCAAAGTATTTCGATATTTTCTACTGTAAAAAAATAATAACAATTTTTTTTCAAAACTAGATATTTGAATATTTTCTACTAAAAAAAAATTCTAGTCTTTTTTTCAAAACTATTTGAATATTTTCTAGTAAAAAAAATTTTGTACATTTTTAACAAAACTATTTGAATATTTTCTAGTAAAAAAAAATTTTGTAAATTTTTTTCAAAACTATTTTAATATTTTCCATAAAAAAAAAATTAGTATAATCTTTATTTTTGAGTAAAAAAAATTTCTCTTTATTTTTTTTTTATCTGCCGAATATTTTTTCTGCAAATAAAAATTATTTTTTGTTTCCCATTTTTTTTTTTGGGAAAAATTTTTCCGTTAGTAAAATAGAAGAAAATTCTCGACTAAATTAAATATAAATCTGAATAAATAAATAAAATAAAAACTTATAGAAAATAAGTTAACAAAAAGAAAAAGAAAAACAAAAAATACAAAGTCTACGATTATCATACAGAAACAAAAAAACAAAAAAAAAACAATAAAAAAAAAATCCTAGACGAAATTTAACATCAGTTTAACGTTTTCTTAGCTCGGCTTGGACAAGGATGAGGTTAGTCACAGCCTGACGTTTGTGTTTTTCAACGCAGATCTTGAATAATCAGTTTTTTATTTATATATTACAAATTACTATTTATATAAAAATTCACCAAAAGCCACGATTTTTTTTTTTTTTTTTTTTTTTTTTTTTTTTTGGTTTTCCAACTATACACACAAAAAAAACCACACGTTTTTTATATATTTAATACTTACATCTTTTATTCTTTATACTGTAATTACAATTATAAATGTACATTATTTAAACAGCTTCTTAAAAAACACACCACAAATTTTATATTTTGAACAAAAAAATTTTTTGCACACTTTCATTTTTTGAGTTAATTAAAATAAATAATTTTTTTTTTATTAAAAAGAAAAAAACAATTTTAATTTTCTTTGAAATTGAAAATTTGAAAGCAAAAATTTATAATAAAAATTATTTACTTACAGTAAATTCAATTCTTTATTGGTAAATGAAAATTAATTTCAAATATAATTATATAATAATTTGTTTCGTAATAAAAAAATAGGGGCGAAATTTTTATTTTTCATATTTAAATTTTTTTTTTTTTTTTTTTGAGTAAAAATTTCCATAAAAATATTTTTTTGCCTTTGAAATAAAAATTAAACGAAAATTAAAATAAAAACAAAAATAAAATTTATTTATTTAAAATTGATTAATTAATTAAAATTTAAAATTAAAAAATTTCCTTTGAAATTTACAGTTAAATTTTAAATTCGTAAAAATAGGGAAAATATTTTTTGCCCAATGGAGTTTTTGAAAAAATTTTCAGAAATAGTAATTATTTTTTATTTTTTTTTTTTTTAATAAAAAAGAGAGGAAAATTTCTTTATTTTCCCATTTATTCGATAAGAAATAAATTTGTTTCCATTCTTACAATATTCTTTCTAAAAAAATAAAAAAAAAATTCGTTTGTTTATAGAAATAAAAAAATTTAGAAAATAAAAATTCGTTTATGGAAATAAAAAAATTTATAAAGAAAAATTTATTTATTTTCGTTCGTTTATAGAAATAAAAAAATTTAGAAAATAAAAATTCGTTTATGGAAATAAAAAAATTTAGAAAGAAAAATTTATTTATTTTCGTTCGTTTATAGAAATAAAAAAAATTTGTTTCTTCCATTCGTAAAATGGAAACAGTTAAAAAAATAAATTAATAAACAATAATTGAAATTTAGTAATTTTATTTTGATGAAAAAAATTATCTTTTAATTTTTGCAATAAATTATAAATTCGTAAACTGGAAAAAGTTAATAAAAAAATAAATTAATAAACGAACGGATTAAAATTTAGGAATTTTTTTATTAAATTCTTCAATTTCTGACAATTTATAGTCAATTTACATTAGAAAGAAAAATCATTCGCTGTCAAAAAATTAAAATTGGGTCAAAAAAAAGAATTTAAAAGGGAAAAAAACAAAATTTTTGTCAAGTTGGCCATAAAATTGTTATTAAATAAATGAATATTACCGAAATCTATTGTTATAATTATTTAACGAAAAGTTGAAAATTAAAAGAGATATTTTTTTTCCGAAAAATATTTTTTTTATTCGAAAACTATTTTTTTTTTGTTCGAAAAATATTTTTTTATTTATTTTTTTTGTTCGAAAAAAATTTTTTTATTCGAAAATAATTTTTTTATTTGAAAAGTATTTTTTTAAATACAAAAAAAATTTTTTTTCTCGCCGAAAAAACTCTTTTTTATTATTCACAGTTTTGAACACATGCACAAATGAATAATTTTCGAATATACTTTTTAAAAACACCGACACGAAAAATTCTCACGCAAAATGTAGAAAATAAATTTTTACGCGTTCTTTTTTTTTATTATAATAATAAGCAAGCTTTTAAAAATAATTTTTTTTTTTTTTTTTTTTTTTATTTTGTTGAACATTCGTTCAGTTGAGAGTATAAAGTTTCCTTAATTTTTATTTGCAAAGCTATTGTTTTATAAAACTATTTATTTATAAATAATAATATACCAGATCTGCAGTAAAAATTAAATATTTTTTTTTTGCCAAGTAAATTCCAATATTAATTCTATTTTTTATTTTTTTAATTTTCGAGACTGCTCTCTTCTTCTCATTATTTTGTATTTTTCTATAAAAAATTTATGTATTTCTAATTTTTATTTCACCATTTTTTTTCTTTTTTTTCAATCTCAAATTTTTTTTTATTTTCTCAAATAAATTTTTCATATTTTTTTATTGCTTTCTCTCTCTTTCTTTCTTTCTATCGCTTTGTCTTTCCTTCATCTCTCTGGTAACATTTTTTCAACAAAATTTTCATAAATACATTTTTAGTATTTTTTTTTTCGTATTTTTTTGTATTTATAATAATTTTTTAAAATATTTTTTTCTTGTATTTTTTTAAATTTCTTTTTAATATTGTTTTTGTATTTTTTTTTGTATTTAAACAATTTTTTTCGGTATTTTTTTTCTATTTAAAATTTTTGTTTAGTATTCTTTTCAAAAACTTTGTTTTCGCAATTTTTTTCTAAAAATCTTTTTTTTTTTTTTTTTTTTTTTTTTGTATTTTAACTCAATTTTTTTTCTTTCGTATTTTTTTGTATTTAAAAAGATTTTTTGTAATTTTCACAAATTTCGTTTCGTATATTTTTGTACTTTAAAGAAACACTTTTTTTCTTTTGTATTTTTTTTTTTTTGTATTTTGAGAATATAATTTTTTTTCCGTAATTATTTTTACATTGAAGTAATAGGCGACTGATTGATGGAAATATTTTGTTAGTCATTTGCATGATAGTGTCATAGTGATTGCGAGTATTAAATTTTTTTTTCAGTTAGATTAGTAAAATAATTTTTTCTTTTTTTATTTTAATTTAATTTAATTATTTATTTTTTTATTTTTGAAAATTGTGCTTTTTAAGGTGTCATTATTTTTTTGAAAATAAAAAAGTGGAAATAATCGAATTTAAATAAAAAGAAGAATTAAAATTCTCAATGAAAATTATTTAATAATAGTAATTTTTTTTTTATTTTTGAAAGTAAAATATTTTTCGTAGAATATTTTTCTCTGAAAATATTTTCCTTTCAAAATATTTTCCACTAAAAACATTTTTCTCTCAAGATATTATTCTCTGAAAATATTTTTTGTAAAAAATTTTTCTCTCAAAATATTTTTCGTAAAAAGTTTTTCTCTCAAAATATTTTTCGTAAAATATTTTTCGTAAAATATTTTTCGTAAAATATTTTTCTCTCAAAATATTTTTCACTCAAAACATTATTTTTTCCTTCAAAAAAAAGGAAATATTTCCACTTTTTTCACTAATTTAGAAAAATGGTGACAACTTTTTTTTTATATTTATGATAAATATTCGAGAAAAAAGAAGATAAACTATAAAAATAATTTTTATAGTTTCGTAAAATCAAAAAACGAATTTTATTCCGAATTTAGAAAAATAGAATTTTATTTCAATATTTTTCTCTCATAATCTCGAATTATAATCTCGAATATTTATTTTTCTTTTCTAAAATAAATGCCATTGATAAATTAATTTATTAACTTAATTTAATTTGCTAATATTTATTTATTCATTTATTTATTTATTTATTTATTTATTTATTTATTTATTTTATTCCTTACAGGAATATTTTTTATACAAAATTAGGAAAAAGTCAATTTTTACTCAAATTTTATGCTTGATAAGAGAAAAATAATTTCCTTTCGTCCTCCGTAGATGATAAATTCAGAATTGCAATGAAAACGTGTTTAATTTATTAATTTTTGTTTTCTTTTTTCTTTTTTTGGAAAATATAATTATTTTTATTCATTTTTATTATTTATTTATTTAAAAAATAAATAAATATAAATGAGAAAAATTTGTGAAATGAAAATTAATTAATTAATTAATTAATTGGCGTCTTTAATTGCAAATCTGAATGTTTATGGAAAAGAGAAGGAAAATCTGTACAATAATCAGGATAAAAAGCTTTTTTTTACATATACAATATAGAAGAGTGAACTTGGAGGGAAAAAAAGAGAAGAAATAATAATGGATTTTTACAGACAACAACTCTGATTGGACTTTTGAAAACTGCTCGACTTTTGAGATTAGTCAGGGTTGCGAGGAAAATCGATAGATATAGTGAATATGGAGCCGCTGTCCTGCTTTTGCTAATGGCCACTTTTGCCCTCATCGCTCATTGGATGGCCTGCATTTGGTATGAAAATTGTTTTCTTTCTCTTTTTATTTTTTCAAATTGTTTTTTTTTTGTTTTTTTTTTTGCCTTTTTTGTATTTTTTTCCATTTTTTTTCTTTTCTTTTTCCATTTTTTTTCAATTTTTTGTCAATTTCTTTCCTTTTTCCATTTTTTTTCAATTTTTTGTCAATTTCTTTCCTTTTTTCTCCTTTTTTCCATTTTTTTTCAATTTTTCGTTAATTTTTTTTTCTTTTTTCTCCTTTTTTCCATTTTTTTCAATTTTTTTTCCATTTTTCTCCATTTTTTCCATTCTTTGGACATTTCATTTCTTTTTCTCCTTTTTTCCATATTTTTATTCTTTTATTTTCTTTTTTCACTTTTTTTTCACATTTTTTTTCTTTTCTTTCCTTTTTTCGATTTTTTCGCATTTTCTTTGCTTTTTTCCATTTTTTATTCTTTTCTTTATTTTTTCCAACTTTCGTCCATTTCTTTCCTTTTTTTCCATATTTTTGTTCTTTTATTTCTTTTTCACCCTTTTTTCCATTTTTTTTCCTTTTTTCTTTTCTTTTTCGTTTTGAACATTTTTCGTCAATTTCTTTCCTTTTTTCCATTTTTTTCAATTTTTCGTTAATTTTTTTTCCTTTTTTCTCCTTTTTTCCATTTTTTAAAAATTTTTTTCCATTTTTCTCCATTTTTTCCATTCTTTGGACATTTCATTTCTTTTTCTCCTATTTTCCATATTTTTATTCTTTTATTTCCTTTTTTCACTTTTTTTACATTTTTTTTTCTTTTCTTTCCTTTTTTCGATTTTTTTTCATTTTCTTTCCTTTCTTTCCATTTTTTATTCTTTTCATTCCTTTTTTTCCATATTTTTGTTCTTTTATTTCTTTTTCACCCTTTTTTCCATTTTTTCCTTTTTTTTTCCTTTTTTTTTTATTTTTTTTCCTTTTTTTACACGTTTTTCCATTATTCCTCCTTTTCTACCCTTTTTCTCCTTTTTTTCTATTTTTTTAATCATTTCTTTCCTTTTTTCTCCTTTTTTTCCCTTTTTACCAGATTTTTCTTCTTTTATTTCCTTTATTCCCTTTTTTTTACATTTTTTTTCCTTTTTTTAAATTTTTTATCTCTTTCTGTAGATTTTCCTTCGTTTTTCCATATTTTTGTTCTTTTATTTCCTTTTTTCTCTTTTTTCCATTTTTTCCCCCCTTTTTTACGTTTTTTTTTTCCTTTTTCCATTTTTATTCCTATTTGTCTATTACTCAGAAAATTTTTATTAAAAGAAAATATAATTTTCTCATTTTAGAATCGAACATTTTTATTTCTTCTCAAATTTGCCTGCGGGGCTTTAAAATTTCCCATTTTAAAAATTAATGATAAAAAATGTTTTTTCAAACAATAAAAAATTTTATCTATTATAATGAAAGTAATTAGAAAAGTTTCTTGAATTTTTTTTTTTTTTTTATTTCTCAAATTATAATGAAGAAAATCTTTTTTGCTCGTTTTTCTAATTTTTCTCGATTCCTTTATTCAAGGTACGCGATTGGCAACGCTGAGCGACCGTCTTTAAAAAGCAAAGTTGGCTGGTTGGATATTTTAGCGAATGACACTCATCAATTTTATAATCATAATAACACTGGTGGACCCAGTATAAAGGTAAATTTTCTCCTAAAAAAAAGACAAAATTAGTTTTCAAAAGCAAAAAAAGAAATTTGTAAACAAATTTTACAAATTGTTTTCAGAAGAAAATTTTTGTTTTCTTTTTTTTTGGTTTTATTTATTACAATTTTTTTTTTTTTTTTTTTTTTTTATTTATTACAAAGTTAAGTTATTAATTATAATAATTTTTAGAGGACGATTTTAAAAAGTTGTATTTAAAAAAATAAATATTTTTCAGAGTCGATACATCACCGCCTTGTACTTCACGTTCAGTAGTTTAACATCTGTGGGTTTTGGGAATGTTGCCCCTAACACAGACGCCGAGAAAATTTTTACCATCATCGTCATGTTAATAGGATGTAAGTAAATTTCTTTTTTCAAAATTAATAAATTTTATCCAATTTGAAATAATTTTTTTTCCAATTCGAATTTCGATCGAAATATTTCTGTTTCGAAAAATTCGAACTACGAAAAAATTATTTTCAATTGAATAAAATTCATTAAATAAAGAAAATAATTTTGATTCGATCCGAAATATTTGTGATTCAAAAAATTCTATCTACAAAAAATTTATTTCCAATTGAATAAAAATTTATTGTCTAAATACAAAAAATAATTTTGATTCGATTGAAATATTTCTGATCCGAAAAATTCTATCTACAAAAAATTTATTTCCAATTGAATAAAAATTTATTGTCTAAATAAAGAAAATAATTTTGATTCGATCTGAAATATTTGTGATTCGAAAAATTCTATCTACAAAAAATTTATTTCCAATTGAATAAAAATTTATTGTCTAAATAAAGAAAATATGTTTGCTTCTATGGAAATATTTATTTTGAAATTATTGTTAAATAATTTATTTTTAATATGAGTTTTGATGAATTTATTTATTTTTTTCTTGTTCCTTTGTAGCTCTAATGTATGCCAGTATTTTTGGCAACGTTTCGGCAATAATTCAAAGGCTCTACAGCGGAACTGCGCGCTATCACACACAAATGCTGAGGGTTCGCGAATTCATCAGATTTCATCAAATTCCAAATCCACTTCGTCAACGGCTCGAGGAATATTTCCAGCACGCGTGGACCTATACAAACGGAATCGACATGAACAGTGTATTGAAAGGATTTCCAGAGTGCCTTCAGGCTGACATCTGCCTTCATCTTAACAGAAATCTGCTGAATAATTGCAAAGCATTCGAGGGAGCGAGTCCAGGATGCTTGCGGTATTTTTTTTTTTTTTTTTATTTCTTCATTTAGTCTTTTTTTACTAATTTACTCTTTTTTTATTTATTTACTCCATTTTTTACTTTATTTACTCTTTTTTTTATTTATCTACCCTTTTTTTACTCATTTACTCTTTTTTTTACTCATTTACTCTTTTTTTTACTTTATTTACTCCTTTTTATTTATTTACTCTTTTTTTATTTATTTACTAAACTAGCCAAATTATCTTGTAAACAATTTCAAGTCATTTTAATTTAAGTAATTTTTAAAGAAATGCTTATTTTTTTAGACAATTTCCTATCTATTTTTAATTCGCTAATTTTCGAAAAATTTCCAAAAAATCAAATATTTAAACAAATTTTTATACAATTCTTCACAATAATTCAATTACTTTCACTAATAATAAAATTATTCATAAAAATTCGAATTTTTCGAAAAAAAAATTTTTGATTAAATTCTAAGCATGAATTTCAATTATTTTCATAAATAATAAAACTCATCGAAGAATTTCAATTATTTTTAATACTATTTTCAATTAATTAATCGAGAAATTCAATTATTTTCACAAATAAAGTTTTCCACAAGAATTCAATTTGTATTTAAAATAAAATTTTCATATAATATTTATTATGCACAAAAAAATTAATTATTTAAAACAATGTTTAGAAAATTCTTATGAAGAATTCAATTACTTTTCAAAGATAATAAAATTTTTCACAGAAATTCAATTCTTTTTAAAACATTTCAATAAATTTTTCCGCAATAATTCAATTATTTTCAAAAATAATAAAATTCTTCTCTGTAATTCAATTATTTTTTTAAATTTTAATAAAATTTTTTCTAACAATCCAAATTATTTACACAAATAATTTTTTGAATGAATAAAATTCTTCTGAGGAATTCAATTATTTTCATAATTTAATTCTAAATTTAAAAAATTTTTTTTTTAATTTTCCTCGAAAAAATTCAATTTTTTTCAAAATTATTCAAATATACTTTCTTCAAAAAAAATTCAATTATTTTCATAGATATTAAAATTCTTGGCAGGAATTAAAGAATTAAATTTCAAAATATTTGATAAAATTCTTTAGATGAATTCAAGTAAATTGGTAAAATTTTTTTTTCATTTGAAAAATTTTTTACTAAAATTTTATCTATATAAGAATTAAATTCCTTTAGATTCCAAAATTGTAGTAAAATTAATCGCAGAAATTCAATTATTTAAAATATTTTATTCCAAAGTCTTTAAAAGAATTAAATTTTTGAAAAATTTTAATAAAATTCTTTATAAGAATTCAAATTATTTTTAAATTATTCTTCGCAAAAATTCAATTATTTTCAATATAAATAATACAATTCTTCGTAAGTATTCAATTATTTTCTAAAAATAATTTGAATTCTTCAGAGGATTTCAATTATTTTTGAAAATTTTAAAGAAAATTCTTAACAACTATTCAATTATTTTCGCAATAAATAATAAAATTCATCGCAGGATTTCAATTATTTTTAATATAATTTTACAGGAATTGCTCAAAAACTTTAATAATTATTTTTAAAAAATTAATTTTAATTCCTCAAAAAAATCAATTATTTAAAAAAAATATTTTTTTTCAATATTTTTTGGAAGAATTGAATTATTATTTTCAAAAAAAAAAATTAATAAAAGTGTTCGAAAGAAATTAATTGTTTTAAATAGGTACAATTTCAATTAAATTTTTTGGAAATAATTAAATTGTTTTTTTTTTAATTTTAATAAAATTTTTGTAAAACATTTTATTATTTACGCAAATAATTTTTCGAAAGAATTCAATTATTAAAGATAAATATAAGAAAATTACTCCTGGAAATTCAATTATTTTGAGGTATTTTAATAAAATTCTTTTCAAAATTCAATTATTTTCATAAATAACAATATTCATCCTACAATAATTCAATTATTTTTAAAAGTAATAAATTTCTTCTTGGAAATTCCATTATTTTAAAAAATTCTAATAAATCGTTCGCAAGAATTCAATTATTTTCAAAAAAAAAATTTAATAAAATTTCCCACAGACATTCAAACCCTTTTTTTACTTATTTTCGTTTTTTTATTTTTTTAGTCTTTTTTTTACTTATTTTACTCTTTTTTATATTTTTTTACTTTATTTACTCTTTTTTTTATTTATTTAGTCTTTTTTTATATATTTTGTCTTTTTTTATTTATTTTGTTTTTTTTTAATTTTTTTAGTCATTTTTACTTATTTTACACTTTTTTTTATTTTTTTACTTTATTTACTCTTTTTTTAATTTTTTTAGTCTTTTTTTTAAAATTTAGTCTCGTTTAATTATTTTCCTTCTTGTTTATTTATTTAGTATTTATTCTTTTTCAATAATTTACTTTCTTCTTTATTTATTCGCTTCTTTTTTTTATTTACTTTCTTTTTTTTCCTTTAAAGTAAGGAAATTTTATCCAAAGTATTAAAAAAAGTATGAAAATCTTCCTTTAATTTTTTTTTAGCTTTTTTGTAATTAAATAAAATATAGAAAATTAAATAAAAAATAGAAAATTGAATAAAATATAGAAAATTGAATAAAATATAGAAAATTGAATAAAATATAGAAAATTGAATTAAAAATAGAAAATAAAATACAAAATAGAATAAAAAAAGTGAATAAAAAATAGAAAATTGAATAAAAAAAGAAAATTGAATAAAAAAATAAAATTGAATAAAAAATTGAAAATTGAATAAAAAATAGAAAATTGAATAAAAAAATAGAAAATTGAATAAAAAATAGAAAATTGAATAAAAAATAGAAAATTGAATAAAATATAAAAATTTGAATGAAAAATAGAAATTTGAATGAAAAATAGAAAATTGAATGAAAAACTAGAAAATAGAATAAAATATTTAATACATATTTCTTTATTAATAGTATTTCTTATTTTCTTTTTTTTGCAGAGCATTGTCGCTGAAATTTAAAACAACTCACGCGCCTCCAGGCGACACTTTAGTTCACCGCGGTGATGTATTAACGTCACTGTATTTTATATCAAGGGGAAGTATCGAGATTCTAAAGGACGATATTGTAATGGCAATATTGAGTAAGGACGATATTTTCGGCGAGAATCCCTGCCTCTATCCCACCGTTGGAAAATCGTCGTGCAACGTGAGGGCGCTCACCTATTGCGATCTTCATAAAATTCACAGGGACGATCTCCTCGACGTCCTCGCTCTCTATCCAGAATTTTCCAGTTACTTCAGTCGAAATCTCGAGATTACTTTCAACATGAGAGACGTTAGTCGAAACTATTAAATTCAATTGAAATTTAAATTCAATTCAATTCAATTCAATTCAATTCATTTAACAACTAAATTAAATTTAATTCAAACTAAATTCAATTCAATTCAATTCAATTGCAATTAAAATTCAATTCAATTCAATTAACAACTAAATTCAATTCCAACTAAATTCAATTTAATTCAAACTAAATTCAATTCAATTCAATTAACAACTAAATTCAATTCCAACTAAATTCAATTTAATTCAAACTAAATTCAATTCAATTCAATTCAATTGTAATTAAAATTCAATTCAATTCAATTAACAACTAAATTTAATTTAATTCAATTAAAACTAAATTTAATTAAATTAAATTAAAACTAAATTCAATTATTGACAATTTCTTTTCGATTTCAGAGAAAATTATGCTTTTTTATTTATTTTTTTCGCAAGTGTTAGTTTTTCTAAAGAAAAAAAAGAGCGAAAAGTAAAAATCGTAGATTGTTTGTAATTTACGTTTACTTTTAGAGTTCTTTTCTTTAAAAGTGACAAATATTTGAATTTATTAGTAATAATTATTGTTTATTTGTATTTGAAAATGAGTTGGAAATGTGTTGACAGAGGGAAATTGATTTTTCACAGGAGGAGCAAGCGGGCGTCGATCCAATATCGGCGAGATTTCCAGTTAGCACTCCAACTGACGTCGAATTCGATGCCAGAAGATACGCCTTCCGTCCACCAAGATATCGCCGAGGACCCGGTGTCCCCGGTACCAATCTTATTCCTACGGGTCGACAAGATTCTTTAAACGAGGACCAAGACGATTAGTAAGACATTTTTTCTGAATAGATATTAAATTATTACTATTATTATTATTGTTATTAATAAAATTTTTCATTTTAAAATACCGATTACAATTTTAGATAAATTTCACATTCAAAATTTTAAAAAATTCTCTTATTATATCAATTGCGAAAAATTTTTGAAAATAATAATCCAAAATATTAAATTATCTACCTACATAATTAAATATTTTGGATTTTATTATTTTCAAAAAATTTTCGCAAGAATTCAATTATTATTCTCATAAATAATAACTTTCATTGGAAGAAATCAATTATTTTCAAGACGATTTTAATTAAATTTCGCAATAAAATACAATTATTTTTAAAATTATTAATTACACTGGATTATTTTCAAGCAATATTGATAAAATTCTTTGGATATAAAATTCTTCAGAAAAATTCAATTATTTTCATAAATTACAAAATTCTTCAGAGAAATTCAATTATTTTCGAATAAATATTTATTATTTTAAAAAATTTCAATGAAATTCTTCTGAAACAATGAAAATAGTTTTGAAAATTGTAATAGATTCTCTCCAAAAAATTCAATTATTTAACAAAACTTATTTAAATTCAATTATTTTCATAAATAATAAAATTCTTCGCATGGATTTCAATTATTTTGACAATTATTATTTTTTGCTGATATTTAATTATTTTTAAAGAATTTTCATAAAACTGACTGCAAAAATTCAATTATTTTCGAAAATAAGAAAATTCTTCTGGGGAATTCAACTATTTTTAAGAAGTTTATTAAAATGCTTTGTAAAAATACAATTACTTTTTTAAAAATTTTAATAAAATACTCTAAAAGAGTTCAATTATTTTCTATATCGACTATTTGAATAAAAATTTTACAAAAGAAGTCAATTAGGTATTACAAAAAAATTTTAATAAAATTCATCACAAGAATTTCAATTATTTTCACAAATAATAAAATTTGTCATTGAAATTCAATTATTTTCGAAAACTTTGATAAAATTTTTCGAAATAATTCAATTATTTTTATAAATTGTAAACTTCTTCGCAAGAATTCAAAAATTTTCTAAAAGAAAAACTTTTAATAAAATTCTTTGAAAAATGAATTTGAAAAAAATTTGTTTATTTTCAAAAATTCTGATTTTCTGATTCTGATTTTGATCTTCCGAGGAATTCAATTATTTTCGTGAATAAATAACATTCATCAAAGGGATTAAATTATTTTCATAAATAATAAAATTCTTCGGAGGAATTCAATTATTTTTTTTAACAATTTAAAAAAAATTTCTCGAAAAAATACAATTATTTTTTAAAATATTAATTAAATTCAATTATTTTCAACATTTTTGACAAAATTTTTTCAAAAAAAATTGATTTTTTTCCAAAATTTTGATAAAATTCCTCGGGGGAATTCAGTTATTTTGGTATAAAATTTTATGATTGAATCCAAATAATTTTCAAAGTTTTTAATAAAATGTTTTCAAAATATTCAATTATTTTCAAAAATTATGAAAAAATTCTTCGAAACAATTCAATTATTCTCAAAAATTTTAATATAATATTTAAGCACAAATTCTATTATTTTCCAAAAATTGAGTCAAATTCTTTGCAAGTTTTCAATTATTTTCATATTTTATAATATTTTTTTTGCTGAAATTCAATTATTTTCATAAATAATAAAATTCTCTGCAGGAATTCAATTATTTTTATAAATATATATATATGTATCAAAAATTTCGTCAGGAATTCAATTATTTATAATAATGAAATTCTGCCAAACAATTAAAATTGTAACAAAATTTTCTCCAAGAAATTCAATTATTTTTATAAATAATACAATTTTTCGCAAGAATTCAATTATTTTCAAAACTTTTAAATTTTAATAAAATTCTTAGCAAGAATTCAAATTATATTCGAAAATAATAAAATTCTTCGAAACAATTTAATTATTTTCGTAAATAATAAAATTCTCGTCAAAAATTCAATTATTTTCAAAACTTTTCATAAAATTCTTAGCAAGAATTCAATTATTTTCAAAAATAATAAAATTCTTCGGAGGAATTGAATTCTTTTAAAAAAATTTATTAAAATGCTTTCGGAAGAATTCAATAATTTTTAAAAATTTTAATAAATTACTCGAGTTCAATTTTTTTTTTTATTCACTATTTGTATAAAATTTTCTTAAATAAATCAATTATTTTTATAAATATTAAAATTATTTGCTGATATTCAGTTAATTTCAAAATCGAGTAATTTTAATAAAATTTTTCAGAAATAATTTTCAGAAATAATAAAAATTCTTCAGAAGAATTTCAATTATTTTTATAAATAATATTAAAAGTTTTCGCTGAAATTCAATTATTATTTTCAAAATCCATCAATTTTAATAAAATTTTTCACAACATAATTACAATTATTTTCAGAAATAATAAAACTTTTCGTTGCAATTCAAATTATTTTTTTAAATTTTGATAAAACTCTTCGAAATAATTCAATTATTATGATAAATAATAAAATATTTCAAAAAAATTGAATCATTTTTATAGATAATGAAATTTCTCGAAAAAATTCAATTATTTTGGTAAATTGTAAAATTCTTTAAATGAATTCAATTATTTTTTAATTGTGTGCTATATACTTTGCAGGAATTTATGAATTTTAAAATTGAAAACATTTAAAATAAAAAATTATTTTAAAAATAAGTATTAAATTTCATTTTTTATAAATTTTTTGTTAATGAAGTTTAAGGTTTATAAAATTTAAACATTTTAAAGTTTAAAATATTACAACGATTATTAATATTGAAGATAGATAAAATATTGTTATTATTATTATTATTATTGGATTTTTTATTTAGAAATACCAATTAATTGTCGATTTTTGTTTTTAGCGATAAGGGCAGCAGCGGTCACGGAATTTTGGAATTTAACACCGACAAAGCCGGGCAGGACGTGACGCCGTTAAATCTCGAATTTGACGAGCCAAAGCAAAGAAGTTCGACATTCAACTCAATAACTGGTATGTGAATTAACTAATGAAAAAGCAAAGAAAGAAAGAAAAAGAGACAGAAGAACACTTTTCGAATTAAGTTTTCCCCAATTAATGAGGGACTGCTTATATTAAATTCCAGCTTTTATCTTTTATAAAAACTTCCAAATATTCTATTATAATACTCTCTCATGTCTGAGGAATGTTGTTCTTTGCACGAGTTTTTTTAGATTTTTAACTATTTCCTCATATATCATCATTTTGTAGAAAACATTTACATGTATATATTTTGTATTACTTATATTTACATATTCCATATACATGTTAATTAATTATATACATTACATACCTATATCAATTTTAATATTATCGTTAGACTTTTTTTTCTTTTTTTTTATCCCACGTTCTGTTGTTCAAAATACAAAACCTACTAATCCCTTTTTTCGTAAGGTCGAGCATTTTACTAATAAACAAATAAAATAAAAAAAAATACGAAGGTCGCATTTTTCGAAAATGAGTCGAAAAAGTCGCATTTTTTAAAAATAGTCAAGAAAAGAGTAAAAAAAAGTCGCAGTTTTCGAAAATGGTTGAAAAAAAAATTCTTCGACAAAATTCAATTCTTTTCAAAAATTTTATTAAAATTCATTGCAAAATTTCAATTATTTTCAAAAGTAATAAAACTCTTCGCAGAAATTCAATTATGTTCAAAAATTTTTAACAATTCTCGTCAAAATTTCAATTATCTTTAGAAATATTAAAATTCTTCCCCGAAATTCAATTATTTTCAAAAAAACTAAAAAAAAGGTTAACATCTCAATTATCTTTATAAATAAAATAATAGCAAAATTCTTCGACAAAATTCAATTATTTTCAAAAATTTAAATAAAATCCATTGCAAAAATTCAATTATTTACAAAAAATCTAAAAAAAAAAATGGTCAACATCTCAATTATCTTTATAAATAAATAGCAAAATTCTTCGACAAAATTCAATTATTTTCAAAAATTTTATTAAAATTCATTGCAAAATTTCAATTATTTTCAAAAGTAATAAAATTCTTTTTAGGAGAATTCAATTATTTTCAAAAATTTTTAACAATTCTCGTCAAAATTTCAATTATCGTTAGAAATATTAAAATTCTTCCCCGAAATTCAATTATTTTCAAAAAATCTAAAAAAAAGGTCAACATCTCAATTATCTTTATAAATAAATAGCAAAATTCTTCGACAAAATTCAATTATTTTCAAAAGTTGTATTAAAATTCATTGCAAAATTTCAATTATTTTCAAAAGTAATAAAATTCTTTTTAGGAGAATTCAATTATTTTCAAAAATTTTTAACAATTCTCGTCAAAATTTCAATTATCGTTAGAAATATTAAAATTCTTCCCCGAAATTCAATTATTTTCAAAAAATCTAAAAAAAAAAATGGTCAACATCTCAATTATCTTTATAAATAAATAGCAAAATTCTTCGACAAAATTCAATTATTTTCAAAAATTTTATTAAAATTCATTGCAAAATTTCAATTATTTTCAAAAGTAATAACATTCTTTTTAGGAGAATTCAATTATTTTCAAAAATTTTTAACAATTCTCGTCAAAATTTCAATTATCTTTAGAAATATTAAAATTCTTTCCCGAAATTCAATTATTTTCAAAAAATCTAAAAAAAAAAATGGTCAACATCCCAATTATCTTTATAAATAAATAGCAAAATTCTTCGACAAAATTCAATTATTTTCAAAAATTTTAATAAAATCCATTGCAAAAATTCAATTATTTACAAAAAATCTAAAAAAAAATGGTCAACATCTCAATTATCTTTATAAATAAATAGCAAAATTCTTCGACAAAATTCAATTATTTTCAAAAATTTTATTAAAATTCATTGCAAAATTTCAATTATTTTCAAAAGTAATAATATTCTTTTTAGGAGAATTCAATTATTTTCAATAGAATTTTTAATCAAATTCCTCGACAAAATTCTTAAAAATTTTATTAATATTCGTCCAAAGAATTTAATTATTTAAAAATTTGTTGATAAAATTCTTAATAGGAATTGAATTCCAAGAAACATTCAATTATTCAATAAATTATTTATTTGCATTTCATTTGTATTTAAATAATTGAATTCTGGTAGAATTTTCTCATAAACATTTGATTTAAAAATAGATTTCAGTTAAAATCTTAAGATTATAATAATTGAATTCTTTCGAAGAATTTCATTAAAATTTTTAAAATAATTGAATTTTATCGAGACAATTTTTTTAATATTGTAAAAAGTAATTAAATTTCTACTAAAAAAAATTTTATCAAAACTTTTTAAAATGTTTGAATTTCTGCTAAAAATTCTGATATTTTTTTGAAAATAATTGAATTCTTGCGAAGAATTTTTTATTAAGACTTTTTGAAAATAATTGAATCTCTGCAAAGATTTTTATTATTTTACAAAAAATAATTAAATTCTTGCGAAGAATTTTATTAAAATTTTTAAAAATAATTTAATTCCTGTTAATTTTTTTTACAAGAATTATAATTATTTTTGAAAAATTTTATTAATAAAATTCTTCGCAAGAATTCAATTATTTGTTATCATAAATAATAAAATTCAATGCAGAATTTCAATTATTCATTTCATTTTATTTATTTTATTTATTTTTAATACAATTTTAATCGAATTTTGTCGAAAAATGGATAATTATTCTTAAAAATTTTATTAAAATTCGTTGATAGAATTCAATTATTTGCAAAATTTGTTGATAACAATTTTTTATCGGAATTGAATTTTAAGAAACGTTCAATTATTCAATAAATTATTTATTTGCATTTTTGCATTTAAATTTGTATTTAAATAATTGAATTCCAGTAGAATTTTCTAATAAAAATTGATTTTCATAAAAAATGAATTTCAGTTCAACTTTTAGATAATAGAATATTAAATGCAATAGAGGGGGAATTTTAAAAAATAATTGAATTTTGTAATTAATTTTTTTTGAAAAAGTTTAATTGAATTTTTTTTAATATTATTTTTAGTTTCTATTTTCTAATATATTTATTTAATTAAAGAATTTACGAATAATTGAAATTTCGTGTTAAATTGAATATTCCAAAGAAATGAATTTGGAAATTGTCAAAGAACTTTTTCGAAAATTATTAAAAATTCTCGATATAAAGAAGAATTTTAGATAAAAATTGTTAAAAATAATAATTGAATTGATAATGATTTGAAATATTATAAATTATTTTTATTAATAATTGTTATTAATTATTATTAATTATTATTAATTATTATTAATTATTATTAATTATTATTAATTATTATTAATTATTATTAATTATTATTAATTATTATTAATTATTATTAATTATTATTAATTATTATTAATTATTATAAAAACATGAAGAAATCGATGACTTCGAGTCGAAGACTCGGAGTTATCGATTTCTTCATGTTTTATAGTTATGAAAAATTTTGTCAGTTGGTCCGTGAATGGTCCGTAATTTTTAATTTTTGCTCCGTAAAGTCTGTATTTTTAAATACTTTCACTGCTTCGAGGTCTGGACTTTTTTTTCCTCTTTTCTCGACTATTTTCGAAAACTATAATTTTTTGACGCTTTTTTCGACTATTTTCAAAAACTGCGACAGTTTTTGATTGTTTTCTTGACTATTTTCGAAAAATACGATTTTTTTCACTTCGTTCTCGACTATTTTTGAAAAAATGACTTTTGTTTGAATAAAATAAAAAGGTCACGGCCTTTTTATTTTTTTTTTTTATTTATTTATTCACCTTACGGAAAAATAATTTGATTACTGGGTTTTTAATATTCAGACGGCAGTATTCATTTGAAAATTTCAGTCCCAATGATATCCCAAGTGCGAGAGTTTATTTTGTATTTTTTTCCTGTGGGAGTTTTCGAGTCCCCGTTTGTTGACAAATTGAAACCTGGTTGTTCAGGCATGCTAACCCATCTCAAGCGCAGCATTCCGGACCTCCGACAGCACAAGATTCATCTGCAGCCGTTGACGAGCCACGACTACTTGGCCAAACAGAGTGAGTACTGGTTATTAATGCAAAAAAAAAAAAAGAAGTTAGAAAATGAGAGATCCAATTTCCTTGCATGAAAAGTAGAGAGGCCACAAGAATACAACAGCACTCGTAAACGGTGATCAGTTAATAATTAATTTACTGTAGGCTTTTCCAAACATTTGCGTATTTTCATTTTTCTGTTCATTTTAATTATTTCTTCATTTATAACAGGCCTCGGATAGTCGACGACTTTTTCCACTCTTTTCTCAACTATTTTCTCTAATATTCATGAAAAATATGAATTTTTGACTCTTTTCTTGACTATTTTTGAAAAATGTGACTGTCTCCATTTTTATCACTCTTTTCTCGACAATTTTCGAAAAATCCGATTGTTTCGACTTTTTTTCGACTATTTTCGATATATACGATTTTTTTTTACTTTTTTTGCGATTAAATTTCGAAAAATACGATTTTTTTACTCTTCTCTTGATTATTTTCGTTAATTCGAAATATTTTCGATCCGAGGCCTGATATTGTCAACTTTTCATTTGTTTTCTGTTAATTTTCAAAAAAAAAAAAATTCGTGTGTTAAATTTTCCATTTTTCTATTATTAATTTTTTTTTTTTTGCTTTTAGTGACAACACCGTTGACGAAACCGGCGCGAAGAAGTTCGGCGGCTGGGGAAAGTTCCTTAAGTCACAATATCACTCACCCAGCGTCCACAACTTCTAGTCATTACACAACTCCTTCACCGCCTCAGCCAAGTGGTAAATTTTTTTTTTCCCCCAAAAAGAAAAATCAATTTTTTTCCACACTTTTCTTTAAATTATTCAATTATAAAAATATATTCGAAAATAATTTTATTTTAGTAAAAAATTTCACTTAATTTTTTGGAAAATAATTAATTTCATGGAAATAATTATTTTCGTAATTAATCAAATTAGTTACGAAAAAAAAAAAATCTTTCCTGAAAATTTATTACAATTTTTTGGAAATATTTTAAATGTTTCCAAGGATTTTATTAAAATTTTTATAAATAATAATTGAATTCTTAAAAAGAATGAAATTCTTTGAAATTGAAATATTAATTGAAATAATTGACAAGATTTTGATATTATAAAAATAATTGAATTCCAGCAGAAATTTTCCTATTTATAAAAAAAATTGAATTCTTTGGAAAAAGATTTTATTATTTGTAAAATAAAAATAATTGAATTCGTGCAAGGAATTTTGGAATTAATCTAAATAATTGACAACATTTTGATTTTATTATAATATAATTGAAAATAATTGAATTCATGCGAAAAATTTAAATATTTATAAAAATAATTGAATTTTCGCCAATGAATTTATTTTTAGAATTTTTTAAAACAATTCAATTTCATAGAAGAATTTTATTATTTCTGAAAATAATTGAATTGTTGCAAAAAATTTTGAAATTAATTAAAATAATTAAATTCCTGAGGAAATTCTTTCATGTATAAAAAAAATTAAATTCCTTGCAAGAAAATTTTATCAAAATTTTGAAAAATAATTGATTATTTATGAGTAATTCGAATATTTTTGAAATTTTATTAAAATAAAATTGAAAATAATTAAATTCGTGCGAAGAATTTTAATATTTATAAAAATAATTGAAATTAGGAATGAATTTTATTAAAAATTTTCAAATACTAATGGAATTTCAGTGAACAATTTTTTTATTTGTGTAAATAATTGAAATTCTCCTAAAGAATTTTATTAAAATTTTTTTAAATAATTGAATTCTTTAAAAAAATTTTATTCAAATAGTTGATATTGAAAAGAATTGAACTCTTGTCGATTATTTTATTACAATTTTCAAAAAATAATTGAATTCTTCCAAATTATTTAAAAAAAAAAATTTTTTTTAAATAATTTAATTCTTGCAAAGAATTTTATAATTAACAAAAATAATTGAATTCCTGTTAAAATTTTGATATTTATAAAAATATTTGATTTACTAAAGAGATTTTATTTAGAAGAATTTTTTTTTTTTTTGAAATTCGAGAAAAATCTAATTGAAAATAGTTGAATTGCTGCGAAGATTTTTATTAAAATTTGTGAAAATAATTGAATTTCTGTGAAAAATTGTATTAAAATTTTTAAAAATATAATTAAAATCTATTCTCGAGGAAAATTTAATTGAAATTTTATTAAAAATAATTGAATTCCTGTGAAGAATTTTATTTTTTTCTTTTGAAAATAATTTAATTTTTGTCAAGAATTTTTTTTTTTTTTTTGTAAATTTGTGAAAATAATTGAATTTCTACGAAGAATTTTATTAAAATTTTAGAAAATAATTGAATTCTGTTCTCCGGGAAAATTTAATTGAAAATAATTGAATTTTTGTGAAAAATTTTATTATTTTCGAAAATAATTTAATTTTTGCGAAGAATTTTATTAAAATTTGTGAAAATAATTGAATTTCTGTGAAAAATTTTATTAAAATTTTTAAAAATATAATTGAAATCTATTCTCGAGGAAAATTTAATTGAAATTTCATTAAAAATAATTGAATTCCTGTGAAGAATTTTATTTTTTTCTTTTGAAAATAATTTAATTTTTGTCAAGAATTTTTTTTTTTGTAAATTTGTGAAAATAATTGAATTTCTACGAAGAATTTTATTAAAATTTTAGAAAATAATTTAATTCTGTTCTCCGGGAAAATTTAATTGAAAATAATTGATTTTATTATTTTCGAAAATAATTTAATTTTTTCGAAGAATTTTTTTCAAAATTTGTGAAAATAATTGAATTTCTAGAAAGAATTTTATTAAAAATTTAAAAAATATAATTGAAATCTATTCTCGAGGAAAATTTAATTGAAATTTTATTAAAAATAATTGAATTCCTGTGAAGAATTTTATTTTTTTTTTGAAAATATTTTAATTTTTGTGATTTTTTTTTTAAATTTGTGAAAATAATTGAATTTCTACGAAGAATTTTATTAAAAATTTTTAAAATAATTAAATCTGTTTTCGGGGAAAATTTAATTGAAATTTAATTGAAAATAATTGAATTCCTGTGAAGAATTTTATTATTTTCGAAAATAATTTAATTTTTGCGAAGAATTTTTTTTCAAAATTTGTAAAAATAATTGAATTTCTGCAAAGAATTTTATTAAAAATTTAAAAAATAATTAAATCCATACTTGAGGAAAATTTAATTGAAATTTTATTGAAAATAATTGAATTCCTGTAAATATTTTTATTATTTTGAAAAATAATTCAATTATTTCTTAGATTTTTTTTTTTAATTTGTGAAAATAATTGAATTTCTCGTATGAATTTTATTAAAATTTTAAAAATAATTAATTTCTTTCTTGAAGAATTTAGTAATTTGCCCAATAATTATGAGTAATTATTTTAAATTTTAATTTTTTTATTTCAAAAAAATACAATATAGAAAAGTTTGCTTATAAAAAATTCGATAAAAATCTGCTTCTAATTAAAAATTTGTTTAGATTTATGAAAAATTCTACTTAATTTCCAAATTGTTTACAGTTGCAAGAAATACGATGAAAATACTTTACTTGTTATAAATTTGTTTATTAAAAAAAAATATAATATAAAAATTTTACTTATTGTTGAAATTATTTTACAGGGGACTTTCAAAGTGGACCGGGACGGCCATTGGACGAAGTGAACGCGAGAATAGACCAATTGTCGAGGCAAGTGACGTCGCTGGAGCACTCGATGGCGGGCGACATTCGACTGATCCTCGCGCTCCTCCAGCAGACGCTGAATTCCTCGAGGGAGAGTTCGAGTATCGAGATGATGCCGGGAACCGCGCCCGCCGGCACCGCCCGACCCAGTGGCAGAGCCCCAGCACTCGTTCAGCGGTCGGCGAGCGAACCGCAGCCGCAAACCGTTCCGCCCTCCGCCAGCAACAACGGAAACGGAAAATTGCAACCCAGCACATCACACAGTCTTTTTAGGTAGAGAAACTTTGCGTTTTTCTCCTTTTTTTCGCCCATTTTCATTTTCGAATTTTCGTATTTATTTTCTGTTCATTTTAAAATATTTTTCAATTTGTTTTCAATTTTATTTTCAATTCGTTTTCTAATTGTTTTCAATTTCAATTCATTTTCGATTAATTTTCACATTGATTCCAATTTCAATTAAAATATCGAATAGTTTTCAAATAATTTTCAATTTCAATTCAATTTTGTATATTTTTCGAATAATTTTTAATTCATTTTGAATTTCAATTTATTTTTGAATATTTTTTAATTAGTTTTCAATTTTTTTTTTTCAAATTGATTTTCAATCATTTGGAATGAATTTTATTAGAATTATTCAAAAAATTACGGAATTTCAATTATTTGTGAAAATAATTGAATTTCCTGTTTAAAATTTTATAAAAATAGTTGGATTTTGAAATTAATTGAATTTCAGAGAAAATTTTATTATTAAAGAAATTATTTCCATTTTTCAAATAATTTTTAAATAGTTTTCAATTAATTTTCAATTTTAATTCATTTTCGAACAATTTTCAAATAATTTTCAATTCAATTTTGAAAAGTTTTCAATTAATTTTCAATTTTAATTCATTTTCGACTAATTTTCAAATAATTTTCAATTTCAATTCAATTTCGAATAGTTTTCAATTAGTTTTCAATTTTTTTTTTCAAATTTAATTCATTTTCGAATAGTTTTTAATTTCAATTCATTTTCCAATACTTTTCAATCAATTTTCAAAATATTATCAATTCATTTTCTAATGAACATAAAAACAGTTTTCAATTAAATTTTAAATAGTTTTTAATTTGAAATAATTTTACTTATAAACAAATTGAATTCTTGGCAAACAATTTTATTAAAATTTTGAATAATAATTGATCAATTATGAGAAATTGGAATAAATTTGAAATTTTATTAAAATAAAATTGAAAATAATTGAATTCATGTGAAGAATTTTTTAATATTTATAAAAAAAAATTGAACTTTTGGAATGAATTTTATTAGAATTATTAAAAAAAAAAACGGAATTTCAATTATTTGTGAAAATAATTGAATTTCAGAGAAAATTTCATTATTTAAGAAATTAATTGAATTTTTTCGACTAATTTTCAAATAATTTTCAATTTCAATTCAATTTCGAATAGTTTTTAATTCATTTTCGAATAATTTTCGACTAATTTACAAATAATTTTCAATTTCAATTCAATTTCGACCAGTTTTTAATTAATTTTCAATTTTTATTCATTTTTGAATTTTTTTCGACTAATTTTTAAATAATTTTCAATTTCAATTCAATTTTGAATAGTTTTACTTCCTCATAGAGGAAGTATTTAATTCATTTTCAATTTTAATTCATTTTTGGACAATTTTCGAGTAATTTTCAAAAAAATTTAAATTTCAATTCTATTTCGAATTTTTTTCGTATATTTTTCAATTTATTTTCAAATTTAATTCATTTTTAAATACTTTTCAATTATTTTTGAAATTCAATTCACTTTTGAATAGTTTTCAATTAATTTTCAATTTTAATTAATTTTCAAATAATTTTCAAATAATTTTCAATTTCAATTCAATTTCGAACAGTTTTTAATTAATTTTCAATTTTAATAAATTTTCGAATTTTTTTCGACTAATTTTCAAAAAATTTTCTATTTCGAATTTTTTTCGTATATTTTTAAATTTATTTTCAATTTGAATTCATTTTTAAATACTTTTCAATTAATTTTCAATTATTTTTGAAATTTAATTCAATTTCGAACAGTTTTTAATTAATTTTCAATTTTAATTCATTTTTTGAATTTTTTTCTACTAATTTCTAAAGAATTTTCAATTTCAATTCAATTTTGAATAGTTTTTAATTAATTTTCAATTTTAATTCATTTTCGAATAATTTTCGACTAATTTACAAATAATTTTCAATTTCAATTCAATTTCGAACAGTTTTTAATTAAGTTTCAATTTTAATTCATTTTTTGAATTTTTTTCTACTAATTTCTAAATAATTTTCAATTTCAATTCAATTTTGAATAGTTTTCAATTAATTTTCAATTTTAATTAATTTTTGAATTTTTTCGTCTAATTTCTAAATAATTTTCAATTTCAATTCTATTTCGAATTTTTTTCGTATATTTTTCAATTTATTTTCAATTTCAATTCATTTTTAAATACTTTTCAATTAATTTTCAATTATTTTTGAAATTCAATTCATTTTCGAATAGTTTTCAATTAATTTTGCAAATAATTTTCAATTGCAATTCATTTTCCAATACTTTCAATTAATTTTCAAATTATTATCAATTCATTTTCAAATATTTTTTATTTTTCGAATAATTTTCAATAAGAAATCATTTTCGATCATTTTTCAATTAATTTTTAAATAGTTTTTAATTTGAATGAATTTTCAACTACTTTTCAATTAATTTTCAAATTATAATCAAATAATTTTTTTTTATTAATTTTCAAATTGTAATCAAATAGTTTTTAATTAATTTTCAAACAGTTTTCAATTCATTTACAAATATAGTTTTCAAATTATTATAAAACAAAAGTTCAATTTTTTTCCTTTCTTCGATTACTTTCTTTTCTCATTGTCAGAGTGAGAAAATTTTATTTTTTCGCCTTTTTTCTGTTTTTTATTCATTTTTTTTTTGTCTTTTGTTAAATTAATATAATATTAGTACTTAAAAGCAAGAGAGAAAATAAAGAACTGGAGAATGAAAAAAAAACAACGGCGAGGAATTTTTTTTTCTCGAATAGTAATAAATTTTTTATTTTTGTAAAGCTTTCTTTCGAAATCCCTGGATCAGTTGCATTTGATTTCGGCGTCTTTTATTTTGGATGGTTTGGACAAACTGCGAAGGTGACAACAAATCTAGAAAACAAAACAAAAAAAACAAAAAAAAAAACATTTTTTTTCTTCATCGGATCTGATTCTAATCAGTGAACAAAATCTTGGAGAGAAAAGGAACATAATTTTAATTGAGAAATCCTTAAGGAATAAAATTATTTTCCACCAAAGTTGAATTTCAAAAAGTTTTTCTTTTTAGTAAAATAATATTTCATTTAGTAATCAGTAATCGAATTCACAAGTAAATTTAATTTAAAATCTTCAGACAAAAAATTTTAAAATATAAATTTTAACTGAAATTATTTTTTAAATCTAAATTTTTATTAGAATTCAAAGATAATTGAATTATTTGAATTACTAACTACTAAAAATTTACTAAAATTCTTCGTAGGAATTCAATTTTTTTTTTTTTATAGAAAATTCTTCTAAATAATTTTGAATTATTAATTCTTTATTTTAAAAAATATCCATAAAATTAAAAATTTTTGAAAATTATTTTCAATAATTTCGATGAAACGAATTCGTTGGTCTTGGATTTTATTTAATTTGAATTCCAATTAAAATGTTCGAAAGAATTTAATTATTTTTCAAAATTTTTTGAATAAAATTCTGCGAAACAATTCATTTTTTTGTCGAAAATTTTCATAAAATTCTACGCAATATTTCAATTATTTCAAATTCAAAATTAGAAAAATTAAAACAAATTTTGGAATTTTTTCTTTATAAAATTTTTCTAAAATTTTTAATAATTTTACGATTTTTATAAAATTTTTCTAAAATTCTTATCGGAAATTCAATCATTATCAAAAGTTTTCAAGAAAATTCTTCAGAGAAATTTAATTATTTTCATAACAAATAAAATTCTCTGCAGGAAGTCAATTATTTCCATAAATAATAAAATTTTACTCAAATTTAATTATTCAAAACAAAAAGTTAATAAAATTCTTTTCAACAATTTTAATGATTTAAAAAATAATTAAATTCTTGTCGAAAATTTTATTTTTTAGGAAAATAATTGAATTTTTGCGAAGAATTTTATTAAAATTTTTGAAAATAATTGAATTTTTATAAAAAAAATTTCTTTATTTATGAATATAATTGATTTTCTGAAAAGAATTTTCTAATTTATGAAAATAATAAATTGAATTCTTATGAAGAATTTTATCAAATTTTTTTGAAAATAATTCAATTTTTTAGAGAAATTTTATATTTTATAAAATTAATTGAATTATTATGAAGAATTTTATGAAAATATTTCAAATAATTGAATTTTATCAAATAATTAAATTGAAATTATATAGAAAATAAATTGTATTTCTGCAATAAATTCAATTATTTTTAATTTCTGCGCAAAAACTTAATTGCGTAGAATTATTATTAATAGAATAGTTATTGCTATCATAACTAATAAATTTACTGTTGGAATTCAATTTTTTCCATAAATAATAGAATTTTACACAAATTGAATTTTTGAAAAAAAAATTTTTTTAAAAAAATTACTCCCAAGAATTTTACTATTTATAAAAATAATTGAATTCTTGTCAAGAATTTTATTATTAATATTAAAAGTAATTCAATTTCTTTGTCGAATTAAAGCTTTTTAAAATAATTGAATTCTTGACAGGGATTTTATTGAATTGATAGAAATTAAATTGAAAATAATTGAATTCTTTTAACGAGAATTTTATCAAAAATGTTAAAAATAATTGAATTGTTTCGTATAATTAAATTGAAATTGTATTGAAAATAATTAAATTCTTACGATGAATTCAATTATTTACGAAAAATAATTGAATTCCAGCGATGAATTCAATTATTTACAAAAAGAATTAAAATCTTGAAAATAATTGAATTTTTCAGAAAAATTTTATTATTCATGAAAATAATTGAATTCTTGCGAAGAATTTTAGTAGAATTCTTGAAAATAATTGAATTTTTCTGAAAAATTAAAAATCAAAATTTTATTTCCAAATATGTCAAATCTTTGAAAATAATTGAATATTTTATTCTCAAAGTATCAACAGAAATTCTTTTTCAAATCAATTTTTGTAGAAAAGTAAGTTGTACGACAATTTATTAGTTTAAATTAGAGAAAGAATTATTATTTCTAAAAATTGCAACAACTTATGAATTTTTTTTAATTTGAGTAATTATTATTTTTTTAATATTAAATTATTGATAATAAATTAAATTAATATTTCCCTTTTTGTTTATTTTTTGTATTAATTTTTTTTTTGAGTAAATAATTTTAATATTCGGAGAAAATAATACTTTTCACGTAATATAAAATCGAAGATTTAAAGTTTATTTTTAAAAAAGAGAAACTTTTGGAAAATTCGCCAAAAAAAAAAACAAATTTTGCAGCACTGGTTAGAATAAAAAAAAAATATATATATACATACGTAGATGAAAAACTAGAAGCGAATCGACTCCCACTTGTAAATAACAAAACCACGAGCTTCTCGAGTATCTCGCTAGATTTTCTTTTCTTATTATTATTATTATTATAAATATAATTATTATTACTATAAAAAGCTTGGCCTTGAGCACGGCCTTAAAGCACGTCCTTTCTTTTCTTTTTTTTCGACTTTAATGAAAGTGAGCGAATAATGGGAGATTTTTGTGCTTTTTTATTTTAAAGGCCATCGTCGACGAGGGAGCCGGCGTCGACGTCGTCGGGAACGTCGCGTCTCACAGTGACGTCAGACACGTCGGCTCTGGCCGCGGCCTTGCAGACGGCACTCAATGGCAGAGCGGCGCCCACCAGGTCGCAGAGTCAGCCCGTCGACCTCGCCGTGCCGCCCAACACTCAGCCGCACGCCTGGCACAGTCAGCCGGCCGCCTTCCGAAGGGGCGAATTCAAGAGCGGGTAATTGGAAGAAAAATTGCCAAAAACGAAAAAAGAGCAGAAAACGAGAAAAAATTCTTTTCATTACTGGAAATTTTACGTTTTTCGCTGTTTACCTTTTTTATTTAGATTTAAATTGAATTTTAATAAATCAAAAAGATAGAAAAGCGAAAAACGTTTTTTTTTTACCATCAAAAATTTTTATCTTCGATATTTATTCGTCAATTCATTGTAACGAATAAATTTTACGCTCTTTCATTTAATTTATATTTTTAAATATTTTAATATAATTCTAGACGAGAATTTAATTATTTTCATAAATAATACAATATTCTTCGGAAGAATAAATTTAATTGTTTTCATAAAAATATTAAAATCTTTTTTTCAAAAATTCAATTATTTTCTGAAATTTTAATAAATCATTCGAAACAAAATTCAATTATTTTCTGAAATTTTAATAAATCATTCGAAACAAAATTCAATTATTTTCTAAACGTTTATAAAAAATCATTCGAAACAATATTCAATTATTTTTTTAAATAGTAAAATCTTGGCAAATGTTCAATTATTAATTTTTGATAAAAAAATTTCACGAAAGAATTCAATTTTTTTCTTAATTTGTTATACAAAAATTTTCAATTATTTTTTTAAAAAAGTAAAATTTTTTGCTAAAATTCAATTATTTATTTTTAAATTCAATTAAAAATTTCAATTATTTTCGTAAATGGAAAATTTCTCCGCAAGAATTCAATTATTTTTATGAATAATAAAATTCTTTTCAAAAAATCAATTATTTTTAATGCAATTTAAATAAAATTTCAGAAAAAAATTCAATTTTTCTTAATTTTTAATATTCTTTGAAAGAATTAAATTATCTTCTAAACTTTTAATAAAATCTTCAAAGCAATTCAATTTTTTTTTAATATGTAGTCAAATTCTTTTCAAAAATTCAATTATTAAACTTGTTTTTAATACAATTTTAATAAAATTTCATAAAAGTTTTCATATTTTTTTATAATTTTAAATATTTTTCGAAAAAATTAAATTATTTAAAAAAAATTTTTATAAATTGTAAAAAGAAATTTAATTATTTTCATGAATAAAAAAATTCTTCTGAAAAATTCAATTATTTTTATAAAAAGTAAATTTTTTTTGCAAAAATTAACTTATTTTCAACAAAATTTCAATAAAATTTCACAAAAGAATTCAATTATTTTCAATATAATTTCATGTAAATTTTCCTGGAGAATGGATTTAATTCTATTAATTTTAATGAAATTCCAAAAATGTCTAAACAATTGACATAATTTTAAAAATTGCAGTAAAATTTTTCGCAAAAATTCTATTATATTCATAATTTAATTTCTTCGCTGGATTTAAATTATTTATAAAAATTTTTAATTAAACTTTTTAATATTTTTAATTACATTTCAATTAAATTTTTCCTCGAATGAATTTAATGAATTATTAAAATTTCAATAAAATTCTTCCAAACAATTCAAATTAGTTTATAAAATTATAAGAAATTTCTTTCAAAGAATTCGCAGTTATTTCAAAAAAATGTATTTCAATTCAATTATTTTCAAAAAAAAAAAAAAAAACAATAAAATTTCCTCAAGAATTAAATTATTTTTAATTAATTATAAAATTCTTTGCAAAAATTGAGAATTTTATTGAAATTCTATGAAAGAAATTAATTATTTTCGCATAAATGAAAAAAATTCTTTGCTTCAATTCAATTATTTTTTAATAACAAACTATTATTATAAAATTTTTCAAAAGAATTTAATTTTTTAAAAAAATTTTTAATAACTTTCTTCAGAAGTATTTCAAACATTTTCAAAAATAATCAAATTTATCACTGAAATTCAATTCTTTTCAAACATTTTAATAAAATTTTTCACAATAATTCAATTATTTTCCGAAATAATAATTCTCAGAAATTCAATTATTTTAATTACAATTTAACAGGAATTGCTCGAAAAATGTAATTATTCTGAAAAATTTAATTTTAATTCCTCGAAAAAATGAATTATTTAAAAAAAAAGTGTTTATTTCAAATTCTTTGGTAAGAATTCTATTATTTATAAAAATATTAGAATTCTTCACAGAAATTCAATTATTTTCAAATATTTTAATAAAATTGTTCGAAAGAAATGAATTATTTTAAATATACAATTTTAATTAAATTTTTTTTTGAAATAATTTAATTTTTTCTTTTAGATTTTAATAAAATTCTTCTCTGAAATTCAATTATTTTCACAAACATTATAATTCTTCTCTGATATTTTAAAGAATTTCTTTGAGTTTTTTTTTTTTAAATAAAATAATTGAAAATAATTTATTTATAATTTTAGAAAATAATTTAATTCTCATTGTGAAATTTAATTATGATTTTTTTGAAAATAATTGAATTCCTACGTCAAATTTTATTATTTTCGAAAATAATTAAATTCTTACGGCGAATTTGATTAAAATTTATGAAAATAATTGAATTTTTCTAAAGAATTTTATAATTTATGAAAATAATTGAAATTTTCAAATAATTTTATTATTTGGGAAAATAATTGGATTCTAGCGGCGATTTTTATTAAAATGATTAAAAATAATTGAATTTTTCTGAAGAATTTTGTAATTCATGAAAATAATTGCATTTTTGCAATGAATTTTACTATTTATAAAAATAATTGAATTCTTTTGAAGGAAAAAATAATTGAATTTTGCCGAAGAATTGTATTACAATTTTCTGAAAATACTAAACAATAATAAATTAATAACGTACTCAATAAGTGAATTTTTGAATCTGTAATTATTCAAATATTTATATTATTGAAAATTAAAAAGTATTGTAATTTATTTATTTACTTATTTATTATAATTTGCATAATCTATTAATATTTATAGTTATTTATAGTTTATTTTAATTTACGATTGAATTGAAGTTCTTTTTTCCAAAAAATTAAAATAAAAATGATTTAAATTGTGTGTTTTTTTTTTGTTTTGAAATAAAAAATGGGAAATTTCCAGTTACAGTTCATTCAATAAACGTTCGGAGCCGGAGGGCGACGATCCCTGGAGTTGTATTGTCCCGATACTGGACCGGGGACAATTGCAGCGGCCGCGGAGTGGCGACTCGCGAAAGGACATCGCACTGACGTTGCGGAGTGCGAGCGAGGGACAAAGAACGGACAGAGTGCCACCGGAGGGCTCGCAGCAGCCGTTGACGCAACGCCAGGAGTCGTCGAGGCAGACGAGCGAGGACATGTCCTGGGAATTCACCATCAACGAGGCGCCAATCGCGAGACTCGAGTCGCTCGACGAATTGGATCAGGATCACACTAGTTAAGGAAACACGAACAGAGAATAGAAGCAAAAAAAAAAAAGAAATTAAAGAGAAAAAAGAAAAAAAGGAAACGAAAAAGAAATACAATCCTTTTTCGATGAGGAAGCGAAAAATTGAAATTAACTAATAAAAAAAGAAAAGAAGAAAAAAGAAAGAGAAATAGAAGAAAAAGAAAGAAACCAAAAAGGAAAGAGAAGAAAAGGGAAAAGAAAGAAAACAGAAAGAGAAGAAAAAGGAAAAAAAATAACAGAAGGAGAAGAAAAAGGAAAAAAATAACAGAAAGAAAAGAAAAGGGAAAAAAATAACAGAAAGAGTAGAAAAAGGAAAAAAATAACAGAAAGAGAAGAAAAAGGAAAAAAAATAACAGAAAGAGAAGAAAAAGGAAAAAAAATAACAGAAAGAAGAAAAGGGAAGAAAAAGAAAGAGAGAAAGGAGAAAAAGAAAAATAAAGAGAAGAAGAAAAAGAAGGAGAGAAAGAATAAGGACAAGAAGGAAAATGGAGAAAAAAAGAAAGAAAAGAAAGAAGAAGAAAAGGAAAAGAAGAAAAAGGAAAGAAATGGAAGATGAATAAGGAAAAGAAGAAAAAGAAAAGGAATAAGGACAAGAAGGAAAAGGGAGAAAAATGGAAAGAAAAAGAAGAAAAAGAAAAGAAAAGGAATAAGGAGAAGAAGAAAAATGAAGAAAGAAAAAAAAGAGAAAAAAGGGGAAAGAAGAAAAAAGAAATAGGAAGAGAAAGAAAAGAAGAAAGTAGGAAAGAAGTTGAAAAAAGTAATAATCTTTGAATTTTTTAAGAACAGTCTTTAAGAATAAAAAAAAAGAAAAAAAACATAAAAAAAATAAAAATACAGACAAATACTGCCTTGAGACGTAGGTAGCAGGGTAGCGCCGTAGTCGCACGGACAAAATTTGGCTGTGGTTAGAAAATTGCGCCTTGGCGGGCTTCCTGAATAATATTTAAAAAAAAACAAAGAAACAAAGAAAAAATAAATTCCGCGTACGAAGTCGCGGATGGCCCATCCATCTCCCTCTCTCTCCCCTTTCTTCGCTTTTTAAAACGATTTTTTTCCACAATTCAAATTTTTTGAATTTTCAAACGAATTTTCGTAAAGATCCGCGGCGATTTTTTTTTTCTTACGACAGGAAGAAATATCCTTTTATTTTTTAATTTATAAGGCAAAAATAGCTTTTCTTTTTATAAAAATACTTTTCTAAACAAAATACATACAATTATGAATAATGAAATAAATATTAGAAATTTAAATTAAATGAATACATTTCTTTATTTAATTTTTATAATGAAATGAAAAAATTCTAGTAAATAAATAAATATTATATAAATAAATTTTAGAAATATAAATTTAAATTAAATTATATAACATTTCTTTATTTAATTTTAAATTTAATTTTTATAATTAAAAAAAATTCTAGTAAATAAATAAATATTGAAAAAATTAAATTCAAAAATTAAATGAATAAATATTATTTATAAAAAAAACAAATGGATAATATAATAAATAAAACTTTGACAAATTTCTTCGTGCGAATCAGAAAATTTAAGTTTAATGTCAAAAAAAAAATTATAAATGTCAATTGCTGAAAATTTGATTAAATTGTCAAAAAAAAAAAATGAAAATTCATGAGACAATTTATTTGATTTCATTCAAAGTTGTCCATAATTTGTAGAAATCGAAAAAGAGAAAAATTTCATTATTGATCGAAGAAAGGGGAAGAAAAGAAAAATTATTTAAAAAGAAAGCGATCGTATAAATATTATTATGTTTATAAAATATAAATAACAAAATTTCATAAAACTCTTAATATTACCTAACATTGCTAAATTTATATTATATGGGGCATTACTTTGAAAAAAGTTTTTCAATTTTTACTTTTTTTCCCTTTAGTAAAATTCATGCAAAAATTGACTGTCCAGAAACAATTTTTTTTATTTAAATAGGAAAAAGGAACATTTTTTTGAAGTCAAATTAATCATTTTTAATTCAGAATTTGAAATTTTTAATTTAAAATATTTCTTTAAAATAAAAAAGTAAATAATAATTTGTTAAAATTAAATTGAAAGTTGAAAATTCAATTGCAAATTTTCATTTCAAATTGAAATATGTAAAAATTTTTAATTCAATTTTAATTTTGAAATTGACAATTTAATTCCAATTGAATTGACTAAAAATTGAAAAATTCAACTTTAATTTTAAATTAAATAGAAAAGTGTAAATTTAATTTCCGTTTTAAATTAAACATTAATTTTAATTTCAAAATTACATTGAAAATTAAATTTTAATTTTAAAGTAAATTGAATTCAATTGCAAAATTTACATTCAATTTCAATTGCAGTTTAAAAATTGAAAATTTTTAATTTTTAATTGAAAAGTAATTTTAATGTCAAATTAAATTAAAAATTAAATTTTTATCTTGAATTAAATTGAATTTAATTAAAAATTTAATTTTAATTTTGAAATAAAATTGAATTTAATTGAAAATTTACTTTCAATTACAATTCAAATTGAATTTAATTGAAAATTTACTTTTATTTTAAAATAAAATTTAATTTTATTGAAAAATTACTTTTATTTGGAGATAAAATTGAATTTGATTGAAAATTTACTTTTAATTTCAAATTTAATTGAATTTATTTGAAAATTCAATTTCAATTGCAGTTTAAAAATTGAAAACTGAAATTCTTTAATTTAAAAATGATTTTAATTTCAAATTAAATTGAAAATTCAATTTTTATTTTCAATTAAATTGAGTTTATTTGAAAATTTACTTTTATTTTGAAATAAAATTGAATTTAATTGAAAAATTACTTTTAATTTGAAAGAAAATTAAATTTAATTGAAAATTTACTTTTAATTTCAAATTAAATTGAAATTTACTTTCAATTTTAAATTAAATTCAATTTAATTGAAAATTTACTTTTATTTTGAAATAAAATTGAATATAATTGAAAAATTACTTTTAATTTGAAATAAAATTGCAGTTTAAAAATTTGAAATTGTAAATTTTGTATTGAAAAGTTATTTTAATTTCAGATTAAATTGAAATTTACTTTTTTAAATTAAATTGAATTTATAATTGAAAATTTAAAACTAAATGGAAAATTGATTTTCAATTTTAAATTAAAAATTTGAAAGTTATAATTGAAAATTGATAATTCAATTTCAATTGAAAAATAAAAATTGAAAATTGTAATTTTTAAATTAAAAATTAAAAATTTTTTTGAATTAAATTGAAAATTCAATTTTAATTTTCGAATTAAATTCAAAATTGCAGATTTAATTTCAGTTCTGAATTAAAAATCCAAAAATTTAGTCAATTTTACATCTAAAAACTCTTAAAGCCAAAAAAAAGTCGGAAATTTTCCAAACGAAAATAACATCGAAATATTTATTAATTTACAACAACAACAACAACAAAAAAGGAGAAAAAAATTCACTCTACGTCCAAAGCCTCAAATTTATATAGGAATTTTCTCTTCTTTAATTCTCAATCAATAATAAATTAAAATATAAATTTACATATAAAATTATAAACTAGAAAAGAAAATATTAATTTCGGCAAAATATTTTTACGTCGAATAGAAGAAAAAATACTTTTCTTTTAATTTCCCTTTTTTTTATGTTTTCTAAATTCTTTTTGTAGCAAAAAAATATATATAACGAAAACGCGACATTCGATATTAAACGAGATAAAGTTCTTGAAACATAAATTTAAGAAAAAAAGGAAAATTTTCACAAAAGAAAAAATTAAAAAAAGAAAGAAGAAAAAATGAAAGGAGAAAAAAGTGAATAAGCTATAAATAAAGAAAAAAAATTCTATGGCTTTTTGTATAATTATAATTAAATAGCGAATCTTTCAATATTCACTTTTTAAATGTCTTTAGACCACGCAGCACGCACGGAGAAAAAATAATATAATAAATAAAAAACTCCAGCCAGAAAAATTTCAACTTTATAAAAAGAGAAAAACTGCCAAAAAAGAAGTTCTTTTCTATTTCTTTCTTTTTTAGTCTCGTTATCATTTTTTTTCTATTATTATTATTTGGTTTTCGAAAAAGAAAAAAATACATTGCGTAGAAAAAGAAGAAAAGGAAACAAGAAGAGTAAAATAGGGAAAGAAATTAAAAAATTGTATAGTTTAGACAACGGAAAATTTTCTTTTTTCGATAATTTAAAAAATTAGTTCGATCCCTATTTTTTGAATTATTAGAATAATCACGAATTTAATTGTATATAAATTTATAAATATTTGCATTTCTTCGACAGTTTCGTTAAATTGTTTTTTTTTAATATAAGAAGCGCTTTTTCTACTTCAAGAAATCTTTTTTCGAATTAAATTTCTTGAATTAAAATTGTTTCTAATTTAACATTTTTTTTTTTTTTGTATAGGAAGATTTTTTTTTTTTTAATTAACTCTGTGAATTTATTTTCTGTAAAAAGTTTCGTTACTTAAGATTTTTCTAGTCTGAGAAAAATTTCGTTAATTAACGAAAAGAAAATTTTTGTTACTAAATTTTTTTGAGTTTGAAAAAAATTCGATAATTGAAGAAAAGAAACTTTTCTTTTTTGTTAATTTAAAAAAAGTCAGGGACAAAAATTTTCTTTTTTTTTTTAATTTAAAAAAAGTTTCGTTAATTAACGGGAAGAAAAGTTTTGTTAATCAACGAAAAGAAAATTTTTGTAACTTTTTTTTGAATTTAAGAAAAGTTTCGTTAGTTAATTAAAACAAAAAATAGTTTCGTTAATTAATTAAAGAAAAGAAAAGTTTCGTTAATTTTCCGAAGAAAAAAATTTCGTTAATTAACGAAAAGATAATTTTCGTCACTTATTTTTTTTTTTTTGTCATTAATTCGAGAAACGTTTGTTTCGTTGACGATAATTTAAGCATCGCAGGCAAACATTGAGATTAATTTGCAACGACTTTTGAAAATATTATTATATTTTTTCGAGACGAGGAAACACGGAAAAAATCACATGTTACATGCATGCAAAAGTTTAATGAATATTTTGACTATAGATAATTATTTAATATATTTTATTGTTAAGTTTTATATAAAGAAAAAAAGATAATTTAATTATAAAAAAAAAAATTGGGCCAGTGAATGAACTTGTAAATAATGGAATATGTAAAAAGGTGAAGCGAGAAAATTGACACTGGCACACGTTAATTTATAAATAGTAGACAGTAAATAAGTTTATTTAAAAAAAATTATAGATATTAAATATATATTTCTATATATAAAGTGAATGTAAAAAGCGATTTTAATTATTTTAGTTTAATTTTAGTTTAATTTTAGTTTTTAAAATATTTTAAAAGTATTTTACTTGTTTATTTGTTTTTTTTTTAGTAATTTACTAGAATTATTAAAACGAGAAGTTTATTTGAATTTTTTATTTGAATTTTTTTTTTCTTTTTTTCTTCTTTTCGTTCTTTTCGTTGAACATTATTTTCGATAAAATTCTATTCGTCAATTATTTTTTGTTTCTTCAATTTATTTTCGTCGATTGAATAAAATTCTTTTCGTCAATTATTTTTCGTTACTTCAATTTTTTTTCCGTCGATTAAAATTCTATTCGTTAATTTCGACACTAAAAATGATTTTTCTTAATTGAAATTATTTTAGTCAATTAATTATTTTCGTTAATAAAAATTATTTTCGTTAATGAAAGTTATTTTCGCCACTAAAAATGATTTTTGTTAATTCAAATTATTTTACATTTAGTCAATTAATTATTTTCGGTAATAAAAATTAATTTCGTCGAATCAATTACTTTTGTTACTTAAATTTATTTTCATTCTTGAAATTATTTTCGTTAAATAAATTTTGTAGTAAAAATTAAAAATTATTTTCATAAATTAATATGAAAATTTAATTTTAATTTCAAATTTATTTGAATTTCATTGAAAATTCAATTCCAATTTCAAATTAAATTGAATTTAATTGAAAATTCAATTTCAATTTTAAATTTGAATTAAATTGAATTAAAAATTAAATTTCAATTGCAGTTTAAAAATTAAAAAGAAATTTTTTTTTATTATTTCAGTTAAATTATTAATTTCCGTTTAATTAGATTCGTTAATTTTCTTTTTATTAAATAACTATTTTTTTCAATTTATTTTCAATTTTTTTTTTAATTAGAAAATTTATTTTCGAATTTTTCTGTTTAAGAAAAAAATTCTCGCATTTTATTCAAATAGTTACTTGTCAAGATCGGCACATTTTCATTAAAAAATTTAGACACATCCATATCGACTTCCATTATAAATAAAATATCATTAAATAATTGTTAAAGAAAAGAGAAAAAAAAAGGAAAAAAAAGAGAAAATATTCATATTTCACAGAGTCTTTTTTTTCAATTGACAACACTAGTTTATAAACCAAAAAAAGGAGCCAGAATGGAGAAAATAAAAACTAAAAAAAATAAAAAAAAAACTAAATAAATACCTAAACTTTCGATATTTAAAAATTGAAAACAAAAAAATTTTCTTCCTTCTGCTCCTTTTTTTCTCTAACTCTCTCTCTCTCTCTCTCTTTTTCGGCACGAATCGACGTATTTCTTTATTATTACAAATTAAATTATTAAATATAATTAGTGAGTACAGATTAGGCAGCTGTCTATTTTCGAAATTTCTCAAATTTTTCCCCCTCCCCCAACAATAATGTATTTTTCGAAAATTAGACAAAAAAAACCAAAAAAAATTTACTAATGTTTTTGTAAATAGATATTTTCGTTCCAAAAAAAAAATTATTTTCAAATTATAACGAAAAGAGAGGAAAAATTGGAGAAATTTAGGAATTCGACATAAAAGTCGCCTTTGTAAGGCTGTGCGATGAGATTTCTCGTTCAACCAAAAAAAAAAAATCGCTCCTTGGAGAATCTTTTTTTTTTATTATTGTTATTTAAAGAAAAAAAAAAAGAAAAAAAATAAAAACGAGAATAAGATTCTTCATTGACCGATCTCAAATGGTTAACGTTTGTTTCGTTGTAATATATTTATAAATAATTATATTATTATTATTATATAATTAAAAGAAATAAATAAAGAAAAAAAAAAAGAAAAAAGTTATACTTTTACGAAATAGACGAAATTTCGCGTTTTTTCGCATTACACGTTAAGATTGTTCTGTATATATATGATATATTGGATTGTAAGGCGAGCACACTGATTTGTAACACGTAAAAATACAAAATTAATCCTTTCTCATGTTCTTTTATTTTACAACCTTAAAAACTGATAATTTATTAATTTATTATTTAATAATTACTTTGAAGATTTCAAACTTTGGTATTTTTGTCAAATTTCAATAAAATTTGTTTTTCTGCTTTTTTCCTTAAAATTTAGTCAAAAAACAACAACTTTTCCTTTAGACACTTTTTTGTACAACAAAAAACAAAAAAGTTATGACAAAAAGTACAAAAAATTGAGATTTATTTGCTTTGAAAATTTCAAACAAAAATATTTTTGTCAAATTTCAATAAAATTTGTTTTTGTATTTTTTTCCTTAAATTTTGGTCAAAAGCAAACAACTTTTCCTTTAGAAACTTTTTTGTACAACAAAAATCAAAAAAGTTATGAAATTTTTTTTAAAAAAGTACAAAAAATTGAGATTTATTTACTTTGAAAATTTCAAACTTTGGTATTTTTGTCAATTTTCAACAAAATTTGTTTTTCGGCTTTTTTCCTTAAATTTTGGTCAAAAACAAACAACTTTTCCTTTAGACACTTTTTTGTACAACAAAAAACAAAAAAGTTATGACAAAAAGTACAAAAAAGGAATTGAATAATTGAATTAATTTTCTAAAATTTCAACTGAAATATTATTTTTAATATTTTAAATACGAAAACTTTTGTAAAATTGAAATGAAGAATTTTGGTTTTTGTTTTAAAAATGTCGAAAAAAGAGAAAAAATTAAAAAAAACCAAAAAAAGGAAAAGAAAAAACAAAAAGACAAAAAAGAACTAAAATAGAATTCAAAAAGTTTCGACGAAAAAATCCTCAGTTTTCTTTTTAAAAACATTCACATTTTATTTTCTCTTGTTAATCGATTAATATTCCTCTTTTTTAGTAAATATTAATCAGTACAAAGTCGAGTACAAGACTAAAAACAGATTAACGTATACATAAAATACTGTATATCATCTAAAAAAAAAATACGAATAAAAAACAAAAAAGAAAAAAAAACATTTAAAACAATCAATAGTGATTATAAATATTTAGTAGAATTTCCTTTTAATTCTGAAGAACATAAATAAAAATCTGAATATTTCTTTTTACTTTAAATAATATATAATATAATATATATACTATAGTAATAATAATAAATTTAAAGCAATCACAAATCCTTGAAGGAAGTCAATGTTTTTCTCTCTCACACATAATTCGCTGTAATTTTCTTCTTCTTTTTCCTCTTTTTTTGTTTTTGATAATAAACTGTGAAAACCATTGAATAACGTGGCTAACTGACTAGTCACATGATTAAAAATAATCTCTCGAGAAGAAATCAATTGCTTTTTTTTTTCTTTTGTTTTTCAATAATGTCAATATTGATCAGTTTTTTTCCAATTATTAATCGAAACTCTCCATTTTGATCGTAACACTAGCTAAATTCTCGGGAAATCTGCCAAGAACCTAGAGAAAAATTTTTTAGGAAATTATTATCTTTATATTTTTTTTATATTTAATAATTTTATAATTTAATAAGCTGAGAAAGTATCAAAAAAACACAAAAAAATAAAAAAAAAAATAAATAAATTTTTTTTTCTTAACATGAACTCATAATTTAATTAATTCTAATTCAAAATTTTAATAAATTTTTCCTAGACTTTTTTTTATATAAGAAATTTTTTTATTTTATTTTTGTTTTATTGTTATTTTTATTTCATATTTTATTTTTATATTTTATAAAAAAAGAAAAAAGAATTAGAAAAATAATTATTTTTTCTTTCCAACGTTTGAAAAAAAGGGCAAAGAAAAATTTATTAAATTTATACTAATGGGCGTTAAAGAAAATTATTAATTAATAAATTTATTTTATTTTTGTTTTATTGTTATTTTTATTTCATATTTTATTTTTATATTTTATAAAAAAAGAAAAGAATCAGAAAAATAATTATTTTTTCTTTTCAACGTTTGAAAAAAAGGGCAAAGAAAAATTTATTAAATTTATACTAATGGGCGTTAAAAAGAATTATTAATTAACAAATTTATATTATTTTTTATTATTATTTGTAGGTGAAAATAGAATTGAACTTACGTTGCGTAAATCGGCGAGGAGTGTCGTGACGCTTTCGACCATTTCCTCCTCGTTCTCCTCGCCGATTCCAAAAATGCGAAACTGAACGATTTGCCAGCTGTGCTCGACTTCCTTTGGATAGGGCAATTGTAGGGCGTAAAAACTTTTGAACGCAATTTCGAATGCCTTCAATACTGAGCTGAATTTGTAACAAGTGTCACTGACGCAAACGTAAGCGGCTTCTAAATTTAATAGAGTCTCGCCGACAACGACGACGAGCGGCTGCTCGGCCATTCCATGAATTTTCAATTTCTCCCGACGACAGTCGAGTCGATTTTTCAATTCCGATATATTCTGTTTTTAAATAAAAAAAATTATTAATTAGAGAAATCTTCATTGTATTTTCGCTCTTTGCTTTTATTATTTTTCGTTGTCTTTTCTTTCTAAATATTTAGTGAATTTAATTTCTTAATGATTTATATTTCTATTAATTGCTTTTATTATTTTTCGTTGACTTTTTTTCCAAATATTTTAGTGAATTTAGTTTCTTAATGATTTATATTTCTATTAATTGCTTTTATTATTTTTCGTTGCCTTTTTCTAAATATTTTTTTGAATTTAGTTTCTTATTGTTATTAATTTACAATTTAATATTGTTATTAATTTACAAATATTGTGATTGAATTGTAATTACTTTAATGTGTAAAAGAAAAGCGTCTTGAGATTCAAGTCGATTTAATTTCCATAGTGGTTTACTTAAAGCCCCTTTGACCGCCTGGCATGGAAGCAACAGTGGCAATAATCTTAGAACTATCGCAGCCGCCGCTGAAAAGAAAACGAAAACAAATTATTTTTCGTTAACATTTTTTTCAACTAAAGTTCAATATTTTATTTAGTATTATTTACGAATAATAGAGAAAACGTAATGAATCTACAAAAAAATTCTATTTTAATAAAAATAGTAAAAATAAAATGATGAATAAAATAATGAAAGTAAAAAAATAAATAAATACATTTAATCGAAAGTAATTAAATTAATAATTTTTTTTTCTTCTTCTTTTGATTAATATTTACCCTGTGCATCATTGTTAACTAAACGATATTGATCAAGTAAGTCTTTAACTTCATTTCCTTTTCGTGACACGGCGCAAGCGAGAACTTCCTTTTCAAATCCCGGCCATTCTGACGTTATAATATTCGTTTGATTTGGATAAATTAACTCAAAGTCCGCCTCAATCTGAAATTAAACAAAAATTATTTACTTTATTCTTATTTTAACAAATTACTTTTTAATTGATTTTATTTTTCGCTTTTGATTTATGAAGAAATATTTAATAAATTATTATTATTATCATAATTAATATAAAAACAACAATAATCCTTCCAGAAATTTAATTGAAATTGTACAGTAAATAAAATTGAATACTACTGAAGAATTTTATCAAAATTTTTAAAAATGATTGAATTCTTTCAAAGAATTTTATTAAAATTTAAAAAAAAGAATTGAACTCTACTCGAAAATTCTTATTAAAATTGTATTGAAAATAATTCAATTCCTAAAAAGAATTTTAGAACCCTATGAAAGTAATTCAATTTTTGCGACGAATTTTATTAAAAATTTGCTTGAAAAAAAATTAAATCTTAATTATTAAACAAAAATTTCAAGACATTGTATTAAAATTGTATTGAAAATACATTCATTTCAAGGAATTTAATTTAAATTTTAATGAAATTAATTGAATTTTTCTAAAGAATTTTTTACAAATTGTATTAAAAATTTTAAAATAATTGAATTTTATTGAAATTTTTTGAAAAAGAATTAAATTCTTGAGAAGACTTTTACTTGTTGATGAAAATAATTGAATTATTAAGGAGAATTTTATTAAAATTTTGAAAAATAAATGAATTTTTAAATGAATTTTTTCGAGGAATTTTTAAAAATAATTCTTGAAAATAATTAAATTCTTTTGAGAAATTTTGCTGAAATAAAATTGAATTTCTACAAAGAGTTTTGTTATTTATGAAAATAATTGAATTTTTAAGAAATAATAAAATTTTGTAAAAATACAAATTCAATTGTATTGTGTTCAATTGTATAATTGAAATCTTACAAGATATTTTATTTTTGATAAAAATTGAATTCTATAAAGGAATTCAAATTCAAATTTTAATGAAATTTATGTAATTCTACTAAAGAATTTTACTAAAACTTATTGTATTAAAAATAATTGAATTTTTCTCAAGAATATTTTAAATGAAATTAATTTTTAAAATAATTCTTATAATTGCAAAATTCACACGAGAATTTTATTATTTATGAAAAATAATTGAATTCTTAAGTCGAATTTTATTTAAATTATTGAAAATAATTGAATTTTTCTGAAGAAATTGATTTTTTATGAAAATAATTGAATCCTTCTAAAAAATTTTATAATTTTTGAAAATAATTGAATTTTTGCCGCAAATTTGATCAAAATTATTGAAATAATTGAATTTTTCTGCTGAATTTTAAAATTTATTAAGATAATTGAATTCGTGAATTAAATAATTGAATTCTTGAGTAAGAATAATTGATTCCTTTGCAGCGAAATTTATTAAAATTTTTGAAAATAATTAAATTATTTTAAAGAATTTTAAAATTTATTAAAATAATTGAAATTTTGCGATGAATTTTATTATTTAGTAAAATAATTGAATTGAAAATTCAATTAATTTTAATAGTTTTTGGAAAATAATTGAATTTTTCTGAAAAATTTTATTATTTATGAAAATAATTGAATTCTTACGGCGAATTTTATTAAAATTATTGAAAATAATTGTATTTTTCTGAAGAATTTTATTTTTTATGAAAATAATTGAATCCTTTTAAAAAAATTTATAACTTTTGAAAATAATTGTATTTTTTCAGCAAATTTGATCTAAATTATTTGAAATAATTGAATTTTTCTGCTGAATTTTAAAATTCTTTTGAAATTTCTTTCTTTATGAAAGAAGATTTCTTTCTTTATGAAAAAAAATTGAATTCTTGTGGTGAATTTTATTAAAATTTACGAAAATAATTGAAATTTTTTCAGAAGAATTTTATTATTTATGAAAATAATTAAATTTTTCTGAAGATTTTTATTATTTCTGCAAATAATTGAATTCTTGAGATGGATTTTATTATTTTGGAAAAGAATTGAATTTTTGCGGCGAATTTTATTAAAAATTACGAAAATAATTGAATTTTTCTGAAGATTTTTATTATTTCTGCAAATAATTGAATTCTTGAGATGGATTTTATTATTTTCGAAAGAAATTGAATTCTTGCAGCGAATTTAATCAAAATTAATGAAAATAATTTAATTTTTCTAAAAGAATTTTAAAATTTACGAAAAAAATTTAATTTTTTTTAGAAATTTTATTAATAATTGTTTAAAAAATAATTGAATTCTTGCTGCAAATTTTATTAAAATTTTTGAAAATAGTTGAATTTTTTTGAAGAATTTTATTATTTATGAAAATAATTAAAATTTTGCAAAGAATTTTATTATTTGAGAAAATAATTGAAATTTTGCAAAGAATTTTATTATTTGAGAAAATAATTGAATTGTTGGGAAGAATTTTATTAAAATTATTGAAAATAATTGTATTTTTCTGAAGAATTTTATTTTTTATGAAAATAATTGAATCCTTTTAAAAAAATTTATAACTTTTGAAAATAATTGTATTTTTTCAGCAAATTTGATCTAAATTATTTGAAATAATTGAATTTTTCTGCTGAATTTAAAAAATTAATTAAAATAATTGAATTATTGAGGAAGAATTTTATTAAAAAATTAATAATTTATTTATTAATTTATTTATTAATAATTTAATTGTGTAGAATATTATTAAAATTATTGAGAATAATTTAATTGTGTAGAATTTTATTAAAATTATTAAGAATAATTTAATTCTTGTGTAGAATTTTATTAAAATTTTTGGCAAAAATTGAATTTTACTGAAAAATTTTAAAAATAGTTTAATTCTCGCTCAAGGAATATAATTGAAATTCCACTCTAGAACATTTAACTTCATTCTTTATATAAATTTAATTTTTTTGACGAATGTAATTAAAAATTTTTTAAATAGTTAACTTTTTGGAAGACATTTTATTAAAATTTTTTTAAATAATAGAAAGTTGATTTTTCAAAAAAATTATTTTTACTTCGAAACTTACGAGTTCATAGCCAATTGGTAGCTGCAGACTTTTATACATATTCATGTACATTCGATTAGTGATCGACGCGTCAGACGCCAACTTTTGTATTCTATATTTTGACGTCTGAATCCACTTTTTCATTACTTCAACCCACGGCACTGTGTGAGTCTCCAGCCACAGGGACAATTCTCTCAATTCGTGGTCGTCTGAATGAAAAAAGAAAAAACAAAATTACACTCATTGCGAAAAAATAAAAAAGAAAAGTTAATATTTAATTTATTTTTCTCTCTTTCGAATAATTCATATTGTACTAAATTATTTAGAAAACTTGAAGAGTCTTTTTACTATTTTATTATTTCTATTTATATTTATGATTCAATATTTTTACTTGAACTATAAATTCTTTATTAAGTAAATAATGTAAATAGAAAAAGAACCTGCTCCCTCCAGAAGCGCCAATTGTTCATGAGTGGCTAAAATTAAGTCTCGTGGTTCTGGAAGATCGACTTTCTTTGACTTCTGATAATTTCTCTCGTTCCCCAAAACTTCCCCCGCCTTTTTCAATTTCTCCCTCAATAAATAATATTTGGCGTGTAATTTTCCCCGCGCCAAAATTGGTTTCCTCGTCACCGAATGAATCGTAAATGGAATGTAATAAGTCGATGTACTTTCATTTGGAAATGTCTCGACAATTCGTGACGCGAGATATATTAATCGTTTCGAATTGATGCTGCAAACAAAATTTACATTTTTTTTTGTATTAAAATTAAAAAATAGAACAAATATTATATTTATTGAAACTTTGGCCATTGGCTCAGAATTTCTATTAAATAAAAAAAAATAATAAGTGAACTTTATATTTTTGGTATGAAAAAAATAATAAATAAACTTTAAGTATAATTATAGAAAGTATATTTAAGTGTATTTATTTATAAAGAGAAAATTTGAGAGAAATTTACCAAAATTCATTTTCCTCTTTAAGCTCGTGACGAATTATAATATCGGCTACATTAAGTCTGTGTTCGTTTGTCAATGTTTTCTTCTCCTTGTAATATTTCACTGCCGCTCGTCCTTCGATGACATTTTTTAATATTGCATAAACGTCGACTTCGTTTTTCAGCAAAGGATCTGGAAATTTCCATTTTCCCGATTTTATTAGTATTTTAATTGGAATTTTTAATTTAACAAATTTATTTGCTTATAAAATATTTTGCAAAATTTATAATTTCAAAAAACAAAAAAAAAGGTAACAAATATCTAAATAATACTATTGACAAAATTACAAGAAATAAAATTAAAGAATAAAAATAAAAAAAAAATATAAATAAAAAAAAATATAAATAAAAATACAAAAAATATAAATCAAAGTAAAAACGAAAAAAAAATTAATAAAAATAGAGAAACGGTAAAAGAATGAAATACAAAAATAGTAAAAGAACAAAATGCTAAAATAAAAAAGAACGAAATACAGAAATAGAAAAATAATAAATTTAAAAATACGAAAGTTTAATAAACTACGAAAATAGTAAAAGAACGAAATAAAAAAATAATAAATAAAAGTTAAAAAGTATAAAAATTGATAAAAATACAAAAAATAATAAATTGAAAAAATAGAAAAAATACAAAAGGCAATAAAATACAAAAATAGAAAAAATAATAAATTAAAAAATACAAAAGTTAATAAAATACAGAAATAATAAAAGAAAAAAAAATACAAAAAAAAATAAAAAAACAAAAATAGAAAAATAATAAATTAAAAAATACAAAAGTTTAATAAAATACAAAAATAGGAGAAGAACGAAGTACAAAAATAATAAACAAAAGTAAAGAAATAAAAATTAATAAAAATAAGAAAATAAAAAAATATTAAACAAAAGTAAAATAATACAAAAAATAAAAATAATAAATTAAAAAGTACCAAAGATAATAAAATACAGAAATAATAAGAGAAGAAAATATAAAAGTAACAAAATAAAAATAATTTTTTTTAATTGTCTCTCTCACCTGCTTCTGACGATGATAAATCATTATTTGCAGATTGTAGTCTCAGTATTCTCTCATCGATATCTTCAACTGCATTACTACTATTTTCCGAGCACTAAAAAAAAATAAAAATTGGTCAATTGTGACAAATTTAGTAACAATTTAGAATTTTTCTTTTTCTCTTCTTCTTTTAAATATGATGATAATAATAATAATAATAATTCTTACTGAAACTTCAACGCTCGAAAACATTGGCTCTGAGGATCCAAATTCTCGTTTCCAATTTGCCAGAAATTTATCTCGAGGGCCAATTTTGACGAAAAGCCTCTCAATGGACACCGGCGTTAAAACTCTAAACGACTCCTCGTCAATTTCTTCCTCTGGAAATTTATTTTTGCAAAAATTAAATTATTGACAATTTGAAAAGCAAAAAATTTTGGAAAATTATTAAATTTTACCAAACATTTTGTATTTAATATCTAAATAACTTTAAATATATCTATTTAAATTTTTATATTTAATTTTCAAATCAGAAATGATTTAAAAAAGAATTTCAGTTAAAATTTAAAAAAAAAATTCAATTATTTAAAAAAACTTTCACAAATTTGCAAATTAAATTATAATTTTAAATTGAAAACATAATTTTGTTTCATTAATATATTGAAATTTATTCTCAAAATTTTCTAAAAATTTTTTTAAATAAAAATAAAGGAAGTTTTTTCAAATTTAATGAAAATAATTTTTTTATTTTAAAGAAATTAATTTTATTACTTTAAAAATTTTTTTTTATAAAGATTATTATATTTTTTGAAAAAATTTTCAGATTTTCACTAAAAATTTGGAAAATAATTAAATTTTACAAAAGTTTTCGTATTTAAATAATTCAATTATCGTTGAAATCTAGAAAGAATTGATTTAGAAAAAGAATTTCAGTTAAAATTTGAAAAAACTAATTCAATTGTTTTCAAAAATTTTAATAAAATTCGCCGTAAGAATTCAATTATTTTTCTAGATAATAAAATTCTTAGGAAGAATTAAATTATTTTCAAAAATTTTAATAAAATTCACCTCAAGAATTCAATAATTTTCGTAAATTATGAAATTCTTCAGAAAAATTCAATTATTTTCATAAAAAATAAAATTCTTTAGAAAAATTCAATTATTTTCAATAATTTTATTAAAATTCGCCTCAAAAATTCAATTTTTTGTAAATTATAAAACTCTTCAAAAAAATTCAATTATTATAAAAAATTTTAATAAAATTCCCCGCAAGAATTTCAATTATTTTTCCAAATAATAAAATTCTTCACAAAAATTCAATTATTTTCATAAATTTAAAAATTTTTTAGAAAAATTCAATTATTTTTAAAAATTTAAAATTATTTTTAAAAATTGAAATAAAATTTGCTTAAAGAATTTAATTATTTTCATAAATTTAAAAATTATTCAAAAGAATTTAATTATTTTTCAAAATTTTAATAATGTTCGTCACGAGAATTCAATTATTTTTACAAATTATAAAATTCTTCTACAAAATTCAATTATTTTTTTTGCATTTTAACAAAATTCACCGCAAGAATTCAATTTTTTTTATAAATAATAAATTTTTGGCATAATTTCAATTATTTTCATAAATTATAAAATTCATCAGAAAAATTAATTATTTTCAAAAATATTCAAAAAATCCGCTGCAAGAATTGAATTATTTTTTAAATAATTAAATTGTTGAAAGGAATTTTATTAATTTTTCTTATAAATAATTGAATATTAATAAAAATTTTATTATTTATGAAAATAATTGAATTCCAGCAAAGAATTTAATTAATTTTGAAAATAATTAAATTTTTCTCAAGAATTTTCAAAATTAACTATTAAAACTAATTAAATTTTCGATAAAAATTTTATGAAAATTGTTAATAATGAAATTTTTTTGAAAGAATTTTAATAAAAACCCAATAAAACGAATAAAGTTCAAAAATTTGTAAAATAATATTTAGAAATTCTAAAAAAAGGTTGTAAAAACTTGTAATTGCAATTTTTTGAAAATAGTCCAATTTCCGAAAATAATTTCAAAAAATTGAAAAAACAGGAAAAGTTTTTTAAAATTTCATGAAAATAAATTTTATTTCAATGAAGATTTTCCAAGAATTTTATTTTTTTACTTTAAAAAATTATTTTTTAAAAATATTTTTATTCTTTAAAGAATTTTCACTTAAAATTTGGAAAAAAATCCAATTTTCCAAAAATTTTTTGTTAATAATTCAATATTATCGTTACAAATTTTCAATAAATTCCAAATTGTTTCAAAAACCGAACCATATTCAAAATTTTGCGAAATTCAATTATTTTCCAGTATTTTTTTTTTACTAAAATTCTTTCCTTAATTTTTGCAATTTATTTGCAATTATTTTTCAGAATTTTCGTTCTGAAATGAATAAATAAATAAATTAATTAAAAAAACACGTATCAAAATAGTTTTTCGGAATTATTTACCATTTAAAAAACTATTTTCAATTTTATATTTTTTGAACGAAAAAAATTTGCAATACTATCGATTTTGTAATAAAATGCAAAAAAAAATCCCGTTATTTAATTCGGAGCAAATCGGAAAAAAACCTACTTTTTCTCACAAATAGAATTCATGGTATCAAAATTATTATTTATTTTATTGAACGATTCGGCCATTTTTAGAATTATAAAAAAATTCATTTATATTGCAAAGTTACGGGAAGTTTTGCCAAAAAAAAAACAATATGCATTAACAGTGAATATTTTTCCCGTGTTTCATTTTCAAACTTTCTCTGATTTTATAAAAAAAAACGAGGGGAATTGGACTTGAAAAAAGCACAATTAATTGAAAACAGATGGTGTTTTATATGAAAATAATTTCTCGATTTTCTCTAAAAAAAAATAAATTTTTTTGACAGTAAAAATATTCTCTAACCTTCAAATAATGGAATATACTTTTCCATTTTCCATTTTGATAAAACACGACGAACGAATGGATCGGACATTGTGTTTTATTTTCCTGCACACTTCCTTTTCTCGTCTTCTTTTTATAATTCTCTTTAAATTTTTTCCTTTTTTCTCCTCTTGTTTGATAATTATTCGTGTAGGCTCCGTATAGGCAATTAACGAATACAAACAATCGTCCATTAGAGTGACCTAACCTAACCTACAATTCTCTCGGTCGGTAATTTTTCAGTATTTCGGTCGGTAAAGTAGGACGAGAAATCTGTCAAAATCATCGAAATTTACCGAGTAAAAGCAGTAAAACTGTCAATTGTCATTTGCTTCATGCATTTCATGGATTTAAGTGGATTTAAGTAAAGCTGTAAATTTACAGTGTTACAAATGACGAAACAGTGAAATTGTTATTAACAATGGCTTTTTTGGAGGTTAACAAATAACTAAATTCTTTGTTGAAAAACTAGGGGGTGGAAATTTTGTTTTTCGATATTCTAACCTTGTTTTTTTTTTTGTTTTAGTGGCGGCGATTTAATTTTTTCGATCTTAAAAAAGAGGTTGATTCGGGGAAAATAGCGCAAGTACTTGCGGTGAGTAGTAAATAAAATTAATTGCAATAAAATATTTATTATTTTATTCTTGAACTTTTGGAAATATTTTTCTATCGATGTTGTTTTCTTTGCTTTTTTTATACTGTATGTTTTTTTTTTCGTTGCTGTGAAATAAGTTTTTGAAAAATTAAATTCAGGGTTCTCGTATAACTGCCGCAACCAGTGGAAATGGAAATTTAGTTTTTGGCGATAATTTTGGAAATGTACATTTAGTGAACAGGACATTTGAAGTTGTGACATTTCGAGCCTACGAAACAACTTTGTCACTCGCCCAACAAGTACAACATTCCACATTTCTTTTTACAATCGGCGTAAGTTAACAAAATTTTTTTTTATAAAAACCTTCGTAAGAATTGGATTATTTTTTTACAAATAATAAACGTCTTCTTAGGAATTCAATTATTATTAAAAATTTAATAAAATTCCTTACATGAAATCAATTAGGTATTTTCTTAAATAATAAAATTCTTATCTAAAATTAAATTATTTTAAAAAATTCTAATAAAATTCATTGCCAAAATTCAATTATTTTTATAAGCAATAAAATTCTTCACAAGAATTCAATTCTTTTCGTAAAATGTAAAATTCTACATAAGAATTCAATTTTTTCAAAAATTTTAAGTAAAATTCGCTACGAGAATTTTATTATTTTCAAAAATAATAAAATTCTTCTGAAAAATTTAATTATTTGCATAAAATATATAAAATTCTTCAGAAAAATTCAATTATTTTCAAGAATTTTAATAAAATTCGCCGAAGAATCACAATTATTTTCATAAATAGTAAAATTCTTCACAAGAATTCAATTATTTTTATAAATAATAAAATTCTTCCAAAAAATTCAATTATTTTCAAAAATTATAAAATTCTTCAGAAAAATTAAATTATTTTCAAAAATTTTAATAAAATCCGCTGCAAAAATTCAATTATTTTCGTAAATTATGAAATTCTTCAGAAAAATTCAATTATTTTCAAAAATTTTAATAAAATACGACATTGGAATTCAATTATTTTCATAAATTTTAAAATCTTTAGAAAAATTCAATTATTTTTAAAAATTAAAATAAAATTTGCTTAAAGAATTCAATTCTTTTTATAAATAATAAAATTCTTCAGAAAAATTCAATTAATTTCATAAATTATAAAATTCTTCAAAAAAAATCAATTATTTTCATAAATTTTAATAAAATTCCCCGCAAAACTTCAATTTTTTAAAAAAATTTTAATAAAATTTGACTTAAGATTTTAATTATTTTTCATAAATTTAAAAATTATTCAGAAGAATTCAATTATTTCTATAAATAATAAAATTCTTCAGAAAAATTGAATTATTCTCATAAATAATATAAAATTCTTTCCAAAATTTCAATTATTTTCATAAATTATTCAATTCTTTAGAAAAATTCAATTATTTTCGTAAATAATAAAATTTTTTAAATAAATTCAATTCTTGTTAAAAACGTTAATAAAATTCTTCGCAAGAATTCAATTATTTTCGTAATTTATAAAATTCTTTCCAAAAATTCAATTATTTTCATAAATTTTAATGAAATTCCCCGCAAAAATTCAATTATTTTCTAAAAAATTTATTGTAATAAAATTCTTTGCAAGAATTCAATTATTTTCATAAATTATAGATTCGCTTAAAATATTCAATTATTTTCCTAAATAGTAACATTCTTCACAAAAATTTAATTATTTTCTATAATTGTAATAAATTTTTTTTCAAGAATTCAATTATTTTCATAAATTCTAAAATTCGCTTCAAAAAATTCAATTATTTTACTAAATAATAAAATTCTTCAGAAAAATTCAATTACTTTCAAAAAATTTATTGAATTTCGCGGGAAGTATTTAATTATTTTCATAAATAATAAAACTGATCAGAAAAATTCAATTATTTTCCAAAATTTCCATAAAATTCACTGCAAGAATTCAATTATTTTCATAAATTATAAAATTCTTCGATGAATTTAATTAAATTATAAAATTTCTAAACAGAATTTAATTATTTACTTTGCAATACAAGTAAAAATTTAATTCCTTAAATAAATTTTATTATTTTCATAAATAACAAAATTTTCTAAAATTTTTAATTCACAAGAATTTAATGACAAAAAATAATTTCTTGAAATAATAATAATAATAAAAAATTTTTTTTGAAAGGAATTTAATTGATTACAATATTTTGAAGCAAATTTATTGTTTCAATTGAATAATATATAAAAAATTGAGGGAAATTTTTCGAAAAAAAATTCAAATAAGGATTTTAATAAATTTTTATAGAAATTCAATTTTAAGGAATAATTTATTATTCAATAAATTATTTTCTTTTGTATTTAAATAATTGCATTCTCGTTGAAATTTCTCATAATTATAAAAAGTGTTTCAAAAATGAATTTCATTAAAAATATTCGAAAACAATTGAATATTAGAAGCGTTACAGTGCTTGAATTTTTATAAATAATTGAATTTTAAAAGTTATTTATACTGAAATCTTTGAAAAAAAAGTTGATGTAAAACTAATAATATTTTTAATCTTTTATTTTTAAAAAAATGGTCAATTTATCATTTTCTCAAAAAATAATTAAGGTTTTGAATAATTTTATTTAAAAAATTTCAAAAAAAAAAAAAAAAAATAGGATTGAATTTTGAAAGAATAGAAATTTATATTATTTACATTATATTTGATAATAGAATTTAAATATAATAATTTGATAATTTATTTTCATCATGAATGTAAATTTAAATTCTATTTTGACTGAGAAAATGAAAATTTACGTTTCTTTCTATTTTTTTTCGTGCAGGAAGACGAACCGGGTTGTAATCCAACAATAAAAGTGTGGAATTTGGCGAAAAAGGATAAACAGGGTTTTCCAACATGTGTGAGAATAAGTCGCGCGATTCCCAGTTATCGGGCAGTTCCCGTGAGTTCCTTGTGTGTTCACTCGAGTCTCACCCTTATGGCCGTTGGTTTCGAGGACGGTTCCATTATGCTTTACAGGTAACGAAAGTTAATTAAAAAGGAAAAAAACAAATTGAAATTATTTTTCTTTAAAAAAAGGAAAAATTGTTAAATAAAAAAAAAATTGTTAAATTGTTAATTAAATTTTTTCGATTTTTCTTTTCAATAAAAAAAAAAAGAGGAGACTTGACACGCGAGAGGAAGAATAAAATCAGAGTATTGAAGGATACAAACACGTCGATTACGGGATTGGCGATAAAAACAACTGGAAAGCAAAATTATTTATTTGTCGTCACGACGAGCAGTGTTTTTCTCTACAATATCACGGTGAAGGATAAGGAAATTAAATCAACGTTGGACAGTATGGGTTGCTCCAGGAAGTGCAGTATCCTCGCCGAATCGAAGCAGGACAGTCACTTTATGATCGGACGAACAGATGTAATTTTATTCATAATAATAATAGTAAATTTTAATTTTCATTAATTTCACTTCCTTTTTAATTTTATTTTCTCTTTAATTTCACTTCGATTTCAATTTCACTTCAATTTTAATTTTATTTTCTCTTTAATTTCACTTAGATTTCAATTTTATTTCTATTTTAATTTTATTTTCTCTTTAATTCAATTTTATTTTATCTTCAATTTCAATTTCGATTTCAATTTATTTTCAAGTTCAATTTCGATTTCATTTCAATTTTATTTCAATTCAGTTTCTATTTTATTTTAATTGCATTAAGATTAAATTAAACTAGAATTGTAATAGAAGGTAAATGTTAATTAAAAGTGAAATAAAATTTTAATAAAATTTAAATAAAATTTTAATAAAATTTAAATAAAATTGAAATAAAATAAAATTGAGATAAAATTTGAATCGAAATGAAATTAAAGAGAGAATAACATTAAAATTGAGATAAAATTGAAATCGAAATTAAATTGAAGTTGAAATTAATTTGAAAGTAAAATAAAATTGAATTTAAATTTAAATCGAAATGACAATAATAAGAATAATATTAAAAATGTATTTTTTGACAATTTTTTGTAGGCAATTTATTGTTACACGCCGGACGGTCGTGGACCGTGTTACGCCGTTGAGGGACAAAAAATAATGTTGGAATGGTTCCGAAGTTATTTGGTGATAATTGCAAAGGAAGCGGCTAATGTTCCGAGAACGTCGACGACAATTTCGGCAAAGCCGAGGTATTCAAAATTATATAATTTACAATTTATTTCATTTCTTAGTTTATTAATTGAATATTTTTGAACTAAATTTATTTAAATCTAACTTAATCTATTTTTACATTATTAAATATAATAATAATATAAAAATTATTATATTCAATAATATATTAATAATAATATTAAGAATAAAAATAATAGTAAAAATTATCAAGAAAAATGATAAAAGTAAAAATAACAGTAAAAATAGTAATAAAAATAAAAAAAATAACAACAGTGAATAAGTCAACAGTAAATGTTGAATATTGCTAAATGAATAAATTAAATATTTTATTAATCGTTTTTCAGTACAATAGAACCGATCCCTCCAGGAGCCGATAAACACATGATAACAGTTCTTGATATTCAAAATAAATTCATCGTTTTTTCGGCGTCAATGCTCTCGGTGCAGGCCGTACTTTCCGAATGGGGAGGATTTTTCATTCTCAGCGGTGACAATAAACTTTATCATCTCGACGAAAAGGATCTTCAATCGAAACTTTCGCTTTTGTTCAAGAAAAATCTCTACGACGTTTCAATACGGTAATTTTTTTTTTATTGCTTTTCTTTTTGCTAAATTTAGAAATTTAAAATAAATATATTTCACTGTCAAGTAAAATATTCTTTTCAAATATCAAGAAAAATTTCGTATTTTTGTTAATATTATGCAAAATATTTTTTTTAATACCAAATAAAATATTTTTAATATAATAAATATTAAATATTAAATATTTTTCTCAATATTCAGTAAAATATATATTTTTCTCAAAATTTAATAAAATATATTTCTTAATTTAAAAGGAAGAAATATATTTTTAATATTGAGGAGAATTTATGTTTTTTTAATGGAAAAATATTTAGTAATGAAACAAAAAGGTAAATATATTAATTTCCTTTTGTTAAAGAATATTTAGTAAATATTTTTATATTTAGTAAAATATATTTTTTGTTTAGTTTAAGTGAAATAAAAAAAAAATACGACTACTTGGTTTCAGAATAGCGAAAAATCAACATTATGACGCGGAGGGTTTGGTGGACATATTCCGACAGTATGGCGATCATCTTTACTCGAAGGGCGATCATAATGGTGCAATTGAACAGTATATAAAAACAATTGGAAGACTCGAACCGTCGTATGTGATTAGAAAATTTTTAGATTCACAGCATATTGATAATTTAACGACGTATTTACAAGCACTTCACAAACAAGGACAAGCGACCGAGGATCATACAACTTTGTTGTTGAATTGCTACACAAAACTCAATCACACCGATAAATTGAAAGAATTTATCATGGTATTTCATTGTTTTAATTTTTTTTTTAATTTCTGTTCTTTTTTTCTTTCTTTCCTTCTTTTTTTGTTCTTTTTTCTTTCTTTCCTTATTTCTGTCTTTTTTCTTTCCTTCCTTCTTTATTTCTATCTTTTTATCCCTTTTTCATTCTTTTTTTTCTTTCGTTCGTTCGTTATCAAATTTTGAGAAATAAACAATTTTGCAGACAAAGGATCGAGAAGTTGATTTCGACGTGGAAATTGCAATAAAAGTTTGCCGACAAGGCTCATCGGAGGACGCATTGCTTTTGGCTCAAAAACACGCCAAGCACGAATGGTATTTGAGAATCCAAATAGAGGACAAGGCTGAATACAAAAAGGCATTAGAATACATGGCTACTTTAAATTTCGAGGAGGTGAAAACAAATTATGACTAAAATTTAATTATAAGTACTAAATGATTATTATTATGACTGTAACTCAATTATAATTACGAAAATTTCAGGCCGAATTAAATATGAAAAAATATGGAAATATTCTAATTGATAATGTTCCGAATGAAGCGACTCAATTTTTAAAAACTCTTTGCACGAATTATTCGGGTAAAATTCAAGACAAGGTAAATTCCTATTCTATAAAATTTGTATATTTCATTGGTTTTTCAAATTCTTTTGTTTCTTTATAAAAATAAATTTTTTTTTTTTCAATTTCAGATTAATATTGATTCTAGTGAACACGTGGACAGAGCAAATCCAGAAGATTTTATTCATCTATTTTTAAATAATTCAGAGCGTCTTGTTGAATTTTTGGAGCATTTGGTCAAGAATGATGGCAAGTTAGTATTTATTTGAGGAAGAGTTTTTCAAAAAGTTGATAAATCCATTTTTCAAAAAAAATTGTGATAAACACTTATTCAAAATATTAGAATCCTTAAAAATCGATGTAACACTGTTAAATTTGAGAAAAAAAATTTATTTCCAAAGAATTTTCAATTTAAAAAATATTTTAACTTAACCTTGATGATTTTTAATTTTTAATTTTTTTAATAGAAAAAATTACCAAAACCTTTAATTCTTTGGAAAAGTTTTATAGGATTGAAAATAATTTTATTCCTTCGAAGAATTTTATTAATTCTGAAAATAATTGAATTTTTCTGAAGAATTTTAAAATTTATGAAAATAATTGAATTTTTCTGAAGAATTTTAAAATTTATGAAAATAATTGAATTTTTGCGAAGAATTTTATTAGCATTTTTCAAAAATAAATAGAAATTTTGTGAAGCAATTAAATTCCATAACAAAAAAAAATGTAATTATTTATAAAAACCATTAAATTCTTTCAAGAAGTTATTTTTTTTTGTAATTGAATTATAATGGATTCAAATTTTTTAAAAATTTAATTCTTTTGAGAAATTTTATTAAAATTTTTATTTGTTCATTGATTATAATTTTATTGAAAAAATTTAATCATAATTTCTCAAAAATTCAAAGTAATTGTATTAAAAATAATTGGAAAATTGAAAATTTATTAATAAATGAATTTTCTCAAAGATTTTTATAACTTATAAAAATACTTGATTCCTTGCAGCGAATTTTATTAAAATTTTTGGAAATAATTGAATTATTTTGAAGAATTTTATAATTTATGAAACTAATTGAATTCTTGGGGAGAATTTAATTAAAATTATTAAAAATAATTGAATTTTTGTTGAGAATATTATTACTTAGGAAAATAATTAAATGAAATTCAATTATTTTCAATAGTTTTTAGAAAATAATTGAGTTTTTCTGAAAAATTGTATTAATTATGAAAATAATTGAATTTTTGCATCAAATTTTATCTAAATTCTTGAAAATAATTGAATTTTTCTGAAGAATTTTAAAATTTATGAAAATAATTGAATTCTTGAGACGAATTTTATTAGAGTTCTAGAAAATAATTGAATTCTTGAGACGAATTTTATTAAAATTTTTGAAAATAATTGAAATCCTGAGAAAACTTTTATTATTTATGAAATAAATTTTCACTTCAAATAATTGAATTCTTGCGAAGAATATTATTATTATTTAGAAACTAATTGAATTATTTTAGAGAATTTTATTTGAATTTGTATTAAAATTAAAAGTAATTGAATATTTAATGGAATTTTTATTATTTATGAAATTAATTGAATTTGTTGCATCGAATTTTATTAATATTTTAGAAAATAATAATTTATTAATTTTCATTTTACTTTATTTACTTATTAGAAGTAATTAGTTAATAAGTAAACTATTTAATATTTTGTATGTGAAAAACAAATTTTGTTTAATAATTCCAGATGGAGTACTCTTGTTTACAATACTTTAGTGGAACATTATTTACACGTGTGGTCGGCGTTGAAGGACGAAATTTCCAAATTACAATACGAACAAAAAGTCGTTCGCCTTTTGCAAAATTCGAATGCATGCTACGACAAGGATCAAATTTTGATTCTTTGTCATCAACATAATTTTCGACGGGGAATTCTTTATCTCTACGAGGAACGAAAATTGTAAGTCTTTTTCCCTATTTTTCCTAATTTGTAATTTTTATTTATAAATTGTAAAATTATAATTGAATTTTTAAAAATATTTATTAATATAATATTTTATTTATTAATATTTATTAATGTAATATTTTATTTCCTTCTCTAGATATCAAGAAGTACTCCAATATCATTTGAGAGAAGGTGACAGCGAACAAGTTTTATCGACTTGCAATCGTTTCGGTCGCCAGGATCCAAATTTATGGGTTCAGGCCCTATGGAGTGTGGCTAGAAATAAAAAAGCCCCACCGAAACTCTTGGCTGATATTCTTGCGCATATTGGTAAACAAATTCCAATTTTAAAATTTATCTTTTTAATTTTTTTCATTTAACATTTTGTTCATGGAAATAATTCAATTTCTTTAACTGGACGAATTTTATTAAAATTTATTCGAAAATAATTGAAATTTTGCGAAGAATTTTATTATTTTTAAAATAATTATGAAAGTAAATTTTGAATTCTTGCGGCGAATTTTATTATTTAGGAAAATATTTGAATTTTTCTGAAGAATTTTGTAATTTATGAAAATAATTGCATTTTTGCAGAGAATTTTATAATTTATGAAAATAATTGAATTTTTACGAGGAATTTTATTACAATTTTTGAAAATAATTGAGTTTTTCTGGGAAATTTTATTATTTATGAAAATAATTCAATTCTTGCGAAGAATTTTGTTATTTATAAAAATAATTTAATTCTTGCGGCAGATTTTATTATTTAGGAAAATAATTGAATTCTTGCTGCGAATTTTATTGAAATTTTTGAAAATAATTGAATTTTTCTGAAGAATTTTAAAATTCATGAAAGTATTTATATTCTTGTGGCGAATTTTATTAAAATCTTTGAAAATAATGCAATTTCCTTAATTTTAGCCGAGGAGAAATTAATGTCACCGCTGATGGTTATCGACGCACTTTCGACTTCATTGACGTGCTCGTTGGGCGACGTTCGTCCCTATTTGAGCAGCGTTTTACGAACCGAGCACGAACAAACCCAGGCGGATACAAAATTAACTGAAAAATATCGCCTCGACACTGAAGAATTGAGAAAGGAAATTGAAAAAATTAAAAGCAGCACAATTATATTCCAGAGTTCACGATGCAGCGCTTGTAATCAGGATCTTGAACTGCCTTCTGTTCATTTTATGTGCCAGCATTCGTATCATCAACAGTTTGTATTTTTTTTTCAAACTTTATTAATTTAAATTTAGTTTCAGTTAACTTCAATTTTAATCTAAATTCATTTATATTTATAATTTGTATTTAATTTCAATCTGAATTAATTTTTATTTGAATTTAATTTCAATCTGAATTTATTTTCAATTTGAATTTAAATTGAATTCAATTTCAATCTGAATTTATTTATAATTTGTATTTGAATTTTATTTGAATCTAAATTTATTTTCAATTTTATTTCAAATTTGAATTTAATTTCAATCTGAATTTATTTACAATTTGAATTTGAATTCAATTTTAGTCTGAAATTATTTTCAATTTGAAAATTAATTAATAGAGAAAAAAATTCGCAACAGTTGCTTTCAGAGTTTCTCGGAGAACGAAAACGAGTGTCCGGCCTGTCTGCCGGACAATAAAAAATGGTTGGACATTATAAAAGCCCAGGAGCAATCGCGAGATCTCCACGAGACGTTTCACAGTCTTTTGGATCGTGCCGAGGATCCATTTTCCCTCGTCGCCGATTATTTCGGTCGCGGAGTTTTCAAGAAATTAACCGTCATCACTGCCGACGAGAAGCCAAACTACAAAGTCGAAGACACCAATCCCTACAATACTTATGGACCCGGAGCCGAGGCCAAAATTCGTCTCGGCGAAGGGAAAAATTCCACTCTCGGTAAAAAAAACTGTAATTAAAAAAGTTTTAATTTGCGTCAGCAAATTAAAAATTTTTAAATTAAATTAAATAGAATTAATTGAATGAATTTGAATTAATTTGAATTAATTGAAATTATTTGAATTAATTTGAATTAATTAAATTCATTTGAATTAATTCGAATTAACTTATTTGTATCGTAATCAATAGTTCGTTAATTTCCAGTAAAATCGGAAAATCGCCAGACCATCGGCAACAATGATTTTCTTCGGGCAATAAATAAGCCGGACATTTATTCGTCGTCATTGGAGGCAAATATAACGGGCAGTGGACAATCGTCGAGAGCGTCGCCGATACAAATTCGCGAGGCGAAAATTGTGAATAGCGTCACGCCAAAATCGTCGCCGCAGAAAAATTTCATTCCACCAAAAGCGCCAATAATACCGGCGAATAATCCATTCAAGGAGGACGATTACGACGAGGCGAAGAATCCATTTGCCGACGACGACAATGACGACACGAATCCATTCAAGGACGATATTGACGATTATGACAAAAATCTTAATCCATTTGCGAGTTAAGAGAAATATTCTTTTTTGTCAATCTCCCCCTTCGCCTCACAGGTAGTTTTTTAATTGCCTTCTTTTTATATATTGTACATAATTAATTAATATATTCCTACAGTGATAAAGAAGTGATTTTTTTTCTCAATAAATTAACCTCAGCGAATTGGAATTTCGCATTAATTTGAAAATTCGAAACATTTACAAACAGAAGAAGAGCATTTTTTAAAAAAAACTTCAAAAAAATCAATTATTTAACAAAATTTTTATACAATTCCTCACAATAATTCAATTACTTTCACTAATAATAACATTTTTCATAGAAATTTAATTAATTAAAAAAATTTTTCATAAAATTCTTTGCAAGAATTCAATTATTTTCATAAATAATAAAACTCATCGAAGAATTTCAATTATTTTTAATAGGATTTCAAATTATTAAATCGAAAAATTCAATTATTTTCACAAATAAAATTTTCCAGAAGAATTCAATTATTTAAAGTAAAATTTTCGTAATATTTATTATATTTCGAAAAAAATTAATTATTTAAAATAATTTTTATAAAATTCTTATGAAGAATTCAATTATTTTCAAAAATAACAAAATTTTTTACTGAAATTCAATTTTTTTTAAAGATTTTTTAATAAAATTTTCCGCAATAATTCAATTATTTTCATAAATAATAAATTTCTTCTCATGAATTTAATTATTTTTGACAATTTTAATAAAATTGTTCGAAATAAATGAATTATTTTAAATACAATTTTAATTGAATTTTTTTTTTAAATAATTCAATTATTCTTTTAGATTTTTTAATAAAATTTGAAGTAAAATTTCAATTATCTTCATAAATAACAATATTCATCACAAGAATTCAATTATATTTCATACAATTTTAATTTTAAATAAATATTACAAAATAATTGAATTATTTTTAACATTTTTTTATAAAATTAATCGCAAAATTTCAATTTCTTTCATAAATTATCAAATTCTTCAGAAAAATTCAATTATTTTTGTAAAAAATAAAATTCTTCACAAAATTTCAATTATTTTCAGAAAAATATATAAAATCGTTCAGAAAAATTCAATTATTCTTAAAAATTTTAATATAATTCGACTCAAAAATTCAATTACTTTAATAAATTATAAAATTCTTTAAAAAAAATCAATTATTTTTTACATATTTTAATAAAATTCTTCGCAAGAATTTAATTATTTTTAATACAATTTTAATTAAACAAATAACTCAAAATAATTCAATTACTTTTAATATTTTTAATAAAATTCTTCACAAAATTTTTCAAATAAATTCAATTATTTTCATAAAAAATAAAATTCTTCAGAAAAAATTATTTATTTTCAATAACTTTAATAAAATTCGCCGCAAGAATTCAATTATTTTTAATACAATTTTAATTAAACAAATAACTCAAAACAATTGAATTACTTTTAATATTTTTAATAAAATTCTTAGAAAAATTTCAATTATTTTCATAAATAATAAAATTCTTCACAAAATTTTTCAAGTAAATTCAATTACTTTAATAAATTATAAAATTCTTTGAAAAAAATTCAATTATTTTTTAAATATTTTAATAAAATTCGCCGCAAGAATTCAATTATTTTCGTAAATAATAAAATTCTTTGCAAAATTTTAATTGTTTTCATAAATAATAAAATTCCTCGGAAAAATTCAATTATTTTCCAAATTAATAAATTTGTCACTGAAATTCAATTCTTTTTAAACATTTTAATAAAATTTTTTGCTATAATAATTTTTTTTGCTATATATAAAATTCTTAGCAACTATTCAATTATTTTCAAAAATAATAAAATTCATCGCGCAGAATTTCAATTATTTTACATACAATTTTACAGAAATTGCTGAAAAAATGCAATTATTCTTAAAAATTCAATTTCAATTCCTCGAAAGAATTAATTACTCAAAAAATTGCTTTTTTAGTTTCTTTAGAAGAAAATATTTTAATAAAATTGTTCGAAAGAAATCAATTATTTTAAATACAATTTTATTTAAATTTTTTTGAAATAATTCAATTATTCTATTAGATTTTAATAAAAATTCTTCCTGAGAATTCAATTATTTACATAAATAATTCTTCAAAAGAATTCAATTATTAAAGATAAATTTAACAAAATTATTCCCGGAAAATTGAATTATTTTGAGGTATTTTTATCAAATTCTTTGTAAAATTCAATTATTTTCATAAACAACAATATTCATCAGAAGAATTCAATTATTTTTAAAAGTAATAAATTTCTTCTTGTAAATTCAATTATTTTCAAGAATAATAAAATTCTTTTTGGAAATTGTATTATTTTCAAAAAATTTTAATAAAATTCATAAAATGCCACACAGACATTAAATTCATCAAAATTCAGTCAAAAATTTTAATAGAATTCTTTGTAAAATTTAATTATTTTTATAAATTTTCGGCAATTCAATGATTTTCAATATCATCTATTTTCATAAAATTTCCAATCAGAATTAAATTATTTAACAAAATTTTTTTGTAAAAATCTTCGTAAGAATTCAATTCTTTTCATGAATAATAAAAATTTCTCTGGAATTCAATTATTTAAATTTTAGAATTTTTATAAAATTAGTCGAAAGAAATGAATTATTGAAAAATTCTTCGCAATAATTAAATTATTTTTCTAAATATTTAAATTCTTTGACGAATAATAAAATCGTTGGAGGAATTGAATTTATTAGCAGTTGGATAAGAAAGAAGTAAATATTTTTGATGAAAATTAGGAAAAAGTGAGGAAAATAAAAAATATGGAATAAAAGTTTGTTTTCGATTTGAAAAAATCAGAAGGGAAAAAATTGTTAGCGATACAAAAAGAATAGTAAAAAGTCATTAAAATTTCTTTTAATAAAAAGTATATTTTTATTTAGATTTATTTTAAATATTACTAAAAAAAATTGTAGAAATATAGAAAAAAAAGGATAGTTAAGACTATTGTATAAAAATACTTTTTCTTTCTTCAGTCAATAGGAATTTTTACAAGAATTTTCTTTTTTTTTCAATCGAGATTAGTGGACAAAGTCCATATTCCATTTCCAACTGCGAATTTTGTCACTCACTCGAAAAGCGTTCCAATTTTCCGTTTGCTCTGAATTTCTCGGTTTCACACAAACGGCCGTGCAATATTCGTCCGCATATTTTGGATGAAAGAAGTCCGACAATTTTGGAATTGCGTCACGTTGCCTTGGCTCTGGATCTTTACTTCTCGTGAATCTCGTTGGCAATTCCGTTTCGTCTATTGACAAATTAATCAAATTTTTGAAGATTATTTCGTCCGGGGGAAAATCCAAGGAATGCGCCACCTGGAAAAATACAATTTTTTATAAAATTCTTTTTAAAAAATCCTCTTGGAAAAATAAATAAGTATTTAAATATTTATTTAACAAAAATTATTCAACTTCTGATTCAATTTATTCAGAAATATTCAATTATTCAAATTAAAATTATTTTGAAAAGATTAATTTCTATTTGGAAGTGTTTTCAAAATTTAATTCAAATAAATTTTATGATGTAAAGAATTTTATTTTTACTTTTAAACATTATTTCTAAATATTTTTTTGAGGTATTTGAAATTAAAATTTAGAAAATAATTGAATCTTAAAGTTACTTTTTGCTTCTTTTGCAAAATTAATTATCGAGTGCGAAGCAGTCGATAATTAATTTAATAATTAATAATAAATAAAGTTAATAAAAAATTTCAACAGAGAATACAATTTTTACCTTTCCATTGACCAAACTCTTGTAGATCGGAGGCAAATGCTCAACGTCAGTAATAATATTCTCCTTCTGCACCTCCTTTAATTTATTAATTGTATTCATAATCGAATTATACTCCGGTTTCGACAATTTTTCCCCCCTGAATTTACCATTCTCCATCCCACCATTCTCATCATTTGAATTAAAATTCAATTCTTTACGAGAAGGTCGAGAAACTCCGGGAGTGACAAAAAATTTCGATTTCGGTTTCACAGAAATATTTCGTAAAACAGTTTTTTTCATCGGTGAATATTTTCCATTTGCTTTCACCTTCGATTTTAAACACGGCATAACACCCGCAACTTTTGGTCTCGTCGACGTCGAACTTCTCTGTATAAAACCCAAAGGCCGTGCACTGCGAATTTTTAAATTCTCCTGTGAATTCTGAAATTTCTTCGGCGATTTTGCCTTTGACAGTCGATTTATAGAATTTAATTGTCTCCTCGACAGGGTTGACACAGATTTTTTCTTCGTCTCAGGAATTTCTTTTTCTTCTAAAGGTTTTTTCACTTTTTTCAATTCTTGTTCCTCCTGTGTTTCTTCCCTTTCTTCAATCGCTTCAAACTCTTGAGTCGAATTCAAGGGAATTTCGAGCGATTGCTCCTGAATTGTAGACAAATTTCCCCTTTTAAAAATTTTATTACCTTGGTCGATTTTTCCATTTTCGATTAATATTTTCTGTTGTGAATTTGTTGTGAATTCTGTGTCGGTAAATAAATGCTCCTTTGAATTCGAAAAAGCCTTCGCCTCGTCTTCGAAGTCCGGGGGAATTTTCTCATCCTCAGCGTGAACGTCGACTTGAATTAATTGTGGATTTTCCGCTTCGTCTTTCGATAAGGACGAGAAGGACGAATCGACAGAAGGACTAAAATATTCCTGATCACTATTTTTCAACACCGGGTAATAATTTACAGGCGAATTTTCTTCTCGTTTCTCTGTTAATTTACCACCGTTATCGTCATCATCATTGTTATCGTCATCGAGGGAAAGAATTTTATAAGGTTTTTCAACTGTCACAATATTTTTAATTGTCGGCTTCCTGACGGGAAGAAACGGCTCCTCTTCTTCTTCGTCTTCCCACTGACAGAATCGAACTTTTGGACGAATCACAAATTTCCCGCTCTCGGACATAATTAGCGAAAAAATAAATTATTGAGACCGAATTTTAAACACTATTTTAATTCACTTTTCCATACTTTTGAATTTATTTCAAGTTTCAAAATTAGGTTTTATTTTATTGAAAGGATTTAAAAGAGTTTTTTAGACTTTTAGACTTTAGGGAAACGTTGGAAAGTTTTTATAAAAAAAAAGAAGGTAAGCAACGTAAACAAACAAGACGGAAATTGACACTTTGCGAAGGGCGAACATAACCTAAAAAATTTCCGTCGCCCTCTGTCGACAATGTTTTCAACTAATCACAGCTGATTATTATTGAATTTTTGTATTTTTTCAACAAGATTGTCGAAAACGTGGAAAACAATAATTTTAATATAATATATACAAAGTAGGAATAGAAATATCTATTAAAATTATTTTTTAGTGTTTTTTCATAGAAATTAGAAAAAAAAGTTGCATAGTGTTAGTGCGAAAAAAATGCAAATGTGCCAAAAGTGAGAAGAAAAAAAAATGTTCCCTATTTCTTTTGGATAACTTTATTTGCTAGTTTTTTTAATTATTGCTATTACAATAGTTATGGATAATACTTCGACGCACTCGGGTTTATTTCAGGTAAATTTTTCCCGAGTGATTTTATATTTTTAGTTGTAATTTGAGGTTATGTTCGGATCTAAAAATTTCTCGTTTCGTATATTTTTTCTCTTTTTTCTAATTAAAAAACGAATTTACCTTCATTTATATGGAATTTCCTTTAGTAATGTATTTTAATTAATATTATTTTGCTTTTTATCGCAACAGAAATTTAAGGTTATGTTTAAAATAAATTTCGTTTTTTTAAATTTGCGAAAACCAGAAATTGTTTTTGTAATTAAACTTAATAAATAATAATAAATAAATAACAGTAATAATAATATTAATAAAAACAATGTTAATAGTAATATGTATATAATAGTAATATATGCTAATAATTAATAATTGTAATAAATAAATAAATTTAACTTTATGTTTGAAATTTATTTTTTCAAATTGATTGAAGAGAAAAAGGAGTTTTTTTTTAAATTCTTTGCTGAAATTTGTAAATATTTATTTATTGTTAGAATCCCGACTGCCTGCCGTTGGAGGATTTGCTTCTAACGATTAAAACTGAAGGAATTCCAGAAAGTGTACCTGCATTGGTGAGTATTGGGGAAATTTAAAAAAAATTAAAATTACATAAAAAATGTCGGTTTAAAAAATACCTTCTAAACTATTTTTTTAAGTAAAAACTAAAATTTTTTTCGCTTTTTAGAATAAACGCTGGGTTGTGGATCGTTATTTTGTTAACTATGAATCGCCTCTTTTTGAAGATTCCCAGGGCAAAGAAATTGTCGGCGCCAAAGAACATTGGATGGAAATAATTGGTTACATTATCGAGGACTTAACTTGGTTACTCAAACTTCCATATTTCAAGTATTTAAAAATGTTTATAATTTAATCGAAAGTTTAATATATAAAAAATTATTCTGTTGATTATTCAGTTAATAATTTAAAAAATTTAGACATTTTATTAAAATTGTATTAAAAATAATTAAATTCCTCCGAAGAATTTTTTTATTTTCGAAAATAATTGAATTTCTTTGAAAAATTTTATCATTTTTAAAAACAATTGAATTTTCGTAAAGAATTTTATAACAATTTTTGAAAATAATTGAATTCTTGAGAAGAATCTTAATTTTTATGAAAATAAATTGAATTTTTCTGAAGAATTTTAAAATTTATGAAAATAAATGAATTTCTCCAAAGAATTTTATCTCAAAATTGTTGAAAATAATTGAATTTAATTAATATTTTTAATAATAATTGAATTTTCAAAAAGTTAATTTTTAGTCATTCAATTCATGTGAATTAAAATTTTTAAAACTAATTAAATTTTTTTGAGAAATTTTACTAAAAATAATTGAATTACTATGAAGAATTTTGGTCATTTATGAAAATAATAAATTTTTTTTGAGGAATGAAATTTTTAATTGTATTCAGAATAATTGAATTTTTCTGAAGAATTTGATAATTTATAAAAAATAATTGAATTTTTCTGAAGGATTTAATAATTTATGAAAAATAATTGAATTCTTGCAAAGAATTTTATTATTTATGAAAACAATTGAATTCTTGCTGCGAATTTTATTAAAAATTTTTAAAATAATTGAATTTTTCATCAAGAATTTGTATAATTTATGAAAATAATTGAATTTTTCTGAAGAATTTAATAATTTATGAAAAATAATTGAATTCTAGCAAAGAATTTTATTATTTATGAAAATAATTGAATTCTTGCTGCGAATTTAATTATTTTTGAAAATAATTGAATTCTTGCTGCGAATTTAATTATTTTTGAAAATAATTGAATTCTTGCGAAGAATTTGATAATTTATGAAAAATAATTGAATTTTTCATCAAGAATTTGATAATTTATGAAAATAATTAAATTCTTGCTGCAAATTTTATTAAAATTTTTAAAAATAGTTGAATTTTTTCGTGAAGAATTTTATAATTTATGAAAATAGTTAAGTTTTTACGAATAATTTTATTATTCATGGAAATAATTGATTCTTACGAAAAATGTTAGTTATTCAATTAATTATTTAGTCAATAATTTAGAAAATTAATAAATTATTTAGTTACTGTTTTAATTAATTATTCACTTTAATTTTTAGTTTCGTAATTTAAAAAATTAGTTATAATTCCGTAATAAATTATTTATTTGATTAAAATAATAAAAAAAAATGAAATTGAAAAATAATTATTGTAATTTTTGTTTTTTCTAGATTCTGGTCGAATATCGTGCACAATTCGGCAATAATGGAAATGTTAATTTCGTTCCTCCAGGAGGCGCCGCCTTATTATGCACTGGACGATTTTCCCAATAATCACGAGGTTCGTGAGCAATTAAATAAATTGCGTCACTACGTTTTGTTGATATTCGCGAGACTCGTGACGAATAAGGAGAGTCCCACAGAATTTATGACACGCTCACATCAGGGGAATTTACTCTACGACAATTTTATTTTCACCGTTCCCATAATTCTCGATTTGTGTCAGCATTACGGCCGGGAGAACAAGAAAACCATCGATAAAATATTAAAGAGCCTCTTCGTTCTCCAACCACTTTACATGGACGATTTTAGACGCGCCGTTTCGTTTCTAGTTCAGGTGGCTAAAAATTAATTATTAAATAAATAAAAAAATTAATTAATCAATTAATTAATAAAGTAATAAATAAATAAAATAATTTATTTAGATAATAATTTTAAAAATTAATTATTTAGTTAATAATTCAGAAAATTGATTATTTAGTTAATTATTCAGTTAATAATTTAGTAAATCAATTGTTTAGTTCATTGAGTTAGAAATGTAGAAAATGAATTATACATTTATTTAGACAATAATTTAGAAAATTATTTACTTAGTTATTCAGTTATTAATTTAGAAAATTATTTTCCTAGTTATTCAAGTAATTATTTAATGAATAATTCAGAAAATTAATTATTTACATAGTTAATTGTTTAATTAGTTATTCAATTAATTATTTAGAAATTTAACTACTTTGTTATTCAGATAATAATTTTAAAACTCAATTATTTAGTTAATAATTTAGAAATCGATAATTTAGTGAATAATTTAGAAAATCAAATATTTATGTAATTATTCTTATTAATTAATTAAGAATAGGATTTTAGAATAAAATTCTCCGCAGGTTTTTTCGAATTTAGAATCGAGATTCGAGGATATACGAAATGATGTGATTCTACTGACGGAAGGCGTAAAGAAACAATCGAGGGAAATTTCGCTGCCAATTCTCGAGGATTTGATTGTTCATATCTTAGATGTGTCTTCCAATTTGACAATTTTTTTGGAAAATTATCCACCGGCGACGGAACTTTTTCAAACATCTAGTATTATGAGAAGGTACGTTTTGACAAATTTTCAATCAAATTTTTTTTTTAGAAATTTCTTTAATCATATTTTTCAGTATTTTTGAATTATTTAAAAAATGTTTTTAGTATTCTTCAGTATTTTTAAATATTTTTTCTGTATTTTTTTTTTTTTTTTTGTTATATTTTCCAGCATTTGTTTTAGTATTATTCGAGATTTTTTTAGTAGTTTTTGTAGTTTTCAGTATTTATTTTAGTATTTTTCAAGATTTTTTAAATATTTTTTTGTATTTTTCAATTTATTTTGTATTTGTTTTAGTATTTTTCAAGATTTTTTTTAGTATTTTTCAATCTATTTTGAATTTGTTTTAGTATTTTTCAAGATTTTTTAGTACTTTTTTGCATTTTTCAATTTATTTTGTATTTGTTTTAGTATTTTTTAAGATTTTTTTTAGTATTTTTCAATTTATTTTGTATATTTGTTTTAGTATTTTTCAAGATATTTTTAGTATTTTTTTTTGTATTTTTCAAGATTTTTTAGTACTTTTTTTGTATTTTTCAATTTATTTTGTATTTGTTTTAGTATTTTTCAAGATTTTTTGGTATTTTTGTTTTAGTATTTTTCAAGATTTTTTAGTACTTTTTTGTATTTTTCAATTTATTTTCTATTTATTTTAATATATTTCAAGATTTTTTAGTATTTTTTTTTTGTATTTTTGAATTTATTTTGTATATTTGTTTTAGTATTTTTCAAGATATTTTTAGTATTTTTTTTGTATTTTTCAATTTATTTTGTATTTGTTTTAGTATTTTTCAAGATTTTTGGTATTTTTTTGTACTTTTCACTATTTGTTTTAGTATTTTTCAAGATTTTTTTGTATTTTTTTGTACTTTTCAGTATTTTTCAAGAGTTTTAGTATTTTTTTGTATTTTTCAGTATTTGTTTTAGTATTTTTCAAGATTTCTTAGTAATTTTTGTTTAATATTTAATTTTTAAATGAAATTGACTGTTTCTATTATTTTTCCCCCTTTTTTTTCTAGAATTGTAACGGTTTACGCGAATACAATTCCAAAGATGTACGAAAAATTGGATTCATTGGCTCTTCGCGAGGAAACAATGCCAAAATATATGGAATTAAAGCACCGATTGGATGTAAGCAGAGTTGAACTTTTAAAACTCTATCGAATCATTATTTATAAAAATATTGGAGATATTCTCGAAACAGGGTAAATATTCTCTTTCACTCTATTCTATTTTATTTCCTCGTTTACATATTTTTTTCTATCCTCTATTCTATTTTTCTAATATTTTTATTTTATTTTTTATACTTTTTTCCACTATTTTTCTTTCATTTTTCTATTTTCCTTTTTTCCATCTATTTTTCTTTTTTCTTTTGTTTTTATTTGTCTTCTTGTTTTGTTTTTTTTTCTATTTTCCTTTTTTGTTTTTATTTGTCTTCTTTTCTTGTTTTATTTTTTATTTTCCTTTTTTGTCTTTATTTGTCTCCTTTTTTTGTTTTATTTTTCTATTTTTCTTTTTGTTTTGTTTCTATTTGTCTTCTTGTTTTGTTTCATTTTTTATTTTCCTTCTTGTTTTATTTTTTATTTTCCTTTTTTGTTTTATTCCTATTTCTCTTCTTCTTTTGTTTTATTTTTTTTTCTTTTTTCTTCTTCTATTTTTCTTTGTTTCGTTTTTTTCTATTTTCCTTTTATTGTTTTAGTTTTCTATATTCCATTTCTTTTACTTTTACGTTTATTTTAATTCACGATTATAATTTTTTCCTTCTCTTTTTCTCTTTTGAAAAAAAAACAGAATCGAGGCGGAAGTCGAAGTGAAAAAACGAATAGAAATTTATTTGGATCACGTAACGAATGCAATATCCGAAAAAGAATTCATAACCGACTATCATCGTTTCTATCCCGTCGATGTTGATTTGGAAATTCTTTCACAAATTTGCCCCGAAGTGTATCCTTTTTTTAATATATTTACAAACCAAAAACAAAAAGAAAATTTATATAATTATATAAAATATATAAATACTATAAAAATATTTTTAAATACTATATAATATTAATACTAAGAATAATATTTAATAATTATAATAATAAGTATTATTATTGTATTATTATTTTTAATTTTGTTTATTTTTTTATTCTATTATTATTATTAATTATTATTATTATTTTGTTAATTACTTTGTTATTATTATAATGAAAAGTTACTAATTTGAAGAAAAATGATCATTTTCCTTAAATAAAATTTCACCACCGTTTAGAGATACGATAAAATGTGATTTTATTCTAAATTCAATCGAAGCAACGGTCGTTGAGGAGAAAATTGAGAGGAAAATTGTGAACAATAGTCATAGAGAAGAATCAGTGGCAAGTGGTTCGGGCTATTCGAGAAATCATCAACAATTGGAAACGGAAATTGTCGATTCGAAGAAAGAGGAGAAAAACAATAAACCCAGTGAGATGGAATTAATTCGTCTTATTTCGGAGGTGAAGGATATTCTCTGTCACTTGGGCGACGGATTTATTGAGGTAACAAAATATATTTTGTTAATTAATTTTTCTTTCTTTTTGTAATTATTTCTGTATTTAAATCATTTCAATGTTTTGGTATTTTCAAAAAGTAATTTTTTTTCTTTTCTTTTTCTCTATTTTCCACTTTTTTTCATTTTTCTATTTTCCTTTCTTTTTGTTTTTAAGTTTCTATTTTTCTTTTTTATTTCATTTTTTTTTGTTTTATTTTTTTATTTTCCTCTTTTTTGATGTTAATTTCTATTTTTTATTTCATTATAATATTTTTGTCGGTGTAATAATTTAATAATAATTAATAATACCTAATATTTTTGTTTAAATATTTTGTCTGGGTTAATTAATTAATGTTATTTAAAGGAGTTTAAACATTTTTTAAATTAATAAATATTTTTTTAGAGACGATTCAATAATTTTTCCCGAGCTAATTAATAATTATATTTTTCCAGAGACGTTCTTTTTTCCCATTTAATTAATGAATTAATATTTTTCTAGAGTCGTTTAAATATTTTTTTCCATAATAATTCATTAATAATTGCCTTTCTTTTCAGAGGTGTTTGAAACATTACAATTACGACAGTACGAGTGTGATAAATGCGGTTTTAGAAGAAACTCTTCCTCCGGATTTGAAAGAAGTAGACTTTTCTTTGCCTTACATTCCACCGGATCCTGAGGTAACTTTCGTTAATTAAATTAATTTATAAAATTAATATAAAGTAAATTTATATTTAAAATAACAAAATTTTAGAGTTTATTTAATTTTTTTAATTATTATTTTCTTTCTTTTTTTTTAATTTTGCTGTAATATTTTTAGGAAGCAGCGGCTGCTGTTGATTCGGCAATTGGAGCTCAAAGACTGAACATTTTCGATAATGATGAATTCGACATTATGACAAATGATAAAATTGACCTGTCAAGAGTTCACCGTGGAAAGAGGTAATTATCGAGTTAAAGAATTTTCAATTTAGAAAAAAAAATCAAATTTTAGTCTTGGAAAAAATAATTTCTTTTTTTTTAAATTATCTCTATTTTTAATAATTATTTTTCTTGTTAATACTTTGTCTTTAATATAATTATTTCTTTTTTAAAATAATAATTTTCGTCTAATTTTTTTTCAATAGTATTTCCTTTTTTTTGAATAATTATTTTCTTAAATAACTATAGGACTTTTTGAAATAATAAGTTTTATTTGAAATAATTATTGTGTTTAACACTCTATAATTTTATTTTTTTTTAATTTTCTTTTGGTAAAAAGTTTATTTGTTTAAAAAGATCTTTTCTGTTTTTAGGAAAGACAAATACAAGAATGTCACTGAAATGCTAAACGACAAATCTGAAATTAAAAAAGTCGAACATATTTATAGTAAATATAATCTCGTTTCCTATGAATACGACGATGAATACGATGATACGTACGATAGTCACGATATTGGAGAAAGTGCTCAGGACGACACACTGGAAATGGATCGACCTTTCACCACTCCGAGGGTAAATTTTCCTATTTATTATTATTAATTTTTTAATAAAAAGTAAATTACTATTTTTCATTTTATTTTTTTTTCAATTTTATTAATTACATGTTTTTATTATTTTATTTATTTATTATTATTATTATTACATATTATGTTATGTAGTTAATATTAATATGTAGTAATAATAATAAATATTTTAAAGAAAAAAATTCTTAAAAAAATAAACAAAATTTCTAAACAAAAAGAAATGGAAAAGATTTTAAAGGAAAGAAAGTAAAACAGAAAATAATCATTCATTTAATTATTCTTCAGGTGCTGCTGAGAAAGGAGCAGCGAGAGGAGGAAATTTACGAGGAAGAAAACGACGAGAATGAAGAATCCCAAGAAGTGCATTCAAATCATTTTGTTCAAAATCCTGAGGAATTGCGAGCAAAAGCCGAACAGCGAATGCTTTCGAAACGCGGTGGAAGAGGTTCGCAAAGAGATGTCGTTGGTAGGTTTTTTTTTCCTATTTTTACTTTAAATTTTTCTTTTCTTCTCGATAATGAAAAAAAAATAGAATTTTATAATATAACTTTTATTAAATAATTCGTTACTAATTCAATATTTTAAAAATATATCATTTATTTTCATTTAGGCAATTCAAGGGGTCAAGGACAAGAGAAAAATGTCCTTGTAAATCGAGATCATAAAAATACAAATAAATCGAGTCGCGCAAATCACAATCGACGTGTTGGCTCACAATGGAAACGAAGACAGGGAATGATTCCCTCGTAAAATTTTCACAAGTTTCACGTAAATACAGAAAGGAAGGCACAAATTTTTCTTTTCATTTTCATTTTTTTTTTTTAAAGAAAATTTACACGAAGAAAAAACAAATAGAAGAGAATTAAGAAATTTTCTTCTGGAAATTGAGAAAAGAAGCGAAAAAATTAAAAACAAGATAGAAATAGAAGACAAAAATAGAGAAAAAAAGATAAATAGAAGACAAAAATAAAGAAGAAAAGATAAATAGAAAACAAAAATAGAAATTAAAGAAAGAAAATTGTGAAAAAAAGAAGAAAAGAGAAAAAAAGACAGAAAAGGGAAGAAAATTATAAAAATTATAATTTAATGAAAAGTGAATTTATAAAAACAGATTAAAATTATAAAATTATTTATGAAACGAAAACAATTGAGAGAGAAACGAAGGAAGACGGAAAAAATGAATAGAGAAAAAAGGTCGAGAAGGACAAAAATAAAGAGAGGAAATAATACAGAAAAAAGGTGAAGAAAGACAAAAATAAAGAAAGAGAAAGATAAAGAAAAAGGAGAAGAAGGAAAAATAAAATTCAGTTGCGAAAATCAACTATAAAATAAAAATAGAAATTTTGTACAATAGACCTTTTTTTTAAAACGAACGCAATAAAAATAAAATAAATATAACGAATAATTTTATTATTTCGAAATTGATAATTTTAGAGATACTTTAAATCTTTAGGTTTTTTTAGAATCTTTAGGTTTTTTATATTCTTTAGGTTATTTAGATCCTTTAGATTCTTTAGGTTCTTTAAGTTGTTTTTAGGTTCTTTAGATTCTTTAGATTCTTTTTCTCCCGAAGAACCTAAAGTTGAAGTTAAAAATTCAATGACCCAAAGTTCATTGAACTTTAATGATCCTTAACAATAGTCAAAGCTTTGATACGATTAACCTGCGCAATAATCGATTGCTGATAATCATCATCGGAAATTTTTGTCGCGCCAATTGAATCCGAATTATTGCTGCTGCTATTGGTGAAAATAGAATTTGGCTGTTTAAATGCATTCGTCATACTTCCATAGTGATCCAATTGTATCATTATTAATGCATGAACACTTGGCTTAATATAATCGAGTCTCTTCACCAAAAATACTTTCAACTCCATTTGTAATTCCGAGTGAAATGCTTTCAATTTTTTCCCCGCACTGTCCTCGAGATCTTTGTCCTTCTCCAATCGTACCACATAACTCGCTGTCTTGTCACGTTTCTCCTGCGTTTTCTTCAGACGAAAATACGCTTCCTTCCAATTTGTCACCAATTCCTCGCGTTTCACCAATTCGGCGGCAATTATTGCAAATTCCTCTCGTAATTTTTTTAATGGTTCTATGAATGTCTCTTTGAATAGGGGAATCATTTTCTGTACACTTTTTCCCACCTGTTTTCAAAAAAAGAGAGAAAGAAAAGGAATTTTAGGTTTAATTTCGATTTTAAATCAATTTTGAAAATGGTAACAAAAAATAATTTTTTTCGTGATTTATTTTTGTCGGGGAAATTAATTTTTTTAGGGAAATAAAATTGTAACAATTAATTTTTTTCGGGATTTATTTTTGTCGGGGAAATTAATTTTTTTTAGGGAAAAATACTTACATCGGTGGTGACGGAATGATAGTCCTGAACTATTTTTCGAAAATCGTCGCTGACGTGAACGAGATCGTAACTAATTAAATTTGTCGTCAGATGACGATCCGCCTCGTCCAGACTTTCAATTGCCGATAAATATTTTTTCATTTCCTTTATCATCTTTCTCACTATATTTTCAACGCTATTTGGAGAACATTTTTGAATTATTTTAGTTCTTCTAAAAAATTCCCTTATAAATATTAAAAAATTTAATTTTGATAAATAGCGAAAATAAAGACTTACTAGATTAATTTTTGAACCGAAAAATCCAAATCCGCATCATCGGAGGCGGAAATAAGAGGCGATGCACTACTTGGCCTTTGAGTAGGCAAAAGGTAATTTCTTTTTTGCGGACGCCTAAAATAAATAAAATTTTTCTATTACAGATTTTCCACACATCGGAAGATTCATTTAATTTTTATAGAATTCATACGAAATTTTATTTTGGAAAATAATTGAATTTCAACGGCAAATTTTATTAAAATTTTTGAAAATAATTGAATTCTTGCGAAGAATTTTATTATTTATGAAAATAATTGAACTCCTACGGCGAATTTTATAACAATATTTAAAAATAATTGAATTTTTCTAAAGAATTTTATAATTATTAAAATAATTGAATTCTTGAGTCGAATTTTATTAAAATTTTAGAAATAATTAAATTTTTTTTGAAGAATTTTATAATTGATGAAAATAATTGAAATTTTCAGAAGAATTTTATTATTTTGATGAAAAATAATAGAATTTCAGTGGCAAATTTTATTAAAATTTTTGAAAATAATTGAATTCTTGTGGCGAATTTTATTGAAATATTTAAAAAATAATTGAATTTTTCTAAAGAATTTTATAATTTATTAAAATAATTGAATTCTTGAGTCGAATTATATTAAAATTTCTGAAATAATTAAATTTTGTTGAAGAATTTTATAATTTATGAAACTAATGGAAATTTTCATAAGAATTTGATTATTTTGAAAAGTAATTGAATATCAACGGCCAATTTTATTAAAATTATTGAATTCTTCTGAAGAATTTTATAATTCATGAAAAAATTTGAAATTTTGCGAAGAATTTTATTTAAATATTTTTAAAATAATTAAATTTTTCTGAAGGATTGTATATTTATGAAAATAATTGAAATTTTGTGAAGAATTTTATTATTTAGAAAAATAATTGAATTCTTGTAAAGAATTTCATTACTTATGAAAATAATTGAATTCATTTGTATAAAACTTTTATTAAAATAGTAGATTTGTAAAATGATTAAAATGAGGAAATTTGTTGGAAATGATTGAAATTTCGCCAAGACTTTGAAATATTGATAAATTAAATACTAGTTGAATACACTATATTAATTAAATTCCTTAAATTAATTGAAATTATATACTTACCAAGTCATCTTGAGAAAGGAAACCTAACCTCACTTTTTTAATACTAATATTAAAGCTATTAAAGCGATTAAAGCTAATTTTCAAAGTGTTTTAAAGTTATTAAACTTAATTTTTTTTAATAGACCTTTAGTGCTAATAAATTAAAAATTAATTTAACCTTCAAGTACACTAAGGTAAAATGTTATTTACTTCAAAATAGATTCGTATTCATAAAATTTCTCCGTTCAAACTTTTGTACAAAAAAGACTCGTAACAAAAATACATTTTTAACAATTTGGCCCCATTTGATCGCATATAAAAATAAATTATGATAAAAGCAAATTGTCTCTAATATAAAAAGAAACTAATCTATCCATAAAAAAGAAATTTGATTATCTTTATTGATCTCTAAAAACACTTTAGTGACACTCTATCTTCTCTATTGATTGCGATAGCAATAATTGACATTGATTGACATAAAAAACCATAAAAACAAAAGAACTTTTGAAAAAACACAACAATAGTACAAATTTTTACATCAGGAATAGAAGTAAATTAACTTTTGTGTTTTGATGTTTGTTGTTCTTGTTCTTTTTTTTGACAGGTGGATTTACACATTTTTTCCATGAGATGTCACTGATTGTTTCCGATTTTGTTCCCCGCAGGGTTTACTTCCGGTCACCAGTGTAACGAACTTCTAAAGAGGTTAGTTTTTATTATTTTTATCCATATTTTATTCGAATAAATAAATAAATACAAGAAAATACTTAGAGATAATTGTCCTTAGTGAAATAATGCTCTTTATTGATTTGTTCATTCAAAAATTATAAATAAAATTTGATTTAGTTCGAGTACTTTTCACTTAGTGAAATTTTACTCAAAGGGATTTTTTAACACATGTTTCTGACAGATTTTTAATAATAGAACTAACATAGTAGAAAAATGTGTTATTATTGTGCTTAATAATACATAATAATGCTTTCTTTTCGAAATTTGTAATTAAGAAACCTAAATATACTTTTAAGTGATTTTCGATATTTTGTAATAAATACTTTTTTCCATATTTTTTCAATTTTGATAAAGAAAATGAATAATGACAATTTTTTAAAATTGTTTAAACAATTCGATTCAATTGTTCAAATTTAAAAATTTTAATTTCATTAAAAATTAAAAATTCAATTTTTAAATTAAAAAATTTAAATTTGTTTCTAGTCATTAGCATTGAATTTAAAAGAAATGATATTTTTACAAATTGCAAGACAGAATATTTTTAGGAAATTTTTCATCGACAGTAAAAATATTCGCAGTCTTTGCACCAAGGTATGTAGATTCTTTTTTATTTTTATTTTTATTTTGCGTCTTGTAATTATTAAATAATAGAAAATGAATGAAAAGTTAGAATTGAATAATAGAAAGTGAAACAATAGAAAAGTGAATGAAAAATTATAAGTAAACAATAGAAAAGTGAATGAAAAATTATAAGTAAACAATAGAAAAGTGAATGGAAAATTATAATTAAATAATAAAGAATAAATTAAAAAGTACCTAATTATAATTAAATAATAGGAAACGAATTAAAAATTGTAGGTTAATAATTATAATCTCTTCTTTTTTTTCGTTATTTGAAAGGCAATCATGGCTGAACAAACATGGGAGGAAAAATACAATCTCATCACGAGGAATTTGGCCGAATGGTTGGGCGACGATAAAATGAAGACGATTTTGAAGGAACGTGATTTGAAGGTTTATTGGGGAACGGCGACAACTGGAAAGCCGCACATCGGCTATTTTACTCCGATGTCGAAAATTGCCGACTTTCTGAGAGCCGGCGTTGAAGTGACAATTTTATTCGCCGATCTTCATGCCTATCTCGACAATATGAAAGCGCCTTGGGATTTATTGCAACTCCGAACTCAATATTACGAGGCTGTCATTAAATCAATGTTAAAATCAATTAACGTTCCCCTCGATAAATTGAAATTTGTCAAGGGCACCGATTATCAATTGTCAAAGTGAGTTTCTTCTCTTGCTTAAAGAAAATTTAAAAAAAAAATAATTAAGCAAACTAATAATTATAGTAGTTAATTAGCGAATTCAATTATAAATAATTATTTTGCTAGAATTCAATTATTTTCACAAATAATAAAATTTAATAGAATTAAATTCTTTTCAAGAATTTATCAAAATTTTTGAAAATAATTGAATTGTTTTCAAATAATTAATTTGAAATTATATTAAAAATAATTGAATTTTGCTGATTCAATTATTTTTGAGAATTTTAATAAATTTTTGTCAGGAATTCAATAATTTTTTAAAAAATTTGTTTTAGGGAATTTAATAATTTTCAACACATTTTTGGTTAATTTTCATGGAAGAATTTAATTATTTTTAAAAATTGTAATAAAATTCTTCTCAGAAATTCAATTCTTTTCTTAAATAATTTAATTTATCGTAGGAATTCAATTATTTTCGTAAAAAATTAAATTCCATCGCAAAAATTTTAATTATTTTTATCGTAAGTAATAAAATTCGATACAAGAATTGAATTATTTTTCTAAATAATAAAATTCTTCGGAGGAATTCAATTATTATATAATCGAATTTTAATAAAATCTCTTAAAAGAATTCAAGTATTTTAAAAAAATTTAATAAATTTCTTCACAAGAATTAAATTATTGAGAATTTGTTTTTTTTTCTCAAAAAAAAAAATTAAATTCTTTACTATAATTTTAAAAAAAATTCTTGAAACTCATTGCTGGAAATCAATTATTTTTAATAAAATTTTAAATGAATTCCTCTAAATAATTGAATTTTTTTCCAAAATATTAATTAAATTCTTTGTAAGAATTCAATTACTTACTTACAATTTTCATACAATTTGTATAAAATTCTTCTTGAAAATTCAATTCTTTACAATTTTCAAAAGTTTAAAAAAAATTCTTGTCAAAAATTCAACTATTTTCCTAATTCTAATAAAATTCTTTGCTAGAATTCAATTTTATTTTCACAAATATAATAAAATTTTTACGAAAATACAATTATTGAAAATAATTTTAATATAAATTGAATTTAATTCAATGAAATTTAATTCAAGAATTCAATTATTTTATTTATAAATTTTATGTTATTAAATTGAATTCTTTTTAATTGTCTTCATAAATAATAAAATAAAATTCTTTTTAAAAATTCAATTATTTTTAGGTTATACAATTTTAATTAAAATAGTCAAAAGAATTTAAATTTTTAAATAACTTAAGTACATTCAAATTTCTGGAAAGAATTCCATTAATTTTTAAAACTTTTATAAAATTTTTTTAGTAAATTAAATTACTTTCCAAATTTTTATAATGAAATTCCACACAAAAATTGAATTATTTTCAATACAATTTTAATTAAATTTTTCTAAAAGAATTCAATTTTTTTTTTAATTTTAATTGAAAATTTCTTTTATTTTCAAAAATTTTAATAATTTTCTTCGCAAGGATTCAATTATTTTTAGAGAAAAACAAAATTCTTGTTTAGGAATTAAATTATTTTAACAAAAATTTGTTTTTGGGAATTTAATAATTTTCAATACATTTTAAATTAAATTTCAAGGAAGAATTTAATTATTTTTAAAAAATTGTACTGACATTTTTCGAAATAATTTAATTATCCAAAATTTTAATAAAATTCTTGTTAAAAATTCAATTACTTTATTAATATTTCAATAAAATTTTAATTTATATTTTACAATTTCTCAATTTTTACAGTTAATATATTAAAATTGTAATAAAATTCTTCTCAAGAATTCAATATTCTTTTCGTAAACAATTGAATCTAGACCAAAAATTCAATTATTTTTATCGTAATTAATAAAATTCGTCGGAAGAATTGAATTTTACTGAAATCTCTTGAAAGAATTGAATTATTTTCAAAAATTTTGAAGAAATTGATTAAAATAATTCAATTGTTTTTATCAAAAGTGTTAAAATAGAATTAAATTAAATAATTTAATTCTGACGAGGAATTTATTATCATTGAATTTTAACAAAATTTTTTGATAGAATTCAATTATTTTTTAAAAATTTCTAAAAAATTCCATGAAAGAATTCAATTATTTTCAAAAATTTGGATATAATTCTTAAGAAGAATTCAATTAATTTCAGTATATTTTTAATAAAATTTCTGAAATAAGCAATGAATTATTTTCTAAAGTTTGTAATAAAATTCTTCGAAACAATTAAATTCTTTTTAAAATTTTTAATAAAATTCTCTGCAAGAATTAAATTATTTTAGACCGTATTTTTGAAATAATAAAATTAGTTTTTTTTTGCAATAATTTCTAAGTAAATTAGTTTAGAATTTTAAATTAAATACCGAAAAATAATTATTTTAGTTGTTAATAATTGTGTGTAATTAATTTTTATTATTTTTTAATCTTCAAAGCGTTAATAATTATAGAATTTCGTTAATTTTTAAATTTAAATCCTAGGAAACAAACAAAGCAAGCAAAAAATTTCGTTGAAATAGTATTTTTGTTATGTTGCTTTCTAAATAAAATATTGTTTGTAAAAAAAGAAAATTTTTCTATTTTAGAGAATATACTTTGGATGTTTATCGATTGAGTTCGATTGTGACGGAGCATGATGCGAAGAAAGCCGGTGCTGAGGTCGTTAAACAAATTGCAAATCCTCTTCTGTCTGGTCTATTGTATCCCGGACTGCAAGCATTGGACGAGGAATATTTAAAGTGCGATGCACAATTCGGCGGTGTTGATCAGAGGAAAATTTTCACCTTTTCCGAAAAGTATTTGCCATCATTGGGTTATGAGAAGAGAATTCATTTGATGAATCCAATGAGTAAGGGAAAATTTTACTAATAATTATTTTATTCATATACTAAATACTGAAGATAGGAAATATATTTGTTTTATTTAGTATCTATAATTTTTCTTTCTCTTTTTCTTTTCTAGTTCCTGGATTGGCCGGTGCAAAAATGTCATCGTCAGAGGACGATTCGAAAATTGATCTCCTCGACAATGCTGCAGCTATAAAGAAGAAATTGAAGAAAGCATTTTGCGAGCCGGGAAATATTATTGACAATGGACTTTTGTCCTTCTCAAAATACGTTTTATTTTCATTATTTAAGGACGGAGAGTCGTTTCATATTCCAAGGACTGAAGAATTTGGTATTTTTATTTTTTCAACTACTTTACTATAAATAGTGAAATATTCTTATATTTTATAATTCTGTTATCAGTATTTTTTAGTTTTTCTCTATTTTATTATTATTTCTATTTTATTAGTAAATATTGTATTATTTTGTTTTTATGTTTGCTTTTTATTTTTTTTTGTTTCTTTTTTTTATCAATATTTTAAAAAAATTTTTCTCCATTTATTGTTATTATTTTATTATTTATTATTAATTCTATTTTATTTTTAAATATTGTATTTTTATTTTTTCGTTTTTTCGTAGGCGGCGACGTGAATTTTGCAACGTACGAAGAACTTGAAGCGGCATTCAAGAAGGAAGCAATTCATCCCGGTGATTTGAAGAGCGCCGTGGAAATTTACATAAATAAACTTTTGGATCCAATTAGAAAGGATTTTGCAAGCGATCCAAAATTGAAGGCTTTGAGTAATAAGGCCTATGCAGCTCCACAAAAACCAAGTACATACTTTCTTTTTCTTCTCTTTTTTTTCAATTGAAATTAAAACGTAATTAAAATTAAATTTTAATTAAAATTAAAATGTAATTAAAATTAAAATATAATTCAAATTAAATATTTTCTAAATAATGAGAAATTTAATTACAAGGGAAAAATTTAATGCCTCTTATTTTCTTTTTTTGTAATATTTAGAACCAGTGGACGAAGTTGTTCCCTCGAGATTGGACATAAGAGTGGGAAAAATTGTGGAGATCGAGAGACATCCAGACGCCGATTCTCTGTACGTGGAGAAAATTGACGTTGGCGATGCAACTGGTCCAAGAACAATTGTCAGTGGTCTTGTTAATTTTGTGCCCATTGAGGAAATGAAGGACAGAATGGTCGTTGTTCTTGCTAATTTGAAACCCGCCAATCTTCGCGGTATTTCATCTCACGGAATGGTCCTCTGCGCTTCTGTGTGAGTTTTTTTTCCTTTAGCTACTTTACTATGTAATTACTATTTCAATCAATTTTTCTATTTTTATTATTTTTTCTGTTAATTTTTACTATTTTCAATATATTATTATATTTTCCATTAATTTTTTACACTTTTTCTATTTTTATTATTTTTTCTGTTAATTTTCATTATTTTAAAAATATTTCCTATTCATTTTTAATACTTTTTTTTGAATTTTTTAAAATTATTTTCGAGAATTCGACTGTTTTTAAAAAAATTTTAATTACGAATTTTTAAAAAATTCTTTTTTTTAAGAATTACTAAATATTTTCCTAAAACTTACTGAACGTAATCAAATTTTAATAAAATTCTCCTGAAAAATACAATTATTTTCTTAAACAAAATTCTTCTAAATCATTTAATTATTTATTTTTTATTTTGAAAAATGTCCATCAAATTCTTTAGAAAAAATTGTAATTATTTTTAAAAATTTTAATGAAATTCTTTAAAAAGAATTGAATGATTTTCAGAAATATTCAAATCCTTTGCAGGAATTCAATTATTTTCAATCGAATTTCAATACAATTTCTCGAAAGAAATTCAATTATATTAAGAAAATTTATTTAAATTCATCAAAATAATTTCTGTTAATTTAATTATTTTCCAGAATTTCCATAAATCAACTTGTTGGACATATTAATTATATATTTTTAATTTAATTTCAAATAATTTGTTCAAAAGAATTTAATTATTTTGAAATAATAATTGATATCTTGCAAGGAATTTTATTAAAATTTTTAAAAATAATTGAATTTTTTAAAAAAATTTTTGAAAATAATTGAATTATTCTGAAGAATTTTATAATTTATGAAAATAATTGAATTTTTGTGAAGAATTTTGTTATATTTATAAAAATAATTGAATTCTTGTGAAGAATTTTGTTATTTATAAAAATAATTGAATTTTTGTGAAGAATTTTATTATTTATAAAAATAATTGATTTTTTGTGAAGGATTTTATTATTTATTAAAATAATTGAACTCTTCCGAAAAATTTTATTATTTAAGAAAATAATTGAATTTCAGCGGCGAATATTATTACAATTCTTGAAAATAATTGAATTTTTCTGAAGAATTTTAAAATTTATGAAAGTAATTGTATTCTTGCAGCAGATTTTATAAACATTTTTGAAAATAATTGAATTCTTCTGAATAATCTTGTAATTTATGAATATAATTGAATTTTTCTGTATAATTTTATTATTTTGGAAAATAATTGATTTCTTGCTGCGAATTTTATTGAAATTTTTAAAAATAATTGAAAATAATTGAATTTTATTGAAATTTATGAAAATAATTGAATTTTTCTGAAGAATTTTATAATTTATGAAAATAATTGAATTTTTGATAAGAATTTTATTATTTATGATAATAATTGAATTCTTGCTGCGAATTTTATTGGAATTTTTAAAAATAATTGAAAATAATTGAATTTTATTGAAATTTATTAAAATAATTGAATTCTTCTGAAGAATTTTGTAATTTATGAAAATAATTGAAATTTTTGATAAGAATTTTATTATTTATGAAAATAATTGAATTCTTGCGGCGAATTTTATTAAAATTATTGAAAATAATTGAATTCTTTGAGTGAAATTTGGAAAAAAAGATTATTTCTAAAAATTTCAATTACCTACTTTGTTATGGATTTTTTTTTTAAATTGGGCAAGTAAATTCATAGACTATTTAAAATTTTGAATAATTTGTTATTTGTTTAGATGAAATTTCTTTTTTATTTCATAATCGTTGCTTTTTTTTTTAGCGATGAACCAACACGAGCAGTGGAACCATTGAGACCGCCAGCGAATAGTGCACCAGGTGAAAGAATTGTAATCGAGGGCCACGAGAGTGGAAATCCCGACGAGGTTCTCAATCCAAAGAAGAAGGTTTGGGAAAAATTACAAGCCGATTTAGTCGTGAATGGCAATGGCGAGGCAAGCTGGAGTGGAAATCCCCTGCTGACCACAACATCTTCGGGAAAAATCACTGCCGATAGTTTAAAAAATGTTCCAATCAAGTAAATCCCAATAAATTTATACTCAATCTTCTAATTATCTCGACTACTGGTAACTATTTTCGAACAATTTCTTTTTCCATTCAATTTCAAATTCATTCATTTTAAAATACTTTTATTTTATTTTTTTTTTATTGTTTTTATTTATTTATTTTGAAAAATACTTAACTTTTTAAAAGTAATTTATACTTTTCAAAAGAAACTAAACTATTTTTCAAAAGTTGTCACATTTCGATGAAATTTCAATTTCGCATTGAGATCAATTTTATTTTATACAAACAATTTCGCATTGAAATCGAAATTCAAGAAATTAACTAACGACTTTCAATATATTTATTTATTTAAATATAATAATTATTACATTTTCTTCGAATAATATTATCACTTATTTTTTTTTTCTAAACATAAACTTTGAGAGAAACAAAACTCGTATATACAAAGATATACAAACAATTATTTTTATTACGCAAAAAATTGGCTAATTATTATGAATAATTATAGTTAACTATTAATGATCAATTATTAATCATTGATTATTAATTATCAATTATCAATTATCAATTATCAATTATCAATTACCAATTATCAATTATCAATTATTGACTATTAATTATCAATTATCTATTATCAATTATTAATTATTAATTAATTGATAAGACTCTTTTAAAAACAGTTTTAAGAAAATATCGACTATTAATAATGAAAAACGTAGTTTTTCTTTTTGGAAATTAAATTTCAGAAAAAAAGGAACAAAAACGGAACGAGGAGAAAATCTCGAAACTAAAAAGCAAAAAAAAAGAGGAGAAAGAATATTTTTCTAAAGAGAAAAAAAGGACTAGTATAATTTTCTTCAATCAGACTCGGCTGAATTTCGAATTGGACTCGGAATGACGAGTTCCTCGGGATCAATTTCCGTCTCCTCGGCGAGGATGTACTCCTCCTCGCCCTCGTGCACCTCTTCCTCGCGCGCCGGCTCCGGCGTCTGTTGAATGTCCGCGCCGTGCTGCTTCAAATGATCCTTGAGGGCGAATGCTCTGCCGTACGACGCGCCGCAAATGTAGCAGCTGAATTTCAAATTGTTGTCCTTCTTGTGCGTCTCGATGTGGGCGCGCACCGCGTACAGCGAGGCGAATGGTCGCGAGCATTCGGTGCAGTGAAAGGGTTTGGTGTGACTGTTCTTGTGGCCGGCGAGTTGAACGCGGGTTTTGAATGTCTTCGGACAGAAGGGACAATTGTAGGCGCGCACGTCGCCGTGAGTGAGGAGATGATGATTGTAGACGGAGGAGGCTTTGAATCTTTTGCCGCAGTGCTGACACGCGTAGGGACGAACTCCAGTGTGCGTTCGCATGTGAAGTGTCAGGCAGTACGAGACACGGAATGTTTTTCCACAGACCTGCAAATTTACAAGGAAAAAACATATTTTATTTCGGAAATTTTCAATTTTCCAAAAACATAATTAAAATATTTTCAAAAAATACGAAGAAAATTCTCGGCAAGAATTCAATTCTTTTCGTAAATAATTGAATTCATCGCAAGAATTCAATTATTTTTTGGATGAATTCAATTATTTTTAGAAATAATTGAATTCATCGCAGGAATTCAGTTATTTTTGGAAATAATTTCATTCATCGCAGGAATTTAATTCTTTTTGGAAATAATTAAATTCATCGCAGGAATTCAATTCTTTTCGTAAATAATTGAAATCATCACCGGAATTCAATTATTTTTGTAAATAATTGAAAAAACATCACAGGAATTCAATTATTTTCAATACAATTTGAAGTAAATTTAATTTAAAGTTAATTCACTTTGAAATAATAAAATAAAAGAAATAAATAAAATTCTTAGGAAGAATTCAAATATTTTCATAAATGATAAAATTCTTCGCAGTAATTCAATAATTTTCATAAATAATACAATAATTCAAAAGAATTCAATTATTTTCGTGAGTAATTGAATTCATCGCAGAAATTCAATTCTTTTTCTAAACAATTGAATTCATTGCAGAAATTCAATTCTTTTTCTAAATAATTGAATTTATCTCAGAAATTTAATTATTTTCCTAAATAATTGAATAAATCACAAGGATTCAATTATTTTGAATACAATAAATAATTTCAAGTAAATTCCTCGAAGCACTTTTAATTTTCTTCGAAATAATTAAATTGTTATTCAAAATTTGAATAATATTCTTGGCAAAAATCTAATATTTTCATAAAATTCTTCACAAAAATTCAATTTTTTTCTTATTTAATTAAATTATTCATAGAAATTCAATTATTTTCAACATTTTGGATGGAATTTTTTTAAAGAATTCAATTATTTTAAATACAATCTAAATTAAATTCCTCGAATGAATATTAATTTTCTTCCAAATAATTAAATTATTTTTCAAAAATTTTAATAAAATTCGCTACAAGAATTCAATCATTTTTATAAATATTAAAAATTTTCGGAGAAATTCAATTTTTTTCATAAATTTTAATGAAATTCTCTGCAATAATTCAATTATTTTCAAAAATTATTAAAAATCCCCTTCAAAAATTCAATTATTTTCATAAATAATAAAACTCTTCAAAAAAATTCAATCATTTTCAAATATTTTAATAAATTTCGCAACAAAGAATTCAATTATTTTCATAAATAATAAAATTTTTCAGAAAAATGCAATTATTTTCAAAAATTGTAATAAAATTTCGCTGCGAAAATTCATTTATTTTTATAAATAATAAAATTTTTCAGAAAAATTCAATTGTTTTCAAAAATTCCAATAAAATTTTGCTGCGAAAAATTCAATTATGTATTTTCATAAATTATAAAATTCTTCAGAAAAATCCAATTATTTAAAAAAATTTTAATGAAATTCTGGCTGCGAATTTAATTATATTCATAAAATAAATAATGAAATTTTTCCAAAAAAATTCATTTATTTTCAAAAATTTTAATAAAATTATTCAGAAAAATGCAATTATTTTTAAAAATTGTAATAAAATTCGCAGCAAAATTTCAAATATATTCAGAAATAATAAAAATCTTCAAAAAAATTTAATTATTTTCATAAGTAATTACAAAATTCTTCGAAACTATTCCATTATTTTTCTAAAATGTAATAAAATTTTTCTAACATTATTTTCACGAAATTCAAAAAAAAAAAAAAATTCTTTAAAAAATTAAAATATTTATGAAAACAAATAAAATTGTTTAAAATAATTTAATTTTATATCAATAATTTTAATAAAATTTAATAATAAAATTATTGATTACAATTATTAATAATAAATTGTAAATCTTTTTAAAAAGATTCAAATGAATTCTTAAAAACAATTAAATCATTTTTAGTACAATTTTAATATCATTTTTTGATAGAATTTTATTGTTTTCATAAACAATAATATTTTTTGTGAGAATTCAATTATTTTCAATACAATTTTAATGAAATTTCTCAAAAGAATTCAATTATTTTAAAAAATATTATTTAAATTCAATTCTTTTCAAGGGTTTTAATAGAAATTCAATTATTTTCAACAAATTCTGATACAACATTTTTCGAAACAATTCAATTATTTTTATAAATTGTAAAATTCTTGGCAAGAATTCAATTATTTTTGTACATAATAAAATTCTTCTGAAAAATTCAATTATTTTCAAATACAATTTTAATAAAATTTCTATGAAAAAATTAATTTATAATCAAAATAATTTTAATAAAATTTAACCAAAAAAATTCAATTATTTTCAAAAATTGTAATAAAAATAAACAATTGTTCTAAACAATTCAAGTGTTCTCAAAAGTTTTTAATAAAATTCTTTGTAAATTTCAATTATTTTCAAAATTTTCTATTAAAATTATTTTCAAAAAATTACATTATTTTTACGAAATTTAATGAAATTCTTCAAGAAAAAGTAGTTCTCGAAGTATGTAAGGCTGAAGACATGTGTATAAACCAATATAAAATTTTGATAAAATCCTTCAAATGAATTTAATTATTTTCAAATTTTTTGATAAATACTTTGCAAGAATTCGTTAATTTTAAAATTGGAAATATTTAAAAAGAAAAATTATTAAAAATGTTTGTGAAACAAAGTAGCAGACAAAAATTAACTTTAAACTGCGAACAGTTTACCGGAATACAACGATTATTAATATAGAAGATAGAACAAACCTCGCATGCATGAGGTTTCTCGCCGGTGTGTATACGCTCGTGTTTGACTTTCTCATGAGGACGAGTGAATCTCCTTCCGCAATGCTGACACTGATAGGGCTTTTGCACCTGTTCCTTGCTCTCCGCCTCGGAAATTGTCACCGAAGAATTCGTGCTGACCGTCTCGCTGGCCGACGACGAAGTTGTCGCCGCAATTTCCCCGGACGGTGGCGGCGACTGCGGATTATTCGCCTCCACGTGAACTGCCGCGTGCATCGTCAAACTGTCCATCGAGTCGAATTTCCGATTGCAAATCGGACACGTCGCCGAGTCGCCGCTGTGGAGCGCCATGTGCACGACTCGATACGACTCCGAAAACGTTTTACCTGCAATCAATTGATTTTTACCTTTAATTTTTCATTTAATTTATAATTTATAATTTTAATTAAACAAACGGAAAACAAACTTTGGTTTCTTTGCTTTTAAAAGTTTGTTTCAATTTTTTCCCAACAGAAAACAAATTTTTGTTTCTTTACCCTTTAAAAGTTCATTTTAATTTTTCCAAACAAACGAAAAACAAAATTATTGTTCTAATTTCTCCAAATCAACTGAAATTTAATAACTTCTAAAAATTAAAAAAAATAAAATAAAATAAAAAAAAAATTCTAAACTTCTAAAATTCTCTTAAAATTCAATTATCTTCTACATTTTCTAATCAAACTTCTTCTCGAAATCAAATTATTTTTTAATAATTTTCCGAAACTTCTTGGAGAATTCAATTATTTAAATAAAAAAATTGAAAAATTTCTAAACAATTGAAATTTGGTAAATTCTATTCAAAACAAAAATAATTCAAATTTTTAAAGAATTTTAATTATCAATCGTAATTTCTCCAAAAAATTTTAATAAATCTAAAAAAGTAAATTTAAAAAAAATTTTAATTTACTTCGAAGTTAATTGAGTCTTAAAAAATTAAAATAAAAAAATTACAAGAAACATTTTTTATAAAAATATAAAAATATTGTAATGTTATCGAAAAGAATTGAATTTCTTAAAAGAATTTTTGTCCTATAATTTAAAAAAAAATCATTTTTTGAAGATATTTGATTAAAAATTTTTAATTTATTATTTTTCTGTATTTATTTGAATTTTCGGAAATTTTTATTTCAAAATATTGAAAAAATAATTGAATTTAAAAAAAATTAGAATGCAAAAATTCTATGAATTATTTTTTTCAAAAATATTTTAATATAATTTTTTAGAAGCTAATTTTTTTTTAAATATTAAATTTAAAATTTAGTTAAAAATTAAATTTAGTAAATAGTTGAATTTGTTTCGGAGAATTTATTAAAATTTTAGGAAATAATTGAATATTTACGAAAAAATTTTATTATTTATGAGAATAATTGAATTTTTGTAAAGAATTTGAAGAACTTTTTTGAAATATATTTAATTTTTTTTTTTTTGAATTTAATTAAAAATTATTGAATTTAGAGAAATTTTTTTAAAATAATAATTGAAATTTTTGTCAAGAATTGTAATAAATTTTTTGAAAATAATTAAATTTCTGAGTAGAATTTTCTTTTTTATAAAAATAATTAAAATTTTCACGAGAATTTTTTTTTTTTTAATTTTTAAACATAATTGAATTTCTGCAAAAAATATTATTATTTACAAAAATAATTGAATTGTTCCGGCGAATTTTATTAAAAATTTGTGAAAATAATTGAACTTTTGTTAAGAATTTATAAAATATAAAAATAATTGAATTCTTGTAAAGAATAATTGAATTTTCCTGAAGAATTTAATAGAAATTTTTAAAAATAATTTATTTCTATCGAATAATGAATTAATTGAAATATATTCAATTATTTACGAAAACAATCAAATTCTTTGTGAAGAATTTGATTGAAAGTTTTTGAAAATAATTGAATTTTTGCATAGAATTTTATTGAAATTTTTTGAAAATAATTGATTTTTAGTTAAAAATTTATAAATTATAAAAATAATTTAATTCTTGTAAAGAATAATTGAATTTTCCTAAAGAATTTATAATTAAAATTTTTGAAAATAATTGATTTCCTTCGAAGAATGAATTAATTGAAAAATATTCAATTATTTACGAAAAGAATTGAATTCTTATCTAGAATTTTCTTAAAATTATTTTAAAATTAACTGAATTCTTAAGAAAAACTTTATTATTTATAAAAATAATTGAATTTTTGTAAAGAATTTATAATTTATGAAAATAATTTGAATTCTTGTAAAGAATAATTGAATTTTTTAATTGAATTTCGTCAAGAATTTAATAGAAATTTGTGAAAATAATTGAATTTTTCTGAAAAATTTGGTAATTTATGAAAATAATTGAATTCTTGTAAAGAATTTTATTATTTACAAAAATAATTGAATTGTTTCGGCGAATTTTATTTAAAATTTCTGAATACAATTGAATTTTTCTGAAGAATTAAAAAATTTTTCGAAAATAATTGAAATTTTGGCGAAGAATTTTGTAATTTATGAAAATAATTGAATTTTGGCGAAGAATTTTATTATTAACAAAAATAATTGAAATTGTTCAGGCGAATTTTTTTAAAAAAAATTTGTGAAAATAATTGAATTTTTCTGAAAAATTTTGTAATTTATGAAAATAATTGAATTTTGGCTAAGAATTTTCTTTTAATTTTTAATAATTGAATTTCTGCAAAGAATTTTACAATTTATAAAAATAATTGAATTCTTGAGAAGAAGTTCTTTTTTTTTAAAATAATTAAATTGTTTCGAAGGATTTATTAAGTTTTTAGAAAATAATTGAATTTATTCGAAATATATTAAAATTTTTTTAAAAATTGAATTCTTCCGAGGAATTTAATGAAAATTTGAATTGAATTTCAATTACTTTCAAAATTTGTCATTAAAATTCTTCAAAAGTTGATTTTCAAAAATGTTTAAAAGACACTGAAAAAAATCAATTATTTTCAATTAAATTTTACAAAATTTCAATTATTGAAACTCTTAATTGAAAATTTAATTGTAAATTTCGAAAATTTAATTAGAAAAATTCTTGAAAAATAATTTTTGAATAATACGTTTCTTTCTTTTGAGTAAAATTTAAACAAGAGACAAAAACGTGAAATTTAAAGTAAAAACTTTAAATTCCACGTTTTTGTCTCTTGTTTGAATTTTCGAAGGCGAATGTTTATTCATTCGCCTTTGAAAATTTCTAATTCAGAGTCCCAGGTTCCGAATAAATAAAAAATTGTCTTTACCGCATTCGAAGCAAGTGAACGTCGAATCCTTGGTGCCTTCGGGCGCCTCGACGTGCCGCGATCTGACGGGCGCGTGCATCCGCGAATGCAGTCGCAGACTTTTGTGCGTCGTGAATTCAGTGCCACAAATTCCGCAGATAAACGTCCGCTGTTGATTGCCATCGGTGTCCATTTCGTGCACCTTCATGTGCAATTGCAATGCCTTCAAATTGGCGAACGACAAGTCGCAGATCTCGCAATTTTTGTTCCCCTGCGAGCAAGTGTGAGTGCGAAATTCCGAGAGTTTGGGAAAATTCTCCAAACACTCCGTACAACGGTAGATGCGATTCGACGTTGTTGTTGCTGTTGTTGTCGTTGTTGTTCCCGATGTTGTTGACGTTGAGGAATTGCCGACTTTTTCCCTCACCTTTAAAAATCAAAAAAATTTGATATTTAGAAAATTTACAATTTTGATTTGCAAACTTAAAAATTTTCTTAAGTTTTCAAATTTACGAATAAACGAAAATACAAATTTAAAAATTTACTCAAGTTTTCAAATTTACGAATTTACGAAAATACAAATTAACGAATTTACGAATTAACGAAAATACAAATTTAAAAATTTACTCAAGTTTTCAAATTTACGAATTTACGAATTAACGAAAATACAAATTTAAAAATTTACTCAAGTTTTCAAATTTACGAATTTACGAATTTACGAATTTACGAAAATACAAATTAAAAATTTTTCAAAGAATTAAAATGCCTCAAAATGTCAAAATAATTGAATTTTTCAAAGAATTTTATTTAAATGCCTCAAAAAAATTGAATTATATCAAAAAAATGTAATTAAAATTGTATTTCAAATAATTGATTTCTTTCGAACAGTTTTTTAAAAATATATTTGAATATAATTGAATTTCTGAGAAAAATTCTAATATTATTATAAATAATTAAATTCTTCCAAAGAATTCTAAAAAAAAACATTTTTTTTAAATAATTGAATTTTTCGAGAAATTGAAATTAAATTTTTTCGAATTATTACATTGTTTGAGCAATTCCTGTAAAATTTTATTAAAAATAATTTAATATTTTCTAAATAATTGTATTATTTATGAGAATAATTTAATTTTTAGGAAGAATTTTATTATTTACGAAAATAATTGAATTTTTTAAGTTATGAAAATAATTTAAATTTTGAGAAGAATTTTATTATTTTGGAGAATATTTGAATTCTCGCGAAGAATTTTATTAGAATTTTTGAAAATAATTGAATTTTTCAAAGAATTTTATTTAAATGCCTCATAATAATTGAATTTTCGGGAATAATTTTTTTAATCGATATAATTGAATTGTTTTAAAGAATTATTTACGTAAATAATTGAATTCTTGGGAAGAATTTTATTAAAATCCAAAAGAATAATTGAATTATTTCAACAAAATTTAATTAAAATTATATTTTAAATAATTGATTTCTTTTGAACAGTTTTTTAAAAATATATTTGAAAATAATTGAATTTTTTGAAGAATTTTATAAATTTATGAAAATAATTGAAATTTTGAGAAGAATTTTAATTATTTTGGAGAATATTTGAATTCTTGGAAAGAATTTTATTGAAATTTTTGAAAATAATTGAATTTTTCTGAAAAATTTGATTAATTTTTGAAAATAATAAAATTCTTGCGGCGAATTTTATTAAAATCTATATGTAAATAATTGAATTTTGTGAAGAATTTTGTAATTTATGAAAATAATTGATTTCTTGGAAACAAAATAATTAAATTTTATTTAATAATCGAATTTTTTTTTAAGAAATTTTTTTAAAAAATTTGATATAAAATTGAATTCTTGCGAAAAATTCTATTTTTTCGAAAAATAATTGAATTTTTGTAAATAATTCAATTATTTGTTAATGAAGAATTGAATCTTGCAAATATATTAATTAGATTTCTTTTGATAATTGACATTTTTTGAAGAAAATTTTATTGAAAATTTGATATAAAAATTCAATTTCTGCGAAGAATTTTATTATTGATGATGAAAAAAATTGAATTTTTGCGACGAATTTTATTGAGATTGTTTAAAAATAATTGAATTGCAGTAAAAAATTTAATTAATTTTTTTTTTTTAGAAAATATTTGAATCCCTGTGAATAATTCAATAATTTATTAATAGAATTGAATTCTTTGAAACAAATTAATTAAATTTTACTCAATAATGGAATTTTTTAAAGAAAATTTTATTAAATATTTGAATATAAAATTCAATTGCAGCGAAGAATTATATTAATTATGATGAAAATAATTGAATTCTTAGGATGAATTTTTTTTTAATAATTGAATTCCTGTAAAAAATTTTGTAATTTATGAAAATAATCGAATTTTTGCGAAGAATTTTATAATTTATGAAAATAATTGAATTCTTGCGAAGAATTTTATTGAAATTTTTGAAAATAATTGAATTTTACTGTAGTTTTTTTTAATTTATAAAAATAATTGAATTCTTGCTGCGAATTTTATTAAAATTTTCGAAAAAAATTGAATTTTTCTAAAGAATTTTATAATTTATTATATTATAATTGAATTCCTGAGAAGAATTTTATTATATTTATGAAAATAAATGAATTTTTGCAAAGAAAAAAATGCCTAAAAAATAATTGAATTTTCGGGAATAATTTTTTTATTCTTCTTTAATAATTGAATTCTTTCGAAGAATTATTTAATTAGTTGCTGAGAATTTTATTAAAATTTTCAATTCAATTCTTGAGAAGAATTCAATTATTTACGAAAATAATTGATTTATTGCGAAAAATTTTATTAAAATGGTTTTTAAAAAAAATTGAATTTCAGTGAAAATTTTTGTTGATTTTCGCAAATAATTGAATTCTTCATAAAAATCTTATAAACATTCTTTTAAATTAATTGAATTTTGGATGAATTTTATCAGTTTTTTTGTAAATAATTGAATTGTTTTGCAAAATTTGATGAAAATACTAGATATTGAAAATAATTGAATTTAGAATATTTTTTGAAAATAATTGAATTTAGAATATTTTTTGAAAATAATTGAATTTAGAATATTTTTTGAAAATAATTGAATTGTTTTAAAAAATTTGAGACTATAATTTTTGAGAAGTTTTTTGATTTCTAGTATTAGCGAAGTTAAAGTAGTAAAAATTCTCAAAAAAAAAAACAGAAATAGTAGCTTTTAGTGACTGAATTCTAAAAAAAGTAGTAAATGGTAGGTTTTTTCTTCTTTTTTTTTTGTTTTTGTTACCTTGACACCTTCGGCGTTGGAGAAGAATTTTTCAATCATCGAAGACTTAGGCGCGGGCGCTGGAGCCGGTGGATCCCAAAATCTCTCGATTTGAACGACTTTCCTCGTGTAGAGTCTGCCCTCGCTGTCGATGCACTCCTCAGTCCTCAGGGTATTCATCGTCTGACGGGCGCGTCTCTTTTGCGTCGAATTCGTCGATTCTTCGGCTTCGATTGGTATCACTGGGGTTGTCAGTTCCTCGTACTGTTGATCGGCCATTTCCAAAACAACTTCCTGGCCGTCGTGAAATTCTTTGATGTGATCCAACACTGAATTGAAACTCATTGAACAGCTGCTGCAATTGTAGAGTGAATCTGATACCTGAAAATTCAAATTAAGTCAATTTTTCCGTTCAAATTACAAAAAAAAATATATATTATTTATAAATATAAATATAAGAAGAATATAAATTAAAAATATAAATATAAATATATAAAAAAATGTAATCATAAAAAATTCAATTTTTTAATAGAATTTTAGGAAATTTTCAATTATTTAAAAAAAAAAAATTTCAATCGCTTATCTGGAAGAATTTAATTTTCTTTAAAAAATAGAATTGAAATATTTTTAAAAACTGATTTTTCAGAAATATAAATAAAATTTTTCGAAACTAATTTTTAAACAAATATAAAAAACTTAAATCTTCTTGAAAATTAATTAATTAAATAATTAAAATTGAATAAAGTTTAAATAAAAAACTGAATTTGAATAAAAAATTAAATTTCAATAAACTGAATTTAAATAAAAAAATGGAATTTAAATAAACTGAATTTGAAAAAAAACTGAATTTCAATAAAAATCGAAATTTAAATAAAAAACTGAATTTCAATAAAAAAAAGGGAATTTGAACATTTAAATTAAAATTGATAAATTAATAAAATATAATCGAAACAACGAACTTGACTTTGGTTTTCTTTTGGACTTGGGAAAATTGTGAACTAAATTTGATTACCTTTTCATTTTTTACCTCACTCAATTCCTCCTTGACTTTCATTAATTTCGCTTCATCAATCTCCTGAATCTGATCCATTGTAATCACCGTGTCCTCATCGTCATTAAATATTTCCGAACCGTCCGGCAATATTGCGATAACATGTTTCTCCATCATTTTCTGATCCAATTCCCCATCGTCATCAATTGGAATCGATAATTCCATCAGTGGATCCTGCATCTCGGGTTTTTTCTTTAAATATTTATTATCGATTTTCACCAGGACTTTTTCGACTTTTTTCAATTTCACCTGCGACGTGGATTGGATTTTCGTCACTTTTTTCGCTTTGTCTAGAAGGAAAATTTTTTTTTAATTATTTGCTTTTTGTTAAAACCCTTTTTTTTTAAATTTATTTTTCTTTATTTATTTTATTTATTTAATTTATAAAAAGCCTACGTTTTTATGTTAAAAAACAAAACTTAATGTTAAGTTGAAGTTAGTTTTTTATAAAGTTTTTCGTTAGAAAAACGTTTTTAAATTTAAAAAAACAAAATTTTTTATGTTTTAAAAACAAGCGAAAAAAAATTTGGCAATTCTTCCAACAAAATTGTAAAAAAAAGATTTTAATTTTAATTCTTTTTCTTTAAAAGAAAAAAAAAATTTTCATACCTTTCTCTTCGTTTTTGGCTGTTGTCACTTCCTTTGGCGATTTGTCATCTTTAGTTTTTTGCTCGATTTTTTGCTTCTTTTCGTCGTTTTCGTCAGATTGCAATTCTTTCTGAAAAAATGATTTGAAATGATGATTGATTATCTTTTTATTGAAACGAAAACAAAAACTCGAGAATAACAAACGAGGTTATTAAAAACAATTCACTGGCGTTAAAAAATTGAAGTTCCGATTTTCGTTTATTTTTTCTTTTCAACAATTTTAACAACCATTTTAACGAAAGGAAAAAAAAAGTTTTTCGAGTTTGACAATTTTTTTTTTAGAAATAATTGGTTATTAATTAAAAAAAAAGGTTAAGTAATATTTTCAGTTTGTGAGAATAATTTTTAATTTTCTTCCAAGGTGAGCGGAAAATTATAATTTTACCGATTTTATTGGTCATATTTTTATTAATTCAATTATTTTATTTATTTACTTTTTTTATTTTGTTTTACTAATTTAATTCAAATTACTTTTAACATTTTTAAGAAAATTTTCGGCTAGAATTTCAATTATTTTTAATACAATTTTGATTTTAATAACATTTCTCGATAGAATTCAATTATTTTTATAAATTTTAATAAAATTCAATTATTTTACAAAAATATTAAAATTTTATTCAAAATTTCAATTATTCTCATAAATTGTAAAATTCTTCAGAAAAATTCAATTATTTTTATAAATTTTAATAAAATTCAATTATTTTCCAAAAATAATAAAATTCGCCACAAGAATTCAATTATTTTCGAAAATAATAAAATTCTTCGCCAAAATTCAATTATTTTCATAAATGACAAAATTCTTCAGAAAAATTCAATTATTTTCATAGATTTTAATAAAATTCGCTGAAAGAATTTTAGTTTTCTAAATAATAAATCCGTCGCAAAAATTCAATTATTTTCAAAAGCTTGCATTAAATTTTTCTCAAAAATTCAATTTTTTTCATAGATAATAAAATCTTTTATTAAAAATTCAATTATTTTAATAAATTATAAAATTCTTCGCAAGTATTGAATTAGTTTTATAAATTTTTATAAAATTTTTCTCTAAAAAATTCAATTATTATTCTCAAAAGTTGTTTATAAAATTCTTTGTAAATTAATAATTTACTTATTTATTTACTCATTTATTTATTTTCGAATTTATTTTTTTACAAATTTACTTGTTTTCTTATTTACTAATTTACTGATTTTTTTATTATTTATTAAGTTGCTGATTTCCTTGTTTCTTTTATTTACTAATTTATTAATTTACTTATTTATTTACTAATTTATTTATTTATTTATTTACTCATTTATTACTTTTCTTATTTACTAATTTATTTACTTGTTTACTTATTTATTTACTAATTTACTTTTTTTCTTATTTACTATTTTTTTAATTTACTAATTTATTTATTGACTAATTTACTTATTTTCTTATTTACTTGCTTTCTTATTTATTTACTAATTTACTTGTTTTCTTATTTGTTTACTCATTTATTACTTTCCTTATTTACCTATTAACTTGTTTACCAATTTATTTATTTTCTTGTTTACTGATTTATTTATTTAGCTAATAAATTTAAATAATTAATAAAAGAGAGGTAAGAATCTTCGTTCTTCTTGAAAAGACGAAATAATACAGAAAATCAATTGACTTTTTTACTTACCAATAAAAGTTGACAGTCCTTCTCGTGTTTTTTCCTCTTTAAATTTAATTTCGCCTCGCTATCTGGTTGTCCACAATAATCCAAATGTTCAATCAATGCCAAAACAGAATCCGATCTTTCGGAGCATCCTGGACAATATAAATTATCCGTCATACTAAGCAGATGGTATTTCAACGATTGTGAACTCGTGAAAGTTTCTCCACAACACATTGGACAAATTAAACTCATCGACCCCATTGTTTTTTTAATCTTTTTCCCCTTAATCTACAATTTAAAACACTTTTTTAAAATTCCCTTTTTTTCGCAATAATAAATAAATATACAATACGTCAAAAAAAAGGGTCAACCTAACCTAAAATTCCCCTTTCTCCTACTCCGAAATTCGAAATATCAAAAGAAACATGACCTGGGGCAATAATTTTTCTTTCGCGCACTAATAAATTACACAATTTTGAATAATTTAGTCGTAAAAAAGATAGTGGCATTATAATTTATATATTGTATCCGAAATTTTAGTTTTCGTTTTCGTTTCCGAAAAAGCACTATTATGACTATTATTGAATAGATTTGGATTGATTTCGAATTTTTTTAGTCTCAAGGGAATTTGAAATTTGAAAAAAAAATTCTTTTGACTTTTTTTCGATAGATTTTATAACCGCAGAGTTATATTTAATAGGAGACAAACTTCAGCGCAAACAAATGTCATAAACAACAATCATGAAGTTAGAAGTTAGGGAAATGATAATGGCGGCCATTTTGGTCGCAGAGTCCAATATCAAAACTGCTCTAGTCAAATGACAGATTTAAATTTATTTTTAAACCTTTTAAACTTTTTCAAAAAGTTAAAACAAAAATTTAATATAGAGATAAATAATTTTATAATTTAAACAAATTTTAAATTCATTTCGATTGCAAGTGGAGAGAATTTAATCGATTTAATTTTTTATATTTTAAGCACTTAAGGCGCGAAAATTTTTAGGTTATGTTACCATTTTTTTATATTTTTTATTTTTGATTTGTAATTTTTAATTTCTTTCATAAAAAATGTAACAAAAAAATTGTAAAGTTCAATGACAATTCAGTTAATTTAGTGAATATGGAAAAATTCTCTTTCCCCACAAAAAAGAAATTAAATTCGAAATTTTATTTCGTTTTTCGATACAAAAAAAAAAATAATAATTCGTTTAGGTTTTCGTTGCAAATTCCAAAAATTAAAAATTCGTTTAATATTCAAAATAAGTATTTTTATTAATAATAATAGAAAATTTTTTCGAGTAGAACAAAGAAATTAAAAAATTGTTTACATAAAAAAAAGTGTAAAAAAAAAGTGTGTTTTTAATAAAAAAAAGGTATTTTTACAAAAAAAAATGTTTTAATAAAAAAGGTGTTTCTGCAAAAACAGGGTTTTTACGAAAAAAATATTTACATAAAAAAAGTGTTTTTAATTAAAAAAAAAGTGTTTTTACAAGAAAAATTTTTATAAAAAAGGTGTTTCTACAAAAACAGGGTTTTTACGAAAAAAAGGTGTTTTTACAAAAACAGGGTTTTTTATAGAAAAAAGGTGTTTTTACAATAACAGGGTTTTTACGAAAAAAGGTGTTTTTACAATAACAGTGTTTTAATAACAAAAAAGTGTATTTACAAGAAAAGTGTCTTAAAAAAATGCGTTTATAAAAATAATATTATAATTATCTGAATATTTAATTTATTAAAAAACGTGTGTTTTCAGTAAATTGTTAATATTTTTAACAATATCGTCCAATAGACTCGAGGCTCCAATTCGAAACAAAGAATTGTCCAGCCATTCGTCACCCAATTCTTGTTTAATTAAAATCATCCACTGAAGAGCTTGAGACGCTGTTTTTATTCCTCCAGCAGGTTTGAATCCCACCTTTTTTTATTAACAAAAAAAAACAATAACAATAATTGAAATAAACAATTCAATTAATTATTTTTTATTTCTTAAAATTTTATTAAAATTTTTCTCAAGAATTCAATTATTTTCATCTGAATTTTATTAAAATTCTTCTCTCAAGAATTCGAGAAATTATTTTCATCATAAATAATAAAATTCTTCGCAAGAATTGAATTTCAATTTAATTATTATGTCTACAAGAATTCAATTCTAATAATAAAAAAATAAATTTTTGGCTGAATTTCAAATTATTTTCAGCAAAAATTGAATTTTTTTTTGTAAGAATTAAATTATTTAAAATACAACTTCAGAAAAAGATTCTTGAAAAATTCAATTATTTTTAATTTATACAATTTTAACATAATTTCTTCCAAAGAATTCAATTATTTTAGAATCCAATTATTAAACAAAAATTAAATTAACTTTTTTGCAATAATTCAATTCTATTAATAAATAATTGAATTCTTCAAAGAAATTCAATTATTTTCAGAATAAATCATTCAATTCTTCACAGGAATTCAATTGTTTTCAGAATAAATAATTTAATTCTTTACAGAAATTATTTACGAAAACAATTCAATTCCTGCGATGAATTCAATTGTTTACGAAAAGAATTGAATTCTTGCGAAGAATTTTATTAAAATTTTTCGAAAATAATTGAATTTTTTTTTATGAATTTAGTTAATATTTTTGAAATTAATTTAATTTCTAAGAAGAATTTCATTGAAATTAAAATTAATTCATTAAATTAAATAATTAAAATTAAAAAATAATTGAATTCTTCACAGGAATTGAATTATTTTCAGAAAAAATTAAATTCTTCGGCAGAAATTAAATTATTTTTATAATAAATAATTGAATTCTTCACAAAAATTCAATTATTTTAAAATAATTTCAATAAAATTTTATGAAAAAATTCAATTCTTTTTAATATTTTTTATAAAATTTGTAAAAAAAAACAATTTAATTATTTTTAATTCATTTTTAGTAAAATTCCTCGCAAGAATTGAATAATTTTATGAAAAAATAAAATTCTTCGCAAGAATTCAATTATTTTCAGGAAAAAATTTAATTCTTCGGCAAAAATTTAATTTATTAAAAATTTTTTATAAAATTTGTAAAAATAAATTTAATTATTTTTAATTAATATTTTTTAGTATAATTCTTTAAAAGAATTCAGTTATTTTCAAAAATTTACATGTAAAATTTTTTCTAAACAATTCAAAAAGAAAATTTTGAACAAAATTTGTCGACAGAAGTAAATTATTTTCCAAATTATTGCTAAAATTTATTTAGATATTAGAGTTTAATTATTTTTAAAAAATTAAATTGAATTCGTCGCAAGAATTGAATTATTTTCATCACAAACAATAAAATTCTTTGCAGGATTTGAATTTATTTTATTTCAAATATTGAACAAAATTTCAATTAAAAAATTCAATTATTAAACAAACTTTAATTAATTCGTTAGCAAAATTCAATTCTTCATTAATAAATAATTGAATTGTTTACAGAAATTCAATTATTTCCAGAATAATAAAATTTTTCGTAGAAATTTTAATTATTTTTATCATCATTAATAAAATTCTTCGTTGGAATTGAATTTTTATATCAAATTTTTAATAAAATTTTCTTAAAAAGAAATTCAATTATTAAACAAAATTTAATTAATTTGTTTGCAAGAATTCAATTCTAAATTAATAAATAATTCATCTATTTGCTGGAATTCAATTGTTTTCAGAAAAAATAAAATTCTTAGCAAAAATTTAATTATTTTTATAAATTTTTATAAAATTCAATTATTTTCAATTATTTTAAAAAATTTCAATAAAATTCGCTTCAAGAATTCAATTATTTTCGTAAATAATAAAATTCTTCTCCAAATTTCAATTATTTTCCAAATATTTAATAAAATTCGTCACAAGAATTCAATTATTTTCGAAAATAATAAAATTCTACCAAAAAATTTCAATTATTTTAACAAATTTTATAAAATTCTGCAGAAAAATTCAATTATTTTCAAATATTAAAAAAGTATTTAAATTCTTTGAAATGATTCTATTTTCAAAAGTTTTATTTGTAAAATTTCATCGAAAGAATTCAATTATTTTTATACAATTTTATGGAAATTCTTCGGCAAAAGTTAATATTTATCGAAAGTTTAATTATCGAGAGTTGACTGTATTTAAATGAAATGAATAAGAAAATGAGTGAGAATTTCTTTTTTACTCACCTTGCGACCAGTTTCTCGATGAAAATCACGAATTGCACGACACATGACAATTCCAATTGGCAATGTTGCATTCACTGTTTCCTTTCCAGTTGAGGTTTTAATGAAATCCGAGCCTGCTCTCATTGCCACCATTGATGCCTTATAAACATCTTGATAAGTTGGCAATTCACCAACGGCGAGAATTGTCTTCATATGCGCCGCACCGCAAACTCTTTTCATTTCCCTCAATTCATTGAATAATTCATTCCAATTGTGGGATAGAACTAATGACCTATTAATTACAATGTCAATCTCGTTTGCTCCCGATTTCACTGCAAGTTCAATTTCCCGAAGACGCGATTCCAATGGATATTGTCCCGAGGGAAATCCTGCTGCAACTTTATTGGAGAAAAAATAAATTAGGATCAATTTTTTTTTCTTCTTTTTTCTTTTTTGGGAAAAATAATATTTTATTCGCTAACAATATTAATGTTTTAGTTTTTATTTTTCTGTTTCTTTTTCTTTTTCATATTTTTCTACTTTTTTCCCCTATTTTTCTATTTTCTACTTCATTTTTATTTTTTTTCAATTTCTATTTTTTATTTCATTTTTTTAATCTTTCTATTTCTTTTTTTTATTTTTCTATTTTCTATTTTTTTAAAGTTCTAATGTAATTAATTAAAATAACTTCTTACCACTGGCGACAGCAACATTTTGTCCATTTAATTCTGTCAAAGCAGAAACTGCATCTTCGATTCTCGCCGGATAAACGCAAACAGCCGCTGTTTGAATTGGTATGAATTCAAACGAAAGATTTATAGGATTCACGGCCTAAAAATTCCGTTAGCAGACAAAAATTATTTATTTTTCTTTTATTGCAAAAATGGAGAATACATAAAAATTTTTTCTAAATAAATTTATAATAAATTAAAAATAAATAAATTTTGAAGAAATTTACAGACAAATTAAAAGTAAATTTAGAAACAAATTTAGAGTAAATTGAAATCTAAAGTTATAACTGACCTTGGAACAAAGTGCCTTGACATTAGAAGCGGTGTCATCGCCTCCCAGAGTTGTCAAGTCGATAAAAGTTACAGATTTCAATAACCAAGCTAATTTATTCCTGTCATTTAAAATTGAGGCTTGATAAACAAATCCCTTCGATCGATTTCTTATCGCCGGTTCGTTCAAGTAAACCTGATTTTCTAAATGAAAAAAACAATTTATAACTTCTCGATATACTTAAATTAACAATTATCTCTTTTTTTAGGTTAGAAAAATTCCGTTTCTTTCTTTTCTCGAAAGAACAAATAAAAAAATACCTTACCCATTATTATCGAACTTGATCGATCGGATAAATATTCTTCTGTCATTTTTTTTTTGAAATTAAATAAAAATTCTTATACGTAACAATAACTTTCTTTTCTCGATTTGTAAATTGCTATACTGTCATTATCTTAAACTTCTTCTTCCTGCAGCTAATTGTAAAGCAAACACTGGCAAACACAAAAAAGAAAAAGAGGTAAAAGATAACGATAACGACACAGATAAGGATTATTTTTTGACATTTAATTACTAATTTGACACTTGTTGTGATCTGAAGATGTTTCCGAAACAACCGGAAGTTTGTGTGCGTGCGAAATTTCTCATGTGGATTCACCTTTAGGCTCTAGCGGGAATTTCGAAATTCCCAGTGAACGAAACTTAAAGAATCTTAGAGAAAAAAATTGTTTCTTTGAAGTTGAAAAGAACGAAAACAATAATGTATAGATAATTGTGATAAATAGGGACAATTATGGTAAATAAGTAGAAAAACGAATCTTGACAAGGTTAATTATTCGAATATCAACAATGGCACTCGTTGCTTTAAAAAATGTGAGTATTTTTCTTTGGAAAAAAAATAAACTGTTATAACATAACCTCAAAATTCGGTAAATATTTCAATTTTATTTATAGAAAAACTATATAATTTAATTTTATTGATAAAAAAACTATATAAATATTTGTTTATAGTTGATTCGGCCGTCTCTTATTCAATTGCAACCGATTTTATCGAGATCGTACAGTATAAATGAACCTGATTATCTAAAGGTGACTATTTTTTTTATTAATTTAAAGAAAAGGAATAATTTTATAAGCCTTATAAACAAATTTTTTCTTTTTTTCGTTTTTTTAGGCTTTAGAACCAAAACATCCACTTTATCCGACAGTAAATATACAAATTAAAGGCTATGATTTTCCAATTGTGGAGAAATTTCAAAAATTCGTTCACAAATTTGTGGATAAATTGGACATCGATGGGGAAGAAAGGTTAGAAATTATCATTTTTACGACATATACTTTTGTAAAATTTAATATTTTTAATATTATTTCTAAATATATTTTAAGTAAAAAATTATTTAAATACTATTTTAAGTCAGGTATTTTTCTCAAAAGAATTGGAAAAAATTTTAAACTTAGAGAATTTATATGAAAATTCGATGAATTTTTTTGGAGTAAATGATTTTTAAAAACTATTATTTTAATAAAAGTTTTCAAAGGAATTCAATTCGAAAAATTTTCTTAAAAAATTCCTTACAAGAATCCAATTATTCTCATAAATAATTAAATTCGTTCTTAGAAATTCAATTATTTTCTATAAAATTCGATAAAAATTCCTCTTAAGAATTCAATTATTTAAAAAAATCTTTCATTAAATTCTACGCAGGAATTCAATTGTTTTTAATCAAATTTTTCAGTAAAAATTCAATTATTTTCATAAATAATTAAATTTTTCATTAAAAATTCAATTATTTTCATAAATTACAACATTCTTCGCAAAAAATTCAATTATTTTTATAAAAAATTAAATTTTACTGTAAAAAATTCAATTATTTTCAAAAATTGCAATAAAATTCGCCCCAACAATTCAATTGTTTCTGTAAATAATAAAATTCTTCGCAAAAATTCAATTATTTTCAAAAGTTTCAATAAAATTTCTCATTAAAAATTCAATTATTTTTAAAAATTGTAATAAAATTCGCGCCACAATTCAATTATTTTTGTAAATAATAAAATTCTTCCCGAAAATTCAATTATTTTCAAAAATTATAATAAAATTCGCCCCAACAATTCAATTGTGTTTTCTTAAATTCTTTGAAATAATTCAATTATTTTAAAAAGTTTTAATGTAAAATTTCTTATAGACAATTTTTCTTCTAACAATAAAAAAAATAAATTTCTTCCCATAAAATTTATTATTTTCATAAATAATAAAATTTTCCAGTAAAAATTCAATATTCATTTTCAAAAAATTTTAATAAAATTCACCGCAAGAATTGAATTCTTTTAATAAATTATAAAATTCTTTACAAAAATTAATTATTTTCATAAATAGTAAAAATCTTCAGAAAAATTCAATTATTTTCATAAATAATAAAAATCTTCAGGAAAATTCAAATATTTTCATAAGTTATAAAATTCTTCAAAGGAATTCAATTATTAATAAAATTTCTAAACATAATTCAACTATTTTCTAAATTTTTAATTCACAAGAATTCAATTACAGAAAAATAACTTCTTCTAAGAATTTAATTATTTTCATAAATATAATGAAATTCATTACAGAATTTCAATTATTTTTGATACAATTTTAATTAAATTTTCTCGAAAAAATGTAATTATTCTTAAAAATTTTCATCAAATTCTCCAAAAGAATTCAATTATTTTAAAATTTGTTGATAAAATTCTTCATGAGAATTCAATTTTTAGAAACATTCAATTCTTCAATAAATTATTTATTTGCATTTTTACATTTAAATTTGTATTTAAATAATTGAATTCTCGTTGAATTTTTTAATAAAAATTGCTTTTCATTTTATAAAAATGAATTTCAGTTAAAATTTTCGATTATAAATATTAAAAGTATTATAGCGAAAATTTTTAGAAATAATTGAATTTAAAAAGTTTTCCAATTAAAATTTTTGAAAATTTGAATTTTTCATACTTTTAAACTAACAATTTTTGGGAATTAATTTTTTTTTGAAAAAGTTATTTGAATTTTTTTTTTTGCAGCTATTTGAAGTTTTTATATTCCAATAAATATTTAATTGAAAAATTGTCTGAATAATCAAAATGTCACGTTAAATTAAATTGTAAACAAATAGATTTAAAAATTCTTAAAAAGAACTTTTTCAAAAATTATTTCAAATTTGAAAATTAATAAAGACATAGGAGAGTTAAAATAGTATTAAAAAATAATATTCTATTTAAAAAAACAAAAAAATTATTTACATAAAGCAAAAAGAAAATAAAAATAAGGAACAATTTCTTTTTTCCAGTTGGGCAATGCCACCAAAAGAACTACACATAAAACGCTACAAACCAAAAAGCAATATTCTGGAAGTCGAATACAAATTAAATATTTACGAGAGAAATATAAAAGTTTCAAATGTTTCCTCAACCAATTTACCATTGTTAATAAGAATTTTAGAAGCGAGCGCACCCCCGGGTGTTGATATTGTCGTTGAAACATTTGATCCCGAGAAAGAACTGAAACGTTATATTCCCGATACGGATCTATTGAAATTAAAGAGCGATCTTGCCGAGGCAATTGAGAAAAAAGAATGAAAAAAATAATATTCATTTTTCTATATAAATCATATTTATATATAATATATATATATATTTGATTTAATAAGTCTGTACAAAAATATAAAATACTATAAATATTCTATAAAAAAAACTTATAATATTCGTATTGCTTTTTTTTATTACTGTAAAGTAGGTTTTTTTTTCTTTCTCTTCTTATTTTTTTTATAAGAGGCCAAAGTGAACGACTTTTATTTTTGCAACCTCTTCTGGTTTTGGAGGTTCTTTTGTTTTTGAGCTTCCTTCTTCTGAAACAATAATAGTTAATATTTCTAACAATAATGATAATTAATAATAATAATAATATTCCTTATTTGGAATGGATATCAAAAATGCTAAATAGTTACAAATAAAAATAATATTCCTTATTTGGAATGGATATCAAAAAAAGAAATAATAATAATCTCACTTGACAGAGGTTGAAAATCCTTGAGATAGTCATCATTTCCTAAACAAAGAGGTAAACTTTCAGCTAATTCTCTCTTTGGATCCATTGGATGTAATTGCATCATTGATCTTTTTTGCAGTGGCCTGTAAATTTGTCCCTAGAATCGAAAAATTTACAAAATCATTTCTGTGAAAAATTCAATTATTTATTTATTTACAATTGAATAATTTTTATAAACAAATTAATTAAATTTTGTTTAGATTATTTATAAATTTTAATAAATATTTGACATAAAATTCAATTTCAGAGAATAATTTTTTTATTCGTGATAAAAATAATTCAATTCTTGCGATGAATTTCAATTAAAAAGTTTGAAAATAATTGAATTCTTTCAAAGAATTTTACTAAAAATAAATTAAAAAATAATTGAACTTTTTTTTTTATAAATTTTATAAAAAATTTTGAAAAGAATTGAATTTTTCTTAAAGAATTTTATTGCAATTATTATTTCAAAATAATTGAATTCCTGCAATTAATTTAATTATTTATTATTAGAATTAAATTCTTGCAAACATATTAATTAAATTTTTTTTAATAATTTACCTTTTTTAAGAAAATTTTATTAAAAATTTGATATAAAAGTCAATTCCTGCGAATAGTTTTATTATAATGATGAAAAAAATAATTGAATACCAGCAAAGAATTTTATTGAAATTGTTTAAAAATAATTGAATTTTTCTGAAGAATGTTATAATTTTGAAAATAATTGAATTTTTGAGAAGAATTTTATTATTTGGAAAATAATTGTATTCCTGCTGCGAATTTTATCATTTATAAAAGTAATTGAATTCTTGCGATGAATTTTATTAAAATTTTTAAAAATAATTGAATTTTTGCGAAGAATTTAATTAATTTCCAAAAATAATTGAATTCTTGGGGACAATTTAATTAAAATTTATGAAAAGAATCGAATTTTTCTGAAGAAATTTTTAATTTATGAAAATAATTAAATTTGAGAACAATTTAATTATTTTTTAAAAATAATTGAATTCTTGGGGAGAATTTTATTACAATTTTTGAAAATATTTGAATTTTTACTTTAAAAAACTTTATTATTTATGGAAATAATTAAATTTTTGCTAAGAATTTCATTATTTATGAAAATAATTGAATTCTTAGAGCGAATTTTGTAATTTATGAAAATAATTGAATTTTTTATGAAAAATTTTAATATATTTATGAAAATAATTGAATTTTTGCGAAGAATTTAATTAATTTCCAAAAATAATTGAATTCTTGGGGACAATTTAATTAAAATTTATAAAAATAATCGAATTTGAGAAGAATTTTAATATTTTTTAAAAATAATTTAATTCTTGAGGCGAATTTTATTACAATTTTTGAAAATAATTAAATTTTTACTGAAAAACTTTATTATTTATGAAAATAATTGAATTTTTGCGAAAAATTTCATTAATTTCCAAAAATAATTGAATTCTTGGGGACAATTTAATTAAAATTTATGAAAAGAATCGAATTTTTCTGAAGAAATTTTTAATTTTTGAAAATAATTGAGTTTGAGAACAATTTTATTATTTTTTTTAAAAATAATTGAATTCTTAAGGCGAATTTTGTAATTTATGAAAATAATTGAATTTTTCTGAAGAATTTTTTAATTTATATGAAAATAATTCAGTTTGAGAAGAATTTTATTATTTTTTAAAAATAATTGAATTTTTGCTAAGAATTTTATTACAATTTTTGAAGATAATTGAATTTTTTAAAGCAATTTGTATGAAATTTTTTAAAAAAATATTTTTTTATTATATTAATAATAATAATAATAGTAATAATTATTATTATTTTTATTATTTTTAATACAATTTTAAATGGATTGCTTTAAATAATTCAATTTTTTCTAAAATATATTAATAAAATTCCTTGTAAGGATTCAAATATTTGCAATTTTTATCGTAAATTTTGAATAAAAATATAATTGAATTTTAAATGTATTTTAAATGAATTATTTTTTTTTTGTTCAAATAAATAATTGAATTCTCTAAAATGATTGAAAATAATTGATTTAGAGAAGAATTTTAGTTGAAATTATTCAAGATAATATTTGAATCTTGCAAGAATTGAAATTTGTAATTTTCGGAAATATTCGTCGCAGAAATTTTCAAGTTGTAACGAAACTTGAAAAAAAATATTTTAAGTTAAGGGCATTTGAACCATGATGACGTCACAGATTTAAAACTAATGCTTTGCACAAACTGTGACGTCATCAAGGTTCAAATCCCCTTAAAAATTTTGTTCATTTAATATTGAATATTAAATTTTAATATTAAATAATAGAATTAATTATACAATTAATAATTTTAATATTCAATATTAAATTTTTCAAACTTACAAATTTTTTCAAAATTTCGACACAACTTGAAAATTTCTAGAAAAAAAATTGTATCAGAATATTAAATAATTATTAATTAAAATTTAATAATTAATAAAATTAATTAATTAATAAAATTTGATAATTAATAAAATTAATTAATTAATAAAATATAATAATTATTTATGAAAAAAAATTAATTAATTAATTAATCTCCTTAAAATAAAAGTAAAATTGCAAGAAAAAAACTCACACTTCCAGGAACAAGAATATGCGTGACAGTATCAGAAAATTTGACTTTCGGCTTTTCATTCATAACATTCGGCACGTCCATCAGAGGGAAATGTTTATAACTCGAATTAATAACCGGCAGCGGTGGGATATTCGAAAATTTCTTCTCCTTATTAATCAAATGCTGTCCAATTCGAAATCTCGATTCCTTCGTCGCCGTCGTCGTCGAATCCATAAAATTTCTCCCACCCTGATAATGAAGCTGTTGCGGCTGCTGATAATGATGATGATAATGACTCCTCGACAAATTATCACAACTCACCGCACAAGGTGAGTTCGGCAGATGACTAATATCATAATTCAGTCTATAATTTCTAGTCTTAAATTTACTATTATTTCTCTGTTGTTGTTGCTGCTGCTGCTGTTGTTGCTGGTGATTTTGATTTTGATAACTCTGATGATGATAATTATGATTCAACAAAAACAAACTCGAATTTTGCCTCGAATTTTGCAATCTCAGCACTGGGTCTTCGAGATCTAATCCTGGTGTACTTCGGGAGAGAGGGAAATTTTTTTTCGGTAAATTTTTTATGTATTTCGCTAGACTTGTTGACATTGATGGCGGGGGCGGAATGTCGAACGGAGAGAGGCGTTGATTCTTTTTTTGCTCGATTGTTTGGAAAACGAGGGGCGAGTATTCGGATTTTTTCGAGTCGCTCTCGTTTCCCTTTCTTTCGTTTTCTCTCCTTTCTTTTCTCTCTTCTCTTCTTTCTTTTCTCTCTTCTATTGTTTCGTCTCTTTTTTCTCTTTTTTCGCTTTTCTCGCCTTTTTCCCTTTTTTCGCCTTTTTCTCCCTTTTCGCCTTTTTCTCTTTTCTCGCCTAATTCTTTTTTCTCGCCTTTTTCTCTTTTTTCGCCAATTTCGCCTATTTCCCTTTTTTCGCCTTTTTCTCTTTTCTCGCCAATTTCTCTTTTTTCGCCAATTTCTCGTTTTTCCCCTTTTTCTCTTTTTTCGATTATTTTCCCTTCGGAGAATTTTTCCCCATGGAATTTATGATCCTTGTCATCGATATTATTATAATTATCATCATTAACATTATTATCATCGTCGTTATCATCATCGTCGCCGTCATCGTCATCGTCATCATTATCATAATTTTTCTCATCGTTCTCGTCATTATCGTCCGAATCCTCATCAGAATCGTGAAACGAACTGAAATTATTCCCCGAATACAAAATCGAACTCACAGGATTGAAAAGACTTCGTTTTCCATTAAACGACGAGGAATTAAGACCGGAAATCTCCTCCGAAACCTCCAACAGCGAAGGAGTGGAAAAATTCTTCATCTCGAGCAATTTTTCTTTATTGAAACATTTTCCGAGTGTTCCCTCAAAATTTTCCTCGCCGAACATTGTCGTCGGCTTCGAATAGGATTCGTCGATTCCAAATTTTCCAAAAGCGTCGCAGGCGGAATTGTTGGAATTATTAAAGACCTTCGAGTGGAGACTCAAATTTCCGAAACCGGGCAGAAGACTCTCGATATTGCTGAGTGATTGGGAGAAATTCGAATTTATCATCTGTTGTCGTGAGGCGGTGAATTGACCCTGTGCGTAGGTGGGTAAATTGAAAGCCGATGATCGAAGATTGATGTCGGATTTTTCGTAATTCGGATGATCGGTGAAAGTGTTGGTGTAGAGTGATGAATGTAGAACCGGAAGTGGTGGAGCTTGATTGTTGGAATTTTTGAGGCGACGTAATTTTTCGGTTATTCCACTGCCGTCGTTTTCTGATTCTTCGGAGTAGGAGTCGGAATCTTTTTCGCTTAGTGAATCGGAGCAGAGTGAACATGAGGCTCGTGAACATGTCGAATCTGGAAAATTGAAGAAAAAGTAAATTAATTTCATAATTAAAAAAATAGAATTTTTTCCAAATAGAATTTTTAAAAAATACCATTTTCTATATTTCAAAAGAATTTTTAAAAGTCGAGAAATTAAATTGTTTCAAATACAAAATTTAGTTCAATGAAAATTGAATTTTTTGAAAAAAAATTCAAATATATAAAATAAATATAAAAATCAAATATAAAAATAAATTGAATTTTTTTTTCAAAAAATTCAATTTTTATTAAACTAAATTTCTACTAAATTGACTAAATAAACTATTATTTAATTAATTAATTAACTATTAACTAACTAAATAAACTATTCAGAAAAATTCCACTGTATTACTAAACAATTTTTAAACAACGAAAAATTAAATTCTTTCAAATATAAAATTTATTTCAATTTTTTGAAATATGACGTTTTAAATAAATTTCAATTATATTTCAAAACAATTTTTAAAAGTCAAAAAATCAAATTGTTTCAAATATAAAATTTATTTCAATGAAAATTGAATTTATTGAAAAAAGATCCAATTTTTTGAAATATAATTCTTCAAAAAATTCCATTACATTTCAAAATCATTTTTAAAAGTCGAAAAATTAAATTGTTGCAAATATAAAATTTATTTCAATGAAAATCGAATTTTTTAAAAAAATTCAATATTCAATATATTTCAAAATCATTTTTAAAAGTTAAAAAATTAAATTGTTTCATTTTTCAATTTTTTGAAATATAATTCTTCCAAAATTTCATTATATTTCAAAATAATTTTTGAAAGTCGAAAAATTAAATTTCAAATATAAAATTTATTTCAATCAAAATTGAGAATACTTTTTGGTTATTTTTAATATTTTCCGAAAATTATTCTTGTAAACAATTCAATTTTTTTTCATTAAATTTCAAATATTTGGAAACTTTTGCAATTTAAAATTATTTAACCAAAAATAATTTATTTACAATTTTTTTTTATTATAATTTCAAAAAATTATTTAAAATAGTAACTATTGATTTTGAAAAATTATTCAACTTTTAAGTAGTTTTTGTTAAAAATTCTAGAAAATAATTGAATCTTGAAAGAATTGATGTAATTTTCGGAAATACCTACAACAAAATTCAATTTTTTTAAAAATAAAAAAAATATCTAATAATTGAATTCACAAAAATTTAATTTTTCAAAATTATTATTTTTAAATTTTAGATAAATCAATCATTTTCGATATTTTTAATTATAATTAAGACAAAATTTGTTTAATGTTTATGTAATTTTAGTTAAAAATTCTAGAAAATAATTAAATTTTGAAAGAATTAATGTCGTAATTTTTGGAAATATTTAATATTCAAAAAATAGAAAAAGAAAATAAGAATTTAGTTAATAAAGAAATTGATAAAGTTAATAAAAATAATTAAAACTTTAAAAAAATAGTTTTTTTGAATTGTTTCCAAGAAAATTTTATTTGAAATTTTTAAAAATATAATTCAATTCATGTTTATAAATTATTATAAGAAAAATTTGAAAAGAATTGAATTTTGTCAAAGAATTATATTGAAATTTTTTAAAAATAATTGTATTTCTGTAAAGACTTTTATTTTTTTTTGAAAATAATTGAATTTCTGCAAAGAATTTTATTTTTTCTGAAATTAATTGAATTTCTGTGAAAAATTCAATTGTTTATTAAATTCAAATTGAATTCTTGTAAAAAAATTAATTAAATTTTGTTTAATAATTGAATTTCAGTAAAGAATTGAATTATTTGTTAATGTAGAATTGAATTCTTGCAAAGGAATTAACTAAATTTTATTTAATAATTGAATTTTTTTGAGAACATTTTATTAAAAATTTATTATAAATGAAATAATAAAATTTTACGATTTTTAATTAAAATTCTTCAAAAAGTTGATTATTTTGAATATTTTCCGAAAATTATGGACAAAAATTCAATTTTTTTTTATTTGGAAATGTTTTTAATTTAAAATTAAATAACGAAAATTTAAAAATTATTAAATTATTGTAAATCATAAAAAAATTATTGAATATTAATATTCAAAAAAAAAAAAATATATATATTTACGTGAACTATCGCAACTATTCGAACGGCTTAAAATTTGTTCCGCCTTTTCCTTCGCTGCGTTCGCCAATTCTGTGTCTTTCATCGCCGTTGCATAGAAATGAATGTCCATAAATAGATCGTGATCGTTCAAATCAATCGCTAATCGAAATGCTTTTTCAAAAAGTCGAAATCTAGATTTAAAAAAAGAAAGAGAAATAAATTAGTTCTTTTTCATTCGTCATTTTTCCTCTTTGAATTTTTGAATAAATTTCTTCTATAAATTTACCTTAGAAGATGATGAAAAAATCTTCTCGTTATATCACGAATTTCATCGCCATATTCCTCCTCAACTATTTGACTTATTGGCCTCACTGGTACGTGAAAACTTCCCAAAGCAATTTGAATTAAATCTGTAAAATTTCGTTCAAAAATCTATATATTAATTTGCAATTTCATAAAACTGTATAGAAAAAATTAATTAATTAATGACTAAAAATGTTTAGATTGTCGTACAATTACAGTAATTAATTAAATTAAATTAATGAAATTAGTAAAATTAATTTTAGTTTAGTAAAATTAATTAAATATTTAATTTTTAGTTGTAATTTTGAAATTATAGTTAATTGATTAAATAATGAAAATTACTTACGTTCTCTCTCGGGTGTCAGGGGAAATTTAAAAAGATAATTGACAATTTGATTGAGAGAATGGATACAACTTTTCGTGTGTAGGTCCCAATTCATTGAGAGTAAAAGAGACGTTGCTTTGTCAGGTAATTCGAGTTTTAGATAATTTTCAATGAGAGCGTCGCCGGGAAAATTCGAACCTTCGATTATTTTTAAAACACCCATTGGACCTCTAAAAAGAAATATTAATTATTATTATATTTTTAAATAAATAAAAATTGTAAATTCATTTATAATTATTATAAATTAATGTAAATAAATAATTTAAATAATTAAAATAATTTTCTCACCGTTCGAATAATAATAGAAAGAGAGAATCTCTCTTTTCGAAATGTTGCATGTGAATATCTGGATCTGGCAATTTACTCCATTCCATACGAAAAAGTACCGGTTGATTTCTGTAATTTAATTATTTTTACTATGATTATGATTTTTGCTTCTTCACTTATTTAGTTTCATTATAAAAATAAAAAAAGTAATCCTAAAAACGAAATTAATCGAATAAAGAGTAAAAAAAATATTAAACAAAATAACGATAACTAATTTTAAAGAAAGAAGAAAACGAATTAAGCGAGAAAAAAATTTAAATTAACTTTACAAATGAAAATAAAAAAAAAATTGAACAAGCAAAAAATATTAATTCGGAAAGAGAGAAAATAAATAAAATCGAATTAAACGAAAAAGTAAATTTAAAAAAATAGCGAAAAAGAAAAAAAAATGAATTGAAGAACCGAAATTATAAAATAAATTTAAAAAAAGAAAAAAAGAAGTAAAAAACGATTAGAAAAAGAACCAAAGATTGAAATAATTTTAAAACGAGAAAAAATAAGTATAAAAATGTATAAAAATGGAAAAATTAAATAATTAATGAAAATGAATAAAAAGAGGGAAAAGAGTAAAATTAATTAATTAAAGTAAATAAAAATGAAAAAATGGAAATAAGTGAATTAATTGAAATAATTGAAAATAATACCTAAAATATAAAGAAAGATCGAGAATATTTGTCGGTGTTGCCTCTTCAGTTAACATTTGACTTTTAATGCAAGAAAATGCAATGTCAAAATGTTGAAATTGTCCTCTTTCGTTGCCGATTGAGAAAATAATTCCGTCTCCGTGCCAACTCGCAAATGTCGGAATCTACAAAAATTATTTGTTATTAATAATTAAAATTTTTTTTTGAACAAAAAAGAAATAAAATTTTCAATTTTTTTTGTAATGAATTCAAAAATATTAATTAAGAATTATTGAAGGAAATTAATAGAAAAGAGAAAAATTGCTTACAAAAGCGGCTTTTACGGTGTTACTAGTGCCTTTCGGTTGATCGTGCAATGTTATCGAACCATCGATACAACAAAGCAAAAGCATTTCTTGATTTGGCGAAAATTTCACGCAACTCGTGTGCGTTGACAGTGGTATCGAAACGACAGTTATCCTCTGTAATTTATCCTGCTGCGAAACTTCGTACGTTCTCCATTCGATTGTCACTTCGCCCTGAAACAATTCAAATATTCAAATTAATTAAAAAATTCAAATTAAGACAAAAAATTCAAATTAAATTTCCACAAATTACAAAAAATTCAAATTAAATTTCCATAAATTACAAAAAATTCAAATTAAATTTCCATAAATTACAAAAAATTCAAATTAATTTCTTTCAATCTTTACATTTCGTCTAAAATTTATTATTTTTAAATTTAAAACAAAAAATTCAAATATTTCGATAAAATACAAAAATTGAAATAAATTTCTTTCAATATTTGTATTTTACCTTAAAAATTTGATTTTCTTGTTGTTTTAAAATTAAAATGAAAATAAAAAATTTTGGACAAAATGTAAAAATTGAAATTCGATTGAGAAATAAAATATAAGAATTAAATTATTAAATGAATTATATTTTTAAATATTGAAAAATCGTACCTTTCGGGAGACTTTTTGTTCCACCGAGTGAATAACATTCTCGTGATAAGTACTGAATGTTATGCAAAGTGGCTCGTACTCGGTGCGCAAATAACAAATTAACTCCATTTTAGACCTGAAAATTATTTTTTATTATTATTATTAATTTTCGAAAAAGGAGAAAAAAAACACAACATTAGTTTGAACGAACATTAAATTCATGCAAATTTTCGAGGAAGGAAAAATTTTCTCTACTTTTGCATAATATATTTTTTCGACAAAATATTAACAAAATATTGTAAATTTCTTAAAATTTTAATTTGTTTAATAATAATAAAATTTAAACCATTTACTAAATTTAACTATTTTATCTAAATTCGATTTAAAAATAATAATAATTAAAAGAAAAACAGCAACAAAAACAATAATAATAAAAATAATAATAATAATGCTAAAAATAAAAAATAATAACAATAAAATATAAAATAATAATAATAACGTTAAAAAATTAAAAATAATAACAAATATCAAAAAATTCATAATAGTTAATAATAATTATAATTAATATTTCTATTTTTGGACCAAAATACAAAAAATATATATCTAAAAATAATTAAAAATTAAGATCCTAAAAAACACAATTTGATTCAAAAATTATAATTAAAAGAATTAGAATAATTATAATAATTATAATAATTGTACTAATATTAAAAATATTTGCAATAAAAATATTTTCGCAAACTAATAATTAATTAAAGTTGAAATAAAATTTGCTGAAAATTAACAGAAGTTCATTTAAAATTAAATTTCCGGTAGTTTAGATTTTTTTAAATCAAATTCTATTATTATTATTGAGTCTTGGAAATTAAATCTATAAAAATTGCCATGGAAACCGTCTAACAATATTTTTCGTTTCCAATTATATAATGAAGTTGTTGTAAAAAAGAAGAAAAAAAGAAAATTTTATCGGTATTTTTAGTTTTTTATTTTTTACCCGAAAAAGAAAATATAAAGTGTTATAAAAAATTAATTAGTGATCAACAAAAGAAAAAAAAGGGGGAAAAATGTCTCAAAATTGGCACGCTCATTGGATGGAGGAGAATTACAAGCCCACAAGATTGGGAAATTGGGAAGTTCCTAAATGGCATTCACAATGGCCCGTTAGACACTGTAGAACAACTAATTTTCAATGTGACAATAAGGGACATTTATTGGCTCATCTCAAGAAAACTAATCACGAACGGGACACTTTCAAAGTAAGAAATTTCAATTTTTTTTTAAAAAGTCTCGTTTACTATTTTACAAAAAATTTTTTAAAAGAAAATTAAATAGAAAATTCGAAACATACAAAAAATACAAAATTAGAAAAAATACAATATTCAGAAAATACAAAATTAGAAAAAAGACTATTTTCAAAAATTAAAAAAAAAGAAATACAAAATTATAAAAAAATAAAAATTCAAAAAATACAAAATTAGAAAAAAGACTATTTTCAAAAATTAAAAAGAAAAGAAATACAAAATTAGAAAAAAATAAAAATTCAAAAAATAAAAAATTAGAAAAAATACAAAATTTAGAAAATACAAAATTAGAAAAAATACTATATTCAAAAAATATAAAAAAAATTTTTTTAAATCAAAACAAGAAATTTAGAAGAAAGAAAATAATTATTTATTATTATTATTATTTCGTTTGTTTGTCTGTTTGTTATTATTGTTTTGTTTGTTTTTTTTTATAGCCATTCCAAATAAGGAATATTATTATATCATTATTATTATTAATTATTAATTATTAATATACGAAAAGAATATTTTTTTTCGTTCCGCTTTTTAAATGCAGAATATTTAATAGAAAAAATTTTCCCTTTCTCTCTATTTCATTCTCTCACAGACAGCTTGGGAAATGCCTAAAAAAATAAATAGACAATTAGCACAAGAATTATCAGCGCCTTTAAAATATAGAATAAAATTTTGGAGTGATCATGAAAGATTTCATCGTAAATCATGCGAAGAAAATGAAAAAGAAGAGATGGAAAAAAAATTGATATCAAGATATGGAAAAAAGTCAGAAAATATTCTTACCAAACAATCCTCAATAGTTCAAAATGAAGAAAAACCTGAACCTTTTGAGTCAGAAGGAAATGAAAAATTAAAACCAACAACAATAACAGCAACAACAGTTTTAGAAAATTTTCAAAAATCTACCAATTCTAATATTAAATCGAGGAGAAATTCCTGCGATTTGAATAATATTAAATCGGATAAAAATTCTACCGATTTAAATAATATTAAACCTGGTAGAAATTCTTCTGATTCAAATATTAAATCTGGTAGAAATTCTTCAGATTTGAATAAAATTAAATCGGAGAGAAATTCTTCTGGTTTGAATAAAATTAAATCGGGAAGAAATTCTTCTGATTTGAATAATATTAAATCGGGAAGAAATTCTTCTGATTTGAATAATATTCAATCGGGTAAAAATTCCACCGATTCGAATAATATCAAATCAAATGGAAATTCAGAGAAAAATTTGAATAAATTTATGTGTAATTTGCATCAAACGAGTAAAATATGAAAAAGAGGAAAAAAATGACAAAAAAATATGAAAATTTTGCTAAAATCTTTTTGAAAATCGTGTGTTGTTTAATTATTTAATAAAAGTAATTTTTTTTTTTGCTCTATTATAATAAAAATTCCTAATTATAATAAAAAGGATTAAATTCTCACCCAGTTAGTCGGTGAATTTGCACATTTGCTCGATCGTGTTCTTTTATCGTTGGACTCCAGGGATAAATTTCATTCATCGCCGATTTCCACCAAATTAAGATCTTGAGTAAAAAAAATATAAAAATTAATAAATTAATTAAAAGAATTTGGTTCATTTTATTTTTAAAAAACAATGAATTGTCAACTCACTAAATCGCCGGAACGATTGGATTGAATTTTTTTGTCAAGTCTCCGACTACTTGGACCGCAGAGTTCGATGGAATTTATCTTCGACTCCAATCTACTAATTTTGTCGAAAAAGTGTCTCTTTGATTTTGTTAAATGCACCAACGTTACTTGACTGTCATTGTAAGTGCAAATCAAATGATTTTTCGTAATTACAACTGAAATTGAAAAAAAAATTTATGCAATTAGAAATTAAAAAATACGAAATCACAAAATTAGAAACTAAAAAATACGAAATTGCAAAAATTCAAAATTAAAAAATAAGAACTTACAAAATTAAAAACTAAAAAATAGAAAATTATAAAGAAAAAAATACGAAATTGACGAAATTAAAATTTAGAAAATGCAAAATTATAAAATAATAAACAAGAAATTAAAAAATTAAAAACTAAAATTACACAATTATGAACTAAAAAATACAAAATTATCAAAATAAAAATTACAAAATAACAAAATTCAAATTTAAAAAATAATTACTTACAAAATTATAAACTAAAAAATACAAAAATAAAAATTACAAAATTAAAAACTAAAAAAAATACAAAATTATGAAATTGAAATTTAAAAAATGCGAAATTATAAAATAGAAACTAAAAGAAAACAAAATAACTGAATAAAAAACTAAAAATTAAAAAGAAAACAAAATCAAAAAATTAAAAATTGCGAATTTACAAAATTAAACACTAAAAAATACGAAATTACAAAACAAGAAAATACAAAATTAAGAACTAAAAAATACAAGACTATAAAATAAAAATTACAAAATAACAAAATTCAAAGTTATATAATAAGAACTTACAAAATTACAAACTAAAAAATACGTAATTTCAAAAATACAAAATTAAAACATAACTTACAAAATTAAAAACTAAAAACTGGAAAATTATAAAGAAAAAAATATGAAATTCACGAAATTAAAATTTAGAAAATGCAAAATTACAAAATTAGACTAAAAAACAAGAAATCACAAAATTAATAACTAAAAAAATACAAATTTACAATTTAAAAACTAAAAATAAAAAATTATGAACTAAAAAATACAAAAGTATAAAATAAAAATTACGAAATTACAAAATTCAAATTTAAAAAAATAAGAACTTAAAAAATTACAAACTAAAAAATACAAAAATAAAAATTACTAAATTAAAAACAAAAAAAAAATACAAAATTAAAGACAAAAATAATACAAAATTTTAAAGTTTTATAATTCCAAATTAAAAAGTAGAAATTAAAAAAAATACAAAATTACTGAATTAAAAACTAAAAAGTTTAAAAAATCACAAAATTAAAAATTGCGAAATTACAAAATTTTAAACTAAAAAATATGAAATTACAAATTTCAAATAAAAAAAATAAGAACTTACAAAATTAAAAACTTAGAAATTCAAAAATACAAAATTACTGAATTAAAAACTAAAAATTAAAAGAAATCACAAAATTAAAAATTGCGAAATTACAAAATTGTAAATTAAAAAATACGAAATTGCAAAATTCAAAGTTGAAATATACGAAATTACAAAATTATAAACTAAAATTACGAAATTACAAAATTCTAGTCTAAAAATACGAAATTACAAAATTAGAAGCTAAAAATTACAAAATTAAACATTACGAAATGACAAAACAACAAAATTCAAAATTTGAGCCTAAAAAAATACAAAATTAAAAAATTACAAAATAGAAACTAAAAAAAAATACAAAATTACTGAATTAAAAACTAAAAATTTAAAAACAAAATCACAAAATTTAAATTTACGGAATTACAAAATTAAAAACAAAAAAAAGAAAAAGAAAATACAAAATTAAACATTAAAAAAATACTAAATTACAAAATTGAAAATTGCAGAATACAAAATTATATGTAAAAATTACAAAATTTCACTGCAATTTTCAACAATTAATTAAAAGAAAAAAAAACATACCGTCAGAAATATGATCAGAAAGTTTTCCGACCAAATATTTATCGAAAACAATTTTTTCTATGTCACTTGATTGAACACTTATTTGAATATAAATTAGTAAACCAGTTCCCAGCATTAAAGTGACTGTACAATGATCGTTCCATTGACAGTAAATTGTTAAATGATCTTTTAATTGTTCCTGGAAAACAAATTTTTATTAAATTTAAAATTCTATAAATTATTTATTAAATTAAAAACTTTATTACTTTTTTTTATTAAATTGCAAACAAAATTACTTTTTTTTTATCAAAGTGCAAACTTTATTACATTTTTTTTATTAAATTGCAAACTTTATTACTTTTTTTATTAAATTGAAAACTTTATTACTTATTTATTAAATTAAAAACTTTAATAAACTAAAAAAATAATAAAATATTGAAAATAAATAAAAATTAATAAATAAATTAATATTGAAAAAATAAAATATTAAAAACTAAAAAAATAAAAATTGTTCTTTAAAAAATAGAAATTTCTTTGGAAACCTAATTTTTTTGCAAAAAATAAATTACCTCCAAATATTTTAACGAATCTTTTAATTTTATTCCCTTTTTATTTTGTGGTGTGTAAATAATTCCTCGCTTTTCGCAATATGAACGTTTTCCTTCGGCGTAAACATTTTCAATTCGTTTGTCATAATATCTGTAAAAAGCAACAAAATAAAAATTAGAATTTATTAAAAATGAAACAAAGTTCAATAATTTTCTTTATATATTTTTACTAATATAAAATAAAAATCCTTTTTCGAATTTTGTATAAATTTTACTTAAAATCCTTGAAATTTGGCAACGAAAATTTAGTTTACTACCGAATAGAAATAATTTAGTTAATTTTAATTTTATAAGTAAAACACTCTTCGAAAGTAAAATACTTTTTTAAAAGTAAAACAATTTTTTTTCAAGTTAAACATTTATTTCTTTAAGCAAATCAATTTTTTCTCGAAGTAAAACTATTTTTTTCGACGTAAAACACTTTTATTTTTAAGTGTAAACAAGATTTTTCTATTTATATAAAGAAAACAATAAATGTGCGGAAAAAAATAAGAATATTAAATTGTCAATTTACCGAAATGCTCCAAAGTCAGTGTCCTTAATACAAACATCATCACTTAAAGTCCATAATTTTAATTCGCTTAATAAAGCGAACATTTTAATGTTTCAATTATTTTTAAGTAAAACATGAAAAACACTGTTTGGAAATGTTTATATTAAAAAAAAAAAAAATAAAAATATTCTCCGCAAGTTTAAAACGCAAACAACATAAGTAAGGTTATGTTTATGAACAAATTTTTTGACAGTTATCGATATCGATCGATGAATCGAATTTCTCCCGCGCCAAATTTCAAATCGAAAAATTCTTTTGCAATTTATTTTTATTAATTAAGTAATAATAATTGTTTTAAAAACTGGTTTTATGTTATTATCTATAATTAAAAAATATTTATTTATTTAGGGATTTTGGGAAAAAAGTGTCGAAGGAGAGAGAGGAGTTAAAAACGTAGCTATGAACGACTAAGTCAAATTTAATTATCTATTGAAATTATTAATATTATTAATTATTAATAATTATAGTATGTAAAAAAAACAACTGTATTTTTTATCCGGAGAACAAATTTTTCATTTACCGATTCAAATATTGCCGCGCAATGGTTGGAATAATTCGTCTTGCTTTCTCATTGGTCGAAAAAATCCCGCTTGTTCAGTTCGTTCAGCTAATTTATTCAACTGATAAAATGAATAAAATAAATCAAATGCTAAATAATGTCTTTATTTAGTTGAAAAAATAGCTCTTACCCTCTTTTCTTGAAATTAAAAATAATTGAAAAAATACGGAAAATACGTTGCGAATTAATAATTAAAATTGAAAAGTGCGATTTTCTGCCTATAGATGGCCATGTATTGTTTCGAGCAAATGAGCAATTCTGATTGGTTCCCGTTCAAATTTGTCCAATTTTTTCCCACCTATTTTTCCACTCTTGCTATTTATGTTTTATGATTTTATTCGTGACTTTCTCTCTCAATTTCTTTTCTTCTTGCGATTTCGTGCTGTGAGGATCATATTTATTTCTTTCACATTTTTCCTTCTCATTTCTCAATCGAAAAAATCAAGTGCTTTTATTTATTAAAATTGAGAAATGTTTACAGAGTTTGGTAATTTTGTTTAGATTGGTATTTAAATATAGAGTCACACACACACACACACGGTTTTTAAATATTAAGACACAAGATCTTTTTTCTTAGAGAGACAAACAAAGAAAAAGAAAATGAATTTTTCTAATCGGTGTTTTAGAAAGTTTACGCTTGCACCAAAGTTTAGTGCGAATGTAATTTGCCCTTTGCTTCTTCTAAATAATAAAGATTTATTGCCGAGTTGAAACGCAAGAATTTGAAGGAGAAAATGGCACTTTCGTTTGGTGAGTTTTACTTTTTGATTTATATTTGTCTTTCCTTTTCAATTTTATTTGTTTTATTCATATTATATTAATTCGTATCTTTCATTTCGAATTTTTTGAATTTCTATTAATATTTAATTACTAAAAAAAAGCTTTGATTTCTGTAGAATTACAAAAGTTTTGAGCGTTAAAACAAACTAAATATTTTCACTAATTGTTAATTGCGGTAAAAATTATCAAAAAAATTCACATTTAGAAACTTAATTCTTTTTAATAGCAAAAATGTCGTAAATATTTAATTTGAAAGAAAATAAATTTCCTTCATATGAACGTTTTTTTTTTGGAAACTAAGAATTGGAAATTTTAATTATTATCCTTATTAAAATTTTAATTTTTAATGTTTAGAGTCGATAATGCTTTTGGTGGTTGTCGCCTTGTTCTGGGGGACAACAAATCCTTTTATGAAAAAAGGAGCAGTTGGCATCGAGAGAATCAAAGCCTCTTCTCGGTTCAAGCAACTCCTTCAAGAAACTTTGTTTCTTTTTACTAATTTCAAGGTGAGTTGATAATTTTGAATAAAAATTATTTTAATTTAATTTATAATAATTATTGTAATTAAAGTTATTTATATAATTTTTAGTAAATTAATAATCACAAGAATAATTTAATAATTATAATAATTAAATAATTACACAAAAAAAAATTTGATGAAATTCTTTTTTAAAAAATTATTTTCAAAATTTTTAATAAAATTCCAACAAAAAAATTCAATTATTTTCAAAAATTCAAAAATTAAGATTTTTATTTAAGTATTAAAAAAGAATTTTTTTTATGTTTTTCAGTATTTGGCACCATTTGTAATAAATCAAATTGGCTCTGTGGTTTATTATTTCACTCTACAAACAACAGACTTATCGTTGGCTATTCCGGTCTCGAATTCGCTAACGTTTCTGATTACGGCGTTGACCGGAAGATTATTAGGCGAAGGAAATATTCACAGAAGTAAGATTCAGTTTTATAGATAAAAACCTTTTCACCCTTTTTAAATTTTTTTTACCCATTTCGCCTATTTATTTTCAATCAAAAATTAAGTTTCCAAAAATTGTCTGTAATTTATATTTTAATAAAAATCTTAATTTTAGTTTGTTTTTAATTTTTCTTTGCAATTTTTATTTGTTGTACTTAATATTTTTTAAACTTTTTAATTATTTATTATATTTTATTATTTACTATAATTTTTATTATTTATTATATTTTTATAATTTATTATAAACTTATTATTTATTACACTTTTCATTTAATTAGTATATTTATTAACTATTAATCACTAAATTGAATTAATAGTCTAAATTTGTTTACTTCTCAGATACTTACATTGGAATGCTGTTTATTCTCTTCGGAACAACATTATGCTGCTACGACAAAATTGGCGTTGCAGGAACAAAATTGGAATAATTTACAATCAGGTATTTAAAAGAGAGAAAATCAAATCTCTAAAAATAAAAAATATAAAAAAGATGAACTTAATCGAAGTTCTAATTTTTTGCTCTGTATATTGAACATTTTCTACGATTTTCCTATTATTAATTAATTAATAATTTTGTAATTTTATAATTCTAAAATTCATAACTCGTAAATTTTACTGGTTCTTCAATTTAAAAAAAGCTCATTGAGACAAAAGGATTCATTTTTTTAATTCTACCTTCTGGTGGAAGTGATTTACAATCTTTCATGCAATTACGATTTGAAATTTGATTGTCACCTTAAATTCGTAAGTAAGAAAAGAGTAAACCCCCTTCACACGGAGGCTTAATTAACTCTTCATATTTTCGTTACTCGTGGATGTTGACAATATTAATAATAATAAGGTTAACATACCTTTCATTTCTTTCATGCAATTACGATTTGGTCTTCAAACAAAACTTTTTTTGTATTATTACCGCCAATTGAATTCACCTCACCCTTCATTTCTTTCATGCAATTACGATTTGGTCTTCTAAAAACCTAGTTTTTATTTATTTAATATAATTATTTTCATATTTATTACTCATCTTTCATTTAACTCATTAACTCTCAATAGTAATTAACAACTTTGAAAGTGGCAAAAGATTCTGGTTTTAATAAATAATTGAATAATAAATAATAAAATAATTGAATTAAATTAAATTAATTAATTAAATAATTGAATAGAATAGAATAAATTATTCTAATTACTTGATTATTAATTAAAATAAATTGATTTTAATAAAAATAATTATTCATTGAAAGTTGTAATTAATAACTCTAACTAGAAGTATACTCTATATAGAGAACTTCTAAAATGCTTTCGAGTGAAAAAGATATTAGTTGTCGGTTGTCAAAAAATTGTAGGTTATGTTTAGAAAATTTTTTGCCGTTTTTGCTAATTTCTCATTTCAACATTAATTTCATTCATTTTTCTACTTATCGAAAGTAAATGAAAAAAAAGTTCCATCTAAAGTCAAATTTTATTATTCTTTAGTTATAAATGAATAAAGTTTTTACTTACAATAATTAAAAAAGAGGAATTTTTAGTGTTTTTAGTCAAGTGCGACTTGCGATGTGCGCAAAATTCTCGAACATAACCTATAATTTTTTTGCCGCTAAAACATCGATTTCACTGCGAAAAAAAATGTTTCATTCAATTACGATTTGGTCTTCTAAAAAATAAACCTTTTTTCAATAAAAAAATTTTCACTCGATTTTATAATTCTTTCATGTTCATATTTCCTTTTCTCTCGATAAACATTACAAAATGTAATGAATCGAGGGAGAAATAATGATCTTATCATACGATTACGATTTGTCTTCATTAAAAAACAACTTTTTTTTAATAATTGTAATTAATTTATTAATCATTATGCATTTCATTGATTTCATTTATTGACGATGTAGGTCACTCATATAGTACTGTTAGATACTCGTTATCATGACATCGAAATTGAGATAGAACGTTATCCTAAAACATTGACCCTACATCTGCTACCGATCATTGGCAGTAGCGTGATCATCCCAAGATAAAACCAATTAATTAAAATATTCAATTACTGAAAATATTTAGTAATCCTATCGTGGGGACATATTTGCCCCATTCGAAATAATAATTCGTCAATCAATTCACTTTTCTCCTTATTCTGACGAATCATTATTTGTATAATTGATTTTAAGGCTGGAGAACAGCCTCTTTTTGGAAGGTAAAACAACCATGCTGCTATTTTCTGCGAGGTTGCTGCAGAAACGCCATAAATGTCATTTACTTTTAAATGTGTATTTAAATTTAAAAACATGGACATTCAATTACTGAAATATTCATAAAATAAAATATTTTAATAATAAAAAAATTCAATTACTGAAATATTCGTTAATTGAAATATTCATAAAGTAAAATATTGAGTAATAATTACTAAATATTTTATAAATACTTCAATTATTGAAGTATTCATAAATTAAAATATTCAATTACTGAAAATATTTAGTAATATTCAGTAATTGAAATATTCGTTAATAAAAATATTCAATTACTGAAATATTCGTTAATTGAAATATTTATAAATTAAAATATTTAATAATTGAAATATTCAATTACTGAAAATATTTAGTAATCCTATCGTGGGGACATATTTGCCCCATTCGAAATAATAATTCGTCAATCAATTCACTTTTCTCCTTATTTTTACGAATCATTCTTTGAATAATCGATGTTAATGCAGGACAACAGCCTCTTTTTGGAAGGTAAAACAACCATGCTGCTATTTTCTGCGAGGTTGCTGCAGAAACGCCATAAATGTCATTTACTTTTAAATGTGTATTTAAATTTAAAAACATGGACATTCAATTACTGAAATATTCATAAAATAAAATATTTTAATAATAAAAAAATTCAATTACTGAAATATTCGTTAATTGAAATATTCATAAAGTAAAATATTGAGTAATAATTACTAAATATTTTATAAATACTTCAATTATTGAAGTATTCATAAATTAAAATATTCAATTACTGAAAATATTTAGTACTATTCAGTAATTGAAATATTCGTTAATAAAAATATTCAATTACTGAAATATTCGTTAATTGAAATATTTATAAATTAAAATATTTAATAATTGAAATATTCAATTACTGAAAATATTTTGTAATATTCAGTAATTGAAATATTCGTTAATTAAAAAAGTTATCAATTTATTTGTCAGAAAAACAAAAGCGAGTTTTTAAATTGAAGAACCAAAAAGAAAGGCTGGCTGACATTTTATTTATTTATTAATTTACTCTTTTGTCTTTGTAAAAATTGTAAAAAAAAGAAAAATAGTTTGTAAAATTAGTCGCTTATTGAATATAGAAAAAAAGAAGTATGACTCTAAAAAAATTCAGCACGTATTTTTTTCCGATATAAATTTATTAAAAATTTTGTCTTCTCACCTTTTTTGCTTAGAGAAATTGTTTATTTTTTTTTAAAGTCATTCTTCTTTTTTAGTTTAGTAAACTATATAACTATATTAGTAACAATTTTATTCTGAATATAATTTTGGTCCAATTAACCGAATTTATTGGTTCGCCAGCACAATGACTGCCATTTTTTTTTCTTTTTTGTGAATTATATATTCGTGAAATCTGAAAATTTGTATAAATTATGAAAAAAATATTATGTAATATGGAAAATTTATTTACATGAAATGTAAATTATGTATGAAAAAAAAATATTTGTATGAAATGTAAATTTATGTATAAAAAAAAGGATTTGATACCTATGAAAAATAAATTATGGATAAAAAAAATAAATACAAATTGCGTTTAGAAATTATTTTCTAAGATTTTAGTAAATCCTCCAAAACAATTCAATTATTTTTATAAATGGTAAAATTCTCTAAGAAAATTCAAGTATTTTCAATAAAATTTCATTTTGTATACTAATAAAAGTAATAAAATTAATTTCGTTAATTAATAAACAAAATTATTTACAATAAAGTTTGAATCGTGAGTTTTTAATTTCTTTTCTTCTTCGGCTCGAGTTTAAATCTGTGGATTTACACTTAGGAATGAAAAATGATGAAAACTTTTATGTTTTATTTATTACGTACAAATAGCGAATTATAATTGTGATAATTTTTCTACAGTTATGGATTGTTTCATTGACTCTTTTGTCAGTCTTTAATTAATTAATTAATTAATTAATATTCATCGAATATTATATAAATAGTAAATTTTCAGTTGATCTCGATCGCTATTATGCAGGTAACGGCAGTTTAACATTATAAAAAGTACAAAACATAATAATCTCTCTCTTTCTCACTACAATATTTTCTATGTTCTCCTTTTTTCACATTTTCTCGTTTCTCTTCTATATTTAAATATTTTTATCGTTTTCAATTAAATTACAACACTATTATCAAGAATAAATAGTAACATTAAATACTGATTTACAACTTCTCTTTCTATGAACAAAATTCTAATTATGCTTTCGAGTGGGTTGAAGAATATTCTCTGAAAATTATTATTTTCGATTTTTGTTGGTCTCTTTACCTTTTTTCTTATTTTATTCTTTTTGGTTTATTTTCTTCTCTTATTTTGCTCTTTTTACTAATTTTACTCTTTCTTTTTTTTACTCATTTTATGTTTTTTAATTATATTGTTTTTACTAATTTTATTCTTTCTACTAATTTTGTTTTTTTACTAATTTTATTCTTTCTACTAATTTAATTTATTTACTTTTTACTTCTTTTATTTTTTTACTTTTTACTTATTTTATTTTTTAATTGTTTTATATTTTTACTTATTCTATATTTTTCCTTATTTTATTTTATTTTTTAATTTAGTTTCTTACTTATTTTAATATTTTTTTTTACTATAATTTCGTTTCTTTTTATTTATTTTACTTCAGCCGAATTTATATTTTTCAAAATTAATGTTTACAATAGAAAAATACGGCTAAATTTCGAGAAATAAAAATTCGGCTAAAAATCGAAAACGCAAAAAAAAAAGAATCGAAAAAAGAAAAACTATAAGAAAATAGAAAAATAAAATAAAAATAGTACAAAAACGAAGGAAAAATAAAAAAAAATTTAGAAACAAAATAAGAATACAAAATCGAAATAAAAATACAAAAATGAAAGAAAAATTTAAAAAATAAAAAAAAAAGAAAACAGAAAAATATAAAAACAATAAAAATACCGAAACAAAATAAGAACAAAAAAAAACGGAATAAAAATACAAAAACAAAACAAAAATTAAAATACAAAAACAAATTAGAAAAATAAAATTGAAAAAACGAATTAAAAATAGAAAAACAAAATAAAAATACGGAAAACAAATAAAAATACAAAAACGAAATAAAAATGCAAAAACGAAATAAAAATGCAAAAATGAAATAAAAATACAAAAATAAAAAAATTAAAATACAATAAGAAAATAGAAAAATAAAAAAGCGATTTAAAAAAAGAAAATGAAAAAAAAATACAGAAACAAAATAAAAATACAAAAACGAAACAAAAATTAAAATACAGAAATAAAATAGAAAAATAAAATAAAAATACAAAAACTAATTAAAAACAGAAAAGGAAAAAAATACGGAAACAAAATAAAAATACAAAATAAAAAAAAAATTAAGTAAAATACGGAAACGAATTAAAAATAAAAAACCAAAATAAAAAATACAGAACAAAAATAAAATAAAATTCGGACCAACAAAAATCCAAATCGACAATTTTTCCCGAGACATTCGCAGACCCTTTTTTTCTTTATGTATATTTATATAAATTAAGGTTAATGTGGCATATAATATTTAAATATATACATGTACCTATGGCAGTGGTCTCGCTAATTTACAATAATAATAATAATAATTCTCTTTTTTTCACACCAATAGAACCTTTTCTTATTTCCACCCGTTTTTCTTTCTTTCTTTCTTTCTTGATTTATTTATTTAAAAAAAAACAAAAAAAAAATAGAAAACAATACGATTTAGCTTCTTTTGGCTTCGTTTAGTCTTATGTAAAATATGTAGATTCTATTATTATTTTCGGACGTTAATGTTTTTTTTTATGGCACTATTTCAATAATCGATTGAATCATTACCGAAGTGCAATCTTTGGAAACTTTTTTCTTTTTTTTTCTTTCTCTTAAAAGAAGAATTGTATTTTCTGTTGTGTCCTCTTTTCACTACTGAACTGGACACGAACTCAGATGAATATTGTGCAATTCGGTCATGTCCGTCCAATCTCTTCGCTCGCCTCCGATCATCACGTTCCTTATGCAGCCGTTGAAGTGGTCGCGTGTCATTAGCGTTCCCTTTGGCGTTGAAACTGAAAAATTTTCGATTTTTGTTAATTTTTTATATTATAATTTCGCACTTATTAACTAAACCACACTTTTTACTATACGTTACGAACTATTTTTAACGTTTTGCTACTATTTTGATACAATTTTTAGATTTCGACACTAAAAGTTACTTTTTTCTTTTTTTCTTTTTTGAAAATTGTCAATACTTTAAATCAGCTAATAGTTAAATAATAATAATAATAATAATTAAATTAAATAAAATTTTAAAAAATAGTTAAAATAAACAAATTATTTTCATAAATTTTGATAAAATTCTTTCAAACGATGCAAAATGTTTTAAATTCTTAGAAACGATTAAATTATTTTTATAGGTAGTGGAAATCGAATTTGTTTTTTTGCAAGAGAAATGAAAATGAAAGAAAAAAAATTCTTTGAAACGATTAAATTATTTTTATAGTGGAAATCGAATTTGTTTTTTTCGCAAGAGAAATGGAAATGAAAGAGGAAAAAAAGGGAAAATCGGAGAAGACAGAAATAACTCACCCGGCAATCCTCCGATATAAAGAGGACTGGCAGCCGCGTCATCGAGAAAATGATAATTAACATTCGCAGGGAGACCGTATTTTTGATCTAATTCATCAACTTTGAGAGTTAATTCCTCGTCATTATAAACAGCTTGAATTTTGTGCCACCTATTGTCGCAAACTGTGTACGGACTTGAGAAGCGTTGCTCCACGTAAAGTGGATTATTGTCCCCCAGGTCCGCCGACATCACCACTTTTCCATTATTGAGTTCCAAGCTCATCGACGGAGAGCCACTTGGAGCTGTTATCGAGAGTAAAACGCCGGAAAGTTCCGATGTCTTGAATTCTAATTCTAGTTCTAAACTGCCCTCGAGTTCGAAGTCTTTTTCTAGAAGAAAAGAAGAAAAATTGTTCAATATTTAACAGCAAAAAAAAATAAATAAATAAATAAATTATTAAATGAGTCAATATTATAAATGTGACGTGCTACTAAAAATGAAGTGCGACTTAAATAATAAATAAACTCATAATAAATAAAACTAATAATACAAAAAATAGTAATAAATACAGAAACAAAATAAGAACACAAAATCGAAAAAAAGAAAAATTAAAATACAAACGAATTAAAAATACAAAAAGGAATTAAAAATACTAAAACGAATTAAAAATACTGAAACGAAATAAAAATACTGAAACGAAATAAAAATACAAAAACGAATTAAAAATACAAAAACGAAATAAAAATACAAAAAGGAATTAAAAATACTAAAACGAATTAAAAATATTGAAACGAAATAAAAATACAAAAACTAATTAAAAATACAAAAACGAAATAAAAATTCAAAAACGAAATAAAAATAGAAAACGAAATAAAAATACAAAAAGGAATTAAAAATACTAAAACGAAATAAAAATACGAAAACAAAAGAAAAAACAAATTTTAAATACAAAAATAAAATAGGAAAACGAAATAAAAATAGAAAAACGAAAGAAAAATACAGAAACGAAATAAAAATACAAAAACGAAAAGAAACAAAATTTCTACTAACTGTAAATCGCATACGCTTCGTCCTGAAAATAAGCGCCGCTCTCAACATTCGGAAAACACTGTCCGACGTTGTAAGCTCGACTCGTGGATCCCACCATATCGAAAATATTGCCATTCAAGCGCAAACCGCGAATGCAACCCTTCAGTGTTTCCAATTTGGCGACCGCCTGCTCGGGCAATGGAGTTCCACTCTCCGGCAGACCGCCAATGTACATCATCGAAGCTAAACCAATTTTCTTCGGGATCTTTATCGTCCTCGGCGTTTGTGAATCGACAATCAGCGTTAATTTTCTCTCCTCGTGACGAATTACAACGTGATGCCAATTTCCATCGTTCAGCGGCGATTTGAATAGAATTTCCTTTTTGTGTCGCGCTTTTATTTGTAGCGACAATTGTCCGTCGCGTAGAATCACCATTAGGTAGGGCTTTTGTTTTATTCCCTGAAAAAAATGCAGGAATTCAATTATTTTATTTTATTATTCAATTTTCTCTTCATAATTGAACTCTTAACAAGAATTTAATTTGTTTGAAAGTAATTAAATTTGAACGAAGAATTTTATTAAGAAAAACATTGAAATGAGAAATATTTTTGAAAGTAATTGAAAATTTTGACGAGAATTTTTATTAAAATTTTCTGAAAATAATTGAATTTCGGAGAAGAATTGAAATTGAATTATTTTCAAACAAGAAAAATTGAATATTACGACAGAAATTTAATTATTTTCATAATAAATAATTGAATTCTTCACAAAAATTCAATTATTTTAAAATAATTTCAATAAAATTTTTGCAAAAATTCAATTCTTTTCAATATTTTTTATAAAATTTGTAAAAAAAAGAATGAATTATTTTCAATTCATTTTTAGTAAAACTCTACCTGAGAATTCAATTATTTTCAGAAAAAATAAAATTCTTCGCAGAAATTCAATTATTTATTATTTTTTTTTTAAATCTTCGGAAAAAAATAAATTATTTTCATGAAAAAAATAAAACTTATTGACGAATTTTAATTATTTTTAATAGAATTTTCAATTAATTCCTCAAAAACTGCAAATTTATTATTAAACAATTTTATTGAAAATTTTTAAAGAATTCAATTATTTAAAAAAAAAAATTGATGACACAATTCTTTATAAAAATTCAATTCAAATAATTAAAATATTTTAATACTATAGTTGGAAAAAAAATAATATTTAAATCGTTATTTTACAAAAATTATTCAAATCTTGATTCAATTTGTTTAGAAATAGTAAAATTTTTGAAATGAATTTAATTATTTTCAATTCAATTTTAAATCCAATTATTAAACAAAAATTCAATTCTATTAATAAATAATTGAATTCTTCAGAGAAATTCAATTATTTTTAGAATAAAATAATTGAATTCATCACAAAAATTCAATTATTTTCAGAAAAAATAATTGAATTCTTCATGGAAATTATTAACAAAAATTATTTAACTCCTCCGATGAATTCAATTATTTACGAAAAAAATTAAATTCTTGATAAGAATTTTAATAAAATTTTTTAAAAATTATTGAATTTTTTGTGATGAATTCAGTTAATATTTTTGAAATTAATTAAATTTCTAAGAAGCATTTTCCTAAAATTAAAAAAAAATAATTGAATTCTTCACAAGAATTGAATTTTTTGTAGAAAAAATTCAATTTTTCAGCAGAAATTCAATTATTTTTAAATAATTTCAATAAAATTTTTTCAAAACTTCAATTCTTTTCAATATTTTTAAATAAAATTTGTAAAAAAAGAATTAAATTATTTTCAAATTCATTTTTAAGTAAAATTCTTCGCAAAAATTGAATTATATTTAGAAAAAATAAAATTCTTCACAGAAATTCAATTATTTTTTTTCTAAATAAAATTCTTCGCCAAAAATTCAATTATTTTCATAAATAATAAAATTTTTATGAAAATTCAATTATTTAAAAAAATTTAAAAAACATTGTTCACAAGAATTCAATTACTTTCAAAAAATAATAACATTCTACGGAAGAATTCAATTATTTTTTTTTTCTAACTTTAATTATTTTTAACAAAATCTTTATAAAATTTCATGAAAGAATTCAATTACCTATTTTCCAAAAATTTTAATAAATTCTTCAAAACAATTTAATTAATTTTTATAATTTAGTAAAATCTTTGCAAAAATTCAAAAATTTTCAACAAAATTTCACGAAAGAATTCAATTATTTTGTTTTATTATTAAAATTTTTGTGAATAATTGAATTCTTACAAAAAATGTTATTTAATTGTTTGAAAATAATTAAATTTGAACGTAGAATTTTATTAATTATTGAAAAACATTGAATTGAGGAATATTTTTGAAAGTAATTGAATTTAATAATTGAATTTCGGAGAAGAATATTTGTAAAAATAATTGAAATTTTGACGAGAATTGAAAAAAAATTTTTAACATAATTGAATTTCTGCGAAGAATTTTATTACTTTTGTAAATAATTTAATTACTCCAAATATTTCTAAACTCTTCAAAATTCAATTGTTTTTAGTGTTTTTCAATTAAATTCTTCCATTATTTTTAATTGAAATTTTCAAAAATTAAAAAACTGTTTTCTATAAATAAAAAATGTAGCAGTGACACTTACGGGAGTAATGAAGAGAATTCCGTTTGGATAATACGTTCGGAAATCAAATTCGATCGCGTACTTTTTCTCCCAGAATTTTTTAATTGCAATGTAGAATTGCGTGTGACTGTGGGGCTTGTCGCCAAATTTGAGTGCCCCAGGTTCTAGGGAATAATAGGGCACTTTTTGGCAACCCTCCGGCTGGGTGGACATGCCCCTTGAGAGTGACGCCGACGGCACGTAAATTGGAGGATCCTTTCCCATGTTTGGACCGTTTCTTCCAATTTGAGCGTGGTCGAAATTCACCACTTCCTCGAATCGAAGGAGTCTGAAATTATTTTTCAAAAATGTTAATTTCTTTATTTTTTAATTAATTCATTATAATTACTAATTTTATATAATTATATTAATTTATTCAATTTATTTATATTATTCAAATTATTTTCCAAAAAATTTTAATAATATTCTATGCAGAAATTTAAGATTTCTATCTCTTTTTTTGTTAAATACTCACTCTTCATTGATCAAGACGTCTTTAATTGCACCGTAAAGTGGAACCGCGGTGGAAACCATTTTCGTGTTATTTATCAAAGCCGGAAGTCCTCCGATGTAAAGACCTCCGTTTGAGTCCGGCGCTTTAATTGCAGTTCCAGTGGGAAGTTTTCCACTGCCCTGATATGAATCGTCGACTCTTAATTCTATTTCCTTTCGTCTTTTGCTAATAACTACCGAATGATATTTCCCATCGTTGTAGGTTTCGTTCGATCGAACGACACACTCGCCTTTGCCGCCATTCAATCGTACTTGAATATATCCTTCCTTTATCACCACCGAATAGTAATTATCCTGCAAAAAAAAAGAAGAATTATATTTCAATTATTTTTCACTCTTATTCCTTTTTTCGTTCTTTTTTCTGTCTTTTTTCTCTTTTTGTTTTCTTAGTTATTTTTTTTTCTACTTTTTGTTTTTTTTGCTACTTTTTGTATTTTTGATAATTTTTGTATTTTTGCAATTTTTTGGATATTTCTTGTTTCTTTTTGTTATATTTATTATTTTTAACTACTTTTTGTTTTTGTTTGCAATTTTTGGGTATTTTCAGTTTTTTTTCGCTATTTTTTTGCTACTTTTTGTATTTTTTTTACTACTTTTCGTTTCTCTCATAATTTTTGTTTTTTCACCATTTTTTTGTTATTTTTTTGCTACTTTTCTGTTTTAATTTTCTGTTTCTCTTTCCTTAATTTTATTTTCAAAATAAAAAATGAATAAATAAATTCTACTCACACTTGAATCGTTTGTACTATGCGAAACTCTGTCTTCTTGACCTTGGAATGTAGACAATAAAATCATTGCTTCCTTTTGTAACGTTCTAAACGAAAAACTTATCGTCGACGATATTTTCTTAAGACTAATTGCTGAATGTTCCAAGTAACCGTCTCCGTAGAAGCCGACGATTCTCAGCGGCTGCAAACAAAAAATCACAATTATTAGTATATTTACTAAAAAAAATACTTTTTTTCAATCAGTAAATAAATTTTTAACAAACTGAACTAAATTTTGAATAAATCGCATCAAATTTTAATCAATTGAATCAAAATTTACTAAATTTAAATAATTTCAAATAAATGGAATCAAATTTAAATAAATTGAATCGAAATTTACTATATTAACTTAATTTTGAATAAATCGAATCGAATTTCAATAAATTGAATTAATTTTGAATAAATTGAATTAATTTTGAACAAATTGAATCAAAATTGACTAAATTAAATTAATTTTGAATTATTCGAATCAAATTTTAAAAAACTGAATTATTTTTTAATAATATGAATTAATTTTGAATAAATTGAATTAGTTTTGAATAAATTGGATCAAAATTTACAAAATTAACTTAATTTTCAATAAATCGAATCAAATTTTAATAAGTTGAATTAAAATTTACTAAATTAACCTAATTTTGAAAAAATTGAATTATTTTTGAAGAATTGAATTAATTTTGAATTATTCGAATCAAATGTTAAAAATGGAATTATTTTTGAATAAATTGAATTAATTTTGAATAAATTGAATCAAAATTTACAAAATTAACTTAATTTCGCATAAATTGAATCAAATTTGAATAAATAAAATTAATTTCGAATAAATCGAATCAAATTTCAATCAATTGAATCAAAATTTCAATAAATCGAATCAAATTTCAAAAAATTGAATTAAATTTCCTCAAATTTAACAAATTGATAGAAATCGGTTTAAATTTTGAAATATTCTCCTAAAAAATTCCAAAATACAAACCCTAGTGCCGCAGCTCGGCTCGACGCCGTAATATTTTTCCGCCAGTGGATCGTAGCCCTCTTGAACGACGATATTCGACATGCAGCCGAGAAATGAAACGGGCCTTGGTAGAATTAAATCCTCATTACGAAAACTTGGCGGCACACCGCCAATGTAGTATTTCGCCTCCTCAAAATCGGGAATGTCCTCCTTCCTCGGCTGCGGCGTTGGTACCACTAATTTCTTGTCATTATCGCCGCCAACGCTCAGAATACACTTTTCAATATTCTTCCGCGACTGATACTGCCTGAATGCATCGACCTTCGTCCAATTTCCATTGTTGTACTTGTGATTCGAGTACATTTCCATGCTCACATTCCCACCGTAGCCAATGTGCAGAAATACGCGTCCTTCGCGAAGGAAAATCATCACGTGCTGATTCTGTAAGAAAAAAAAATTTATTAATTATGAAACTAATTTATTTATTTATTCAAAATATTGAATTTTTCAAAATTGAATTTTTTAAAGAAATTTGAGTGAAATTTTTTGAAAATAATTGAATTCTTGAGAGGAATTTTATTCTAAAAATAATTGAATTTAATCAAGAAATTTTTTTTGAGAATATTTCAATTCCAGCGAAGAATTTTATGATTTATGAAAATATTTCAATTCTGCCTCATAATTTAATTTGCAAATTTGTCAAAATTTTTAAAAATATAATCGAATTTTTCAAAATTGAAACTAAAATTCTTTTTCAAATGAATTCTTATCCGGAAGTTGTATGAGAATTCAATTATTTAGATCCAAAAATAAAATAATTATTTCTAACTCTTTACTCACGTTCTTTGGATTGATGGCCAGGAAAAGAAGTGCATTTTCATCGAAAGTTCTAAAACTTAGGGAAATTCCGAAAGTATATTTATTGTAAGGTCCGGAAGTGACACGATTTCTCATTGCGTAACCTTCGCCATTGAAACTATAGGCAATGTCGTCTCGTGGATCTTCAACTCTAAAACCAGAAGAAAAAAGAATATTAATTTTTTTTTAGAAAAAAAAAATTTTTTTTCTTCTAAAAAATTCATTCAAATTAAAAATTCAAATTTATTGACAAAAATTCTATAGGGCAACAGAGAAAAAGAAAATTAAATTATTCTCAAAATTTTAAAATGAAAATAAAGTAGAATTACATAATAAAAAATAGAGAAAAAGAAAAATAAAAAACAAATAGAAAAAAAAAATTCAAAATTAAAATAAAAAAAAATCAAAATTAAAATAAAAAAAATCAAAATTAAAATAAAAAAAATCAAAATTAAAATAAATAAATTTAAAATTTGCGCAAGAAAAGAAAAAAGGAAGCGTCGACGCTCTTACCCTTCGACGCAGGCTTGACAAGCCATATCGGGAGCAGTCGAGACAAAATTCCAAAGACCAATAATCTGTCCATCGAGAATTACTTGATGAAGACAACCGGGAAGTCCATTGGTCGCTAATAATTCACTAGGTCGTCGCTGTGATTCAGGAACGCCGCCCAACCAAACTCTGTCCGTGGCCAATACGTCGAAACGACCAAATTCCACACTCGTTGAATTCACTTGCGCCAAATAATTTCCACTCATTGATATTTGCTTGTGGACGTTTAATTTTCCCACATTTCTTGTTCTGTAAATTGTCAAAGAGTTGAAAAAACGATTAAATTGAAAAAAGAAAAATAGAAAATAACTAAAAAAGGAAAAAATAGAAAATAACTAAAAAAGGAAAAAATAACTAAAAAAGAAAAAGGACCAAAAACGAAAGAAAAAGGAAGAAGCAATATAGAAAATAAGATAAAAGACAAAAAAACAAAAGAAGAAAAATAGAAAATAAGAAAAAAGACAAAAAACGAAAGAAAAAGAAAGAAGAAAAATAGAAAAAAGCCACCAAACGAAAAAAAAGACAAAACACGAAAGAAAAATAGAGAAAAACGGAAAGAAACAAAAAAAAGACAAAGACAAAAAAGAAAATAGAAAAGAGACAGAAAATGAAAGAAAAAGAAAGAAGAAAAATAGAAAATAAAAGAAAAGAAAAAAAACGAAAGAAAAAGAAAAAAGAAAAATAGAGAAAAACGAAAGAAAAAGAAAGAAGAAAAATAGAAAAAAGTAAAAAAAATGAAAAAAAAGAATGAAGAAAAATAGATAAAAAAGAAAAAAAAAGAAAAGTAAAAGAGAAAAAATAGAAAAGAGACAAAAAATGAAAGAAAGTGAAAGAAAGAAGAAAAATAGAAAATAAAGAAACAAATTTCAATAAATTAAATAAAAATTTACTAAAATAAATTAATTTTCAATAAATCGAAATAAATTTGGAAAAATTGAATTATTTTTAAATAAATTGAATTAATTTTAATTTTTAAATAAATTGAATCAAAATTTGCAAAATTAAATTATTTATGAATAAATTGAATCAAATTTTGCAAAATTAACTTAATTTCGAATAAACCGAATTAAATTTCAATAAATTGAATCAAAATTTACAAAATTAAGTTAATTTTCAATAAATCGAATCAAATTTTAAAAAATTAAATGAATTTTGAATAAATTGAATCAAAATTTACAAAATTAACTTAATTTTAAATAAATCGAATCAAATTTTTAAAAAATTGAATTAATTTTGAATAAATCGAATCGAGTCAAAAAATGAAAAAAAGAAAGAAGAAAATAGAGAAAAAAGAAGCAAAAAAAAAATAACGAAAAAGAGAAAAAATAGAAAAGAGACAGAAAATGAAAGCAAAAGAAAGAAGAAAAATAGAAAAAAGACACAAAACGAAAAAAAAGAAAAAAACGAAAGAAAAATAGAGAAAAACGAAAGAAACAAAAAAAAGATAGAAAATGGAGCAAAAAAGAAAAGAAAAAGAGAAAAAATAGAAAAGAGACAGAAAATGAAAGAAAAAACATGGAAAAAAGACCAAAAAAGGAATGAAAAATACGAAAAGAGGAAAAAAATACAAGAGATGAAAAAACAGAAGAAAAAAGATGGAAAAAAACAAATTTACCTTTCAGCTTCAATTCGATACCAAAAATTATCCTCAGAAAAATCGCCGCTTTCCAAAATTTCCGGATGAGTGACAAACCCGGTTCCGCCTCCAACATTCCAAATGAATCTAATTTTTCTATCGATCATTTCCAGTGCCATAAAGTCATCCTAGAAATTAATTTTTTTTTTTGAAATTTCTGTTTTTTATGTACTAAAATATTTCTATTTAATAATAGAATAAATAATAATAGTAATAATAATAAATAACAATAGAATATAAATTTAATAATAGAATAAACTTACATTTATTCCACTGGGAAGATAAAATAATGAACCTTCTTTTCTATTTTTTGCAACGGCAAATGTCATGACTATTGTTGTTGTTGACGACGGTTGCAAAAATCCTGGCCTATAAGATCTGATACATTTTTTGCCGTCCGCCGATTTCAGAGAAATGCGAATCTAAAAAATTATTATCAATTTAAACGAGTGTTCTTGCATGAAATTATTTTCCATATTTTTTCCATATTTAACAAAATTAATTTGTATGTAAAAAATAATTTTGTAAGGAAAAAATAATTTTGTATATAATAAAATTTTTTTTAAAAAAAAAGACAATTTCAAATAATAAAAAGAAAAGTTAAAGTAATTACCCCATGAGCGGAATTTTTAGCTTCGACAATTTTATTCTTCAACTTTTGCAATTTCTCGGCAAGCGTTCCGTTCCATTTATCAAATTCCATTTGTCGTTTTGCCGAAGCTGTTGCTAAACTCAAAAGTTTTTCGTCCGCTCTTTTAATATTGTTTTGCGCCTCCGTCACTAAAATCCGTTTATTATTATTATAATTCATAATCCAATTGATAATTAATAATTCGAAAATTTTTCAATGAAAGAAAACAAAATGTTTCATGTTAAGAAAGAAAAAGAAAAATGTTAAAAAGAAAAAGAAACAGAAAAGAAAAAAAAAGAAAAGCAAAACAAAAAGAATAGGAAAAAGAAAAAGAAGAAAAAAAGGAAGAAGAAAAATTTAGAGAAGAAAAAAAATTCTTTACTTACATTGTTCACTGGCAAGACTAATTTTCGAATCGCCCTCGCGTTTTAATTCGTGTAATTTTGGTCTCAGACCGTTGGCAATTCCTTCCTTGTAATCATCGACTATTCTCCTCGTCTCTTGAATCTTCTCCACAATATCTTCATTTTTATTCAAAATTAATTGCAAATCCTCGTGCACTGCAATGGAATAATAACAATAATTTTTAAAATTTTAATAATAATAATAATTTAATTTAAATAAAAATAATATAAAAATGATAGTTAAATTGAAAAATTTGTACAATTAATTTTGAGCGTGAAAATAGAACTTACGCGTTTTCCTCGAATTTTGCAATTCTCGAAGTTTAATATTTATCTCATTGTCCTTATTTCCAGTGTTATTTAGTGAATTTTTTAATTCAGTGACAGATTGCTTTTGCATTTCGACACTTTGTCTTGACTTCGACAGAGGCACGACGTATTCTTTAACTTTATTCAATTGCTGCGTTGATATTTGTAGCATTTCTCCTGTCACGTCAATTAAAGTCTTTGTTTCCGGTCCATTTGGATAAATCTTGAAAAAAGTGTCCAATTATTTTTAATTTCCATTTAGTAAAAATTACAATATAATTTAATAGAATATTGTCTTTTAATAAAATTGTTATTTAAAAATAAAAAAATCAATAAATATAAGAAAATACTCACTTTTTCGTAAACATCGTCGGCAATTTTATTCGTGTCCCTCGCGGCGTTGTCGGCATTTTGCAAACTATCGTAAATATTTTTGTAAGCTTGACTTGCTTTCAGTGGATTTGCAGCTTGATTTCGTGTCTCTGAAAATAGACTGTTCGCGACGGAACGCAAGAGAAAAATTAAATTTTAAAGAGAATTATTTAAATTTGCTACCTATTTAAATTTTTTTAAAAATTTATTACAATTTAAAGAGTGTTATTATTAAAAGAGAGAAAAAAATAATTACTCGACATAACGATCAGCGTAGTCCGAAAGATTTCTGGCGTGTTCAACGGCTGGAAGTACAAATTTATTCTGATACTCGAAATTCAGTCTATAAAGTATTTCTTCCTTGTCCTTCAAATTCTCCGTCAATTCATTCAATTTTTTCTGCATTTTCGGAAAATCCTGAAAGAAAACAAAAACGAAAACGATAATTTTCAAAAGTTAACTTTTTCTATTTTTGCATTCAAAAATAAACTTTTTCTAATTAATTTAATTTTTTTCTACATTTTTGGAAAATTCTGAAGCAAATGAACTAAATTTAATAAAAATAATGTTGAGACAAAAATTTCGTACCTGAAAATTATTTTGAGCGTCAATTAAACATCCCTCTGATTCCTCGATTAATTCCCTTCCGTCTTTGATCCATTCGTTAATTTCCGAATTGAAATTATTTATTTGATTACGATTCTTATCGATTTCGGAATAAGTCTTATTCAATTCGGTGTAAATTCCATCGTAGGTGAAAAATGTCTCCATTAATTTTTCTATATTTTCTTTTAAATCTTTCAATTTTTCCGAATATTTTTCTGTTTCCTTTCTTGTTTTTTCAACGTCCGCACTCGGATCGTAGAGAGAATTTAGCCATTCAATGTAATCTGCAAACTCCCTTGAAGAAAAGAAAGAATTATTATTATTGTTAATTTCTTCCTTTATTAAATATTATTATTATTATTATTTATATAATTTTATATGAACAGGAAATTTTTGTAGATAAAAATAAATTACTCAATCAAATTATCCAGAACTTTCGTCTTGTCGGGAAAGTCAATCGTTTTCATATTATTCAGAATCGAATTCGCCTCTTGTAGTGCTTGCTCTAGACGGACCTTTTTATTTTCATTTCCATATTGAATCAATTCCAAAATCGTATCTAAAAAAGGCAAAAATTTATATTTTTTCTATTATTATTATCATTTTCTGTATATCAATCTCTGTATTAATTAATTTTCTTTTCTACAAATTAAATTTAACGAGAAAGTATAAAAATAAGAAAAACAAAAATATTTATATTCTCCAGGATGTGAATTACATTTTTCAAAAAAAAAAAAAAAAAATTAGATTAAAAAATAAATACCTTTTATCTTCTTTTTATTTTCCTCAAATTGATGTCTAAGATCGGTGACATTTTTTTCTAGTTCATCACTTTTTGTCTTCATTATTCTTGCCTCGTTCTCCTGATTCATAGCCTGTAAAGAAAGTAAATTTCAAAATTTGAAAAATTACAAATCGTTAAAAAAATTAGGAAAATTAAAAATTACCAAAAATTACAAAATTACAAAATTACAAAAAAGTTATAAACTTAAAAAGTTTAAAAAAAAGTTACACAAATTAAAAAAAATCCAAATTTTTAAAAAAATAGAAAATTAAAAATGATCAAAAGTTAGAAAATTACAAAATTACAAAAAGTTAAAAACTTGAAAAATTTCAAATCGTAAAAAAAATTGAAAATGAAAAAACAATACAAAAAGTTAGACAAAATTAAAAAAATACAAATTGTTAAAAAAAATTGGAAAATTGGAAAATTAAAAATTACCAAAAATTACAAAATTTCAAAAGGTTAAAAACTTGAAAAATCGTTTTAAAAAATTGAAAATTGAAAAAAAATACAAAAAGCTCCATGATGTTAAAAAAATACAAATTGTTAAAAATTGGAAAATTAAACATGACAAAAATACAAAATCACAAAAAGTTAAAAACTCGAAAAATTTCAAATCTTTAAAAAAATTTTAAAATTACAAAAAGTTACAAACATTAGAAAAATACAAATTTTTAAAATAAATGGAAAATTAAAAATTATCAAAAGTTATAAAATTTTATTAAAAAATTAATAAATTGAAGAATTACAAAATTAAAAAATAGAAAAATTACAGAAAGTTAAAAACTTGAAAAATTAAAAAATGGTTAAAAAACTTGAAAATGGAAAAAAATACAAAAAGTTACACAAAATTAAAAAAAATGCAAATTGTTAAAAAATTGAAAAATTACAAAATAATTACAAAAATTACAAAAAGTTAAAAACTTGAAAAGTAACAAAACGTTAAAAAAAATTGAAAATGGAAAAAAATACAAATTGTTAAAAAATTGGAAAATTATCAAAAAGTTACAAAATTACAAAATTACAAAATTACAAAAAGTTAAAAACTTAAAAAGTTTAAAAAAAAGTTACAAAAATTAAAAAAAATCCAAATTTTTAAAAAATTTGAAAATTAAAAATGATCAAAAGTTAGAAAATTACAAAATTACAAAAAGTTAAAAACTTGAAAATTAACAAAGCGTTAAAAAATTGAAAATGGAAAAAAATACAAATTGTTAAAAAATTGGAAAATTATCAAAAAGTTACAAAATTACAAAATTACAAAAAGTTAAAAATTTTAAAAATTTCAAATCGTTAAAAAAAATTAAAAATGGAAAAAAATTACAAAAAGTTACACAAAATTAAAAAAAATGCAAATTGTTAAAAAATTAAAAAATTACAAAAAGTTAAAAACTTGAAAAGTAACCGAAACGTTAAAAAAAAATTTAAAAAGGTAAAAAATACAAATTATTGTTAAAAAATTGGAAAATTAAAAATTATCAAAAGTTACAAAATTAAAAAATTGTAAAATTACAAAAACTTAAAAACTTGAAATATTTCAAATCGTTAAAAAAAAAATTAAAAATGAAAAAAAAATACAAAAAGTTATACAATATGAAAAAAATACAAATTGTTAAAAAATTGGAAAATTAATAATTACGAAAAGTTACAAAAATTAAAAAATGACAAAAATATAAAATTACTAAAAGTTAAAAACTTGAAAAATTACAAATCGTTAAAAAATATTGAAAAATTACAAATATTACAAAAATTGAAAATTACAAATTGGTAAAAAATTGAAAAATTAAAAAGTAGAAAAAGAAACAAAATTAAATAATTGAAAAATTACAAAAAGTTAAAAAATCGATAAATTACGAATTTAATAAAGAAAAAAGAAAATTTAATGTAAATTCGAAAAAAACGATATATTAAAGTTTAAAATAGTAAAATTCGAAAATTACTTTGTTCAACGATTTCTCCGAATTCCTCAACAACTTTTTAAAATCCTGAAGTGGAATTGTTTCCAATTTCTCCTCTAGTTCCGTCCTTTGATCTAAATCTTTGGAAAATATTGTTATATTTGAGTCGATGTAGAAAAGCTGTTCCCACGGTGCAGGAATCTGACCACTGGAAATATGCTCCGTCTCTGATTCCAATTTATTGGTTAATAATTCCAGATCATCCAGCAATAGTCCCGTGCAATTATCGTTGCAGGCTAGGAAAATTATTATTAGTTATTAAATTATTAGTATTATTACTATTAAATAAATATAAATTATAAATGAAAAATAAAAATTTTTCTCCTTATTATTATTATTATTATTATTATTATTAAAGTTATGATTATTATCATAATTTTACATTTATTTTTATTACTATTAATATTTTTGTTGTATTTATTTTTTCTATTTATTAATTTACTATTTTTCGTTTTTTTTCATCGTCAATTTGAGACTTACATGTACAGACATCGTCGATGAAAACGTGTCGATAGGTTGTACATTCGGAGCAATCTCTTCCCGTTGATCCTGGCTTACAATTACACTGACCAGTTTCCTGATCGCATTCGTCGCTCGCACTTCCGGCCGGATTACAATTACAGGCGGTGCAACTGCCGCCAGGAATGTTCGGAAATCCGTAATAGCCGTAGGAACATCTCTCGCATCGAGGACCAGTGTAGCCTTTTAGAATTAGGATAAAATTTCAATAAATTTCATTATTTTATAATTTTTTTATTTTATTTTGTGCTTTTGCACAAAATGCAATTTTTAAAGAAATTGAATTTAAAACTAAAAGGAAAATTATTATTGAACTGGAAGCGAATTTGTACCGTATTTGCAGCGACACACAACGTCGTTATTGTCCAAAACTTTGCAGCCGGTTGAGAATTTCTTATCGTATTGAGGACAGGGGCAAGCTTTACAACCACCGAAATTCGGATCGCCGTGGTAACTCTCGGCACAAACGTTGCAATTCGGTCCGGCTGTATTTTCTCTGCAATCCTGTGAAAATATTACAATTATTATGTTTTCTTTTGATTATTAAATATTAATTATGAATAAATTATTAATTATCAAAATACCAAAGTATTGAATTACTATTTCAAAACTTTGAATAATTTTCGAAATTAAATCACTAAATTATTAATGAATTATTAATTTTAGGAAAAAAATTTTCTATTTAAAAATACTGAAATAAAAAAAATTAAAAAATTCTTTTTTTGAAATGAAAAAATACTGGTTTTATAATGAAAAAAAACGAACCAAACAATATCCGGTTTCAATGTGGCAAATTTCGGATCTTCCGCTACATTGGCAGCGACGCGCTTTCCCGACAAGATCGATGACAATAGTGGAAATGGCAGTTGTCATGTTGTTGTTGTTGCTGTTGTTTTTGTCGTCGTGCCATCGGTAGAAGCCGATACTTGGGTCCTGGCACGAGGTGCTATTGTACTCGGGTGGACATTCGCAAATCTCGATGCCAGTCGCGAGGGGCGGAGAATGAGTGGGTGTCAGCACCGCCGCGTCCATCGATGCTTGCAACAACCTGTTACGGATAATCGAACCGGAAAATACATTATTTACATTTTTTACTCTCTTTTCGAAAAGTTAAATTATTAATCTTGACATTTTCACTGCATTGTTATTTATAACATTCGATATGCACCAAAAGAAAAAACTATTTTATCGAATTTACTGTTAATAAATATTAAATCAAAATTCAAGAAAAAAAAAATTTAATTCAAAACAAGAAAAAAAAATTACTATAAAATAATTAAATAAATAAATCAAATAAAAATAAAAGAAGAAAAGGAAATTTTGTCGAATTTTCCATATTCTAAAAATTCAAGAATTAGAACAAGAAAATAACTATAAAATTAAATAGAAATAAATTGAAAATAAAAATAAAGAACTAAATAGAAATTTAAAGTGTAATAGTGTTTCCTTTCTTTTTAATTAAAACCAATTTTTCTTTCGGATTTGACGTTAACTATTTTGCAAAAAAATACAGAAAAATATTAAAAACTTACGCCACCATGGAAAAATCGGTATAATCCGAAGCTCTTAGAAGAATGTTCTGTAGATTCTGAAGAGCGACCATCAACATTTCTCGCGTTACTTTGAAATCCGGTCGATTTTGCAGCTGCCACAAAGATTCATGAAATCTGAAAAGTAAATCACAAAAGCGTCAGAAAAATCGTTAAAAATCCAAATTAGTTTCAAAATATCAAAAGAAAAAAAAACAAAATTTTTTTTTGAAAAATTCAGTTATAAAATTATTAAAAATATTCAACATTTTACTGAATTTGTTATTTGTTTGAAATTTTTTTTGATAAAATTAATTAATTAAAAATTTGATTTCTACCTGACTTCGTAGTAATTATTATCATTATTATTATCATCTTGCAAATGATGATAATGCTCGAGAATGATTTTATTGTTGCCCTGAATTTGAACGAGAGGATATCGATAGATTGAAGGCAGAGGGTAGCCATCGTCGGAAACCGCAGTCGTAAATCGCAAGAAGCCACCGTATGAGACCACCTGGAAAAAAAATAAAAGTCTTTTGTTACAAAAATCGAAAAAAGTATTTTACAATATTATAAATAATAAAAATAGAAAATTTTTAAATTATTAATTATATTTTATAAAATATTAATAAATTTCTTTGTAATAATTTTCAAAAAAATTTAATATATAATTCTTTGAAACAATTTTCAAAAAAAATTAATATAAAATTCTTTAAAACAAATTTTCGAACTTTAATTAAATTCTTGCAAAAAAATTCAATTATTCAAAAAAAATTCTTTATATAAGAATTTAATTATTTTCAATTCAATTTTAATAAAAATTTCACGAAAGAATTCAATTATTTCCGATTTACAATTTTAATAAAAATTCCCAATTATTTTCGAATTTAGAATTTCAATAAAAATTCCTCGAAAGAATTCAATTATTTCCGATTAACAATTTCAAAACTAAAATTCTTCGAAAGAATTCAGTTATTTGCGATTTACAATTTGAATAAAAATTCCTCGAAAGAATTCGCAATGATTTTCGAATTACAATTTTAATAAAACTCTTCGAAAGAATTCAATTATTTTTAATCTAAAATTATGATAAAATTTTCCAAAATATTTACCTTATCACCTAAAAATGCTTTTGGCAATTGCCAATAAAGTGGATATTCAGGCCTGAGATTCGAGGGAAACGTAACGTCGCCATCGGTTTCCGGTATCACTGTCAATCCATTTGTTTTGTTCAAACCTCGATAAAACGTTGGTAAAATAAAAGGTGAACCATAATTTGAAACCTGGAATGAGAGTATAATCAATTTTTGAATGCACAAGAAAAAATGTAATTATAACTAAAAACAGTAGAAATAATAAAGAAAAATAGCGAGAATAGTAAAAAAAAGAGGAAATACTACAAAAATAGAAGAAATAGTACAAAAATAGTGAAAATAGTAAAAAAAATACAAAAATAGAAAAATAGTAAAAAAAAAATTATGAAAATAGATAAAAAATAGTAGAAATTGTTCAAATGTAGAAGAAATAGTAAAAAAATAGTGAAAATAAAAGGAAGATGATGAAAACAGTGAAAATAGAAGAAAAATAGTGAAAATAGCTCAAAAATAGAAGAGATAGTAAAATATTGATAAAAAAATAGAGGAAATAGTCAAAAAAGTACAAAAATAGAGAAATAATAAAAAATAGTGAAAATGACAGAAAATTAGTGAAAAAAGTAAAAGAAATAGAAAAAATAGTAAAAAAAATAGTGAAAATAGTACAAAAATAGTTAAAATAGTAAAAAAATAATGGAAATTGTTAAAAAAATACAAAAAGTAGAGAAATAATAAAAAATAGTTAAAATTGTACAAAAATAGAAGAAATAGTAAAAAAAAATAGAGCAAATAGTCAAAAAAAAATAGTGAAAATAGTACAAAAAAAAACTAATGAAAAGTTTCAAATAAAAGGATAAAATGGAAACATACGACGATATCATTGACAGTATCATTGATGTACAAAACTCTCGGTCGCTGTAATCTCCTTTGTCCCCAACTGAGACCAGCTTGTCGACAAAGTGTCGATCTCCCGAAGCAAAAGCACTCCGTGCATCCATTTGGATTATCGGCCGCAAGACCGAACGTCCCCTCAGTGCACTGATCGCATCTTCGACCAACGGCATTCTCCTGAATATCAAAATCACATCACAATTATTCACAATTATTGAACCTTTATCAATTTTTAACTCCGAACGTCGGCGCTTATTATTTCTGGGAAAAATAGTAAAAAAAATATAAGCGGATAAAAATAGTAAAAAGCAAGGTAAAAAGTATACGTTTTTTATTTTTATTTCCTACATTTTTTTCTATACTTTTTTTAATATAGTTTACTATAATAAACAAATTCAGTAAAAAAAATATAGCAAAAATATCGAGAAAAAAAAATTGAAAAAAAATATTATTCAAATTTAGTAACAAAAAATATAGTAAAAATAGTAAAAATATATAGAAAAAAAATCCAAAAACAGTAAAAAATAGTGAAAAAATGCAGAAAAAATAGTAAATTATACAGAAAACAATTGTAAAAATATGGTAAAAATAAAACAGAAAAAAAATAAAAAATAGTAAAAAAAATATAGTGAAAATACAGAAAAAATGGTATCTATGGAGAAAGAAATAGAAAATAATAGACAATAGTAAAAAAAAAATAGGATGAAAATACAAAAAAAATAGTAAAAAATGTAGAAAAAATAGTTGAAGATACAGAAAAATAGTAAAAAATTGTAAAAAAAACCAAAAATAGTAACAAGAATAGAAAAATTTTTAAAAAATGTAATAAAAAATACAGAAAAAAAACTAACAAATATAAAAGAAATCGTAAAAAATATAGTAAAAAATACGTTAAAAATAGTAAAAATATAATAAAATAACAGAAAAATAGTAAAAAAAGTAGAAAAAATTGTAAAAATAATATAGTAAAAAATACAGAAATATTAAAAATAGTAAAAATTACGGTAAAAATAGTAAAAATATTGAGAAAAAAACCCAAAAAATAGTAAAAACTACAGAAAAAATAGTAAAAAATGTAGAAAAAATTGTAAAAATAATATAGTAAAAAATACAGAAATAATAGTAAAAATGCGGTAAAAATAGTAAAAATATGGAGAAAAAAACCTAAAAAATAGTACAAAATGTAGAAAAAATTGTAAAAATAATATATAGTAAAAAATACAGAAATAATAGTAAAAATACGGTAAAAATAGTAAAAATATTGAGAAAAAAACCCAAAAAATAGTAAAAACTACAGAAAAAATAGTAAAGAATGTAGAAAAAATTGTAAAAATAATATAGTAAAAAATACTAAAATAATAGTAAAAAATACGAAAAATAGTAAAAATATGGAGAAAAAAACCTAAAAAATAGTACAAAATGTAGAAAAAATTGTAAAAATAATATAGTAAAAAATACTAAAATAATAGTAAAAAATACGAAAAATAGGAAAAAATATACTAAAAATACAGAAAAATAGTAAAAATTATGGTGAAATAACACAAAAAATAGTAACAAAAATAGAAAAAACTTTAAAAAATATAGTAAAAAATACAGAAAAAAGTGTAAAAATATAGGTAAAAAATACACAAAAAATAGTAAAAATATGGAGAAAAAACAGAAAAAATAGTAAAAAATGTAGTATAAAAATTAAAATGTAAAATATATTAGAAATAAAATTAGTAAAAAAAAAATGAACCTTGCAAGGACACTGTCCAGCCGAGTCGCAATCGCAGACACCGGACTCATTGGGACAGGGAAGCGTCCCGTCGTGATTGCAGTTGCAGGGTCGACACTTGGGGTAGCCGAAGTAGCCCCGGGCGCAGCGCTCGCACCTCCGGCCATCGAAGCCGTCCCTGCAGGGGCACTGTCCGCTGGGCGAGCACTGCGACCTGGAGGAGCCCGGCGTGCAGGCGCAGGACTTGCAGCCCACTCCCGCCTGCAGGTCGTAGGCGCCCGGTCTGCAGCGGTCGCAGTTCTCTCCCAGGGTCAGCGGCGGGCACACACAGCGGCCCGTGTCCGGATCGCATATGTGACCCACCAGGTCGCACGGGTCGCACTCTGCAAAAATTCAAAACAGTTTTAGTCTTGTTCCACTTCCAATTCTCTATTTTTATTTATTCTACTCTCTCCTATATTCTATTTTTTATTCTCTCGTAATTTCTTCTATTCTATTTTTTTATTCTTTTCTATATTCTCCTCTATTCTATTTTTTACTCTCTTGTATTTTTTTATTCTTTTCTATTCTCTTCTCTTCTATTTTTTTATTATTTTTTATTCTCTTCTCTTTTTTTTCTTCTTTTCTATTCTCTTCTCTTCTATTTTTTTTATTCTCTTCTAATCTCTTCTCTTCTATTTTTTTATTCTCTTCTAATCTCTTCTCTTCTATTTTTTTTATTCTTTTCTATTCTCTTCTCTTCTATTTTTTTACTCTTTTCTATACTCTCCTCCTTTCTATATTTTATTCTCTTCTATTTTTTTACTCTTTTTCTATTCTTATCTATAATTGTTTTTACTCTTTTCTCTACTCTCCTCCTTTCTATATTTTACTCTTTTCTATTTTTTTTATTCTTTTCCATTCTCTTCTATTCTATTTTTTTACTTTTTTTACTCTCTTCCTTTATCTTTTACTGAATTTTTTGGTTTTATTTCTAGAAGCTTTGTTTCAAAAAAATTTAATTTATTTTCCTCTATTCCATTTTTTTTCCAGAAGTTGTATTTTAAAAAAATTAATTTTAAATAAAATATTTTCCGATTCATTTTTCGTTCAGCAATGAAGGTCAAAGGTTCCGCAATTCGTTTAGCGTCCAGGGGGTCCAGATCGGCGATAAGAAAATAACAAGGATATTTAGCATACAATATATGAATCAAGAAAATGTTTAGTGGGATAAAAAAAAAGTTTAAATTCATTTTTACGTTCAAATTTTCATTTCGTTCAATATTTTTTACGTTCAAATTTCTTTTTCGCGTTTGAATTTATTCTTTTCAATATTTTTCTAAGCTTAAAATTCTATTTGTTCAATATTTTTTTTTAAATTCAAATTTCTTTTCGCTCAATATTTTTTTAAGTTCAAATTTCTTTTCTCTTAATTTTTTTTTTGCTGAATTTTATTTCCTTTACGTTCAAATTTCTTTTTTGGTGTCGAATATTCTTTTTATAAAATATATTTCTTTTTGCGTCAATATTTTCTTTTTTTCAAGTTCAAATTTTTTTTTTCGTTTAATATTTTGAATAAAAAATAGAGTAATTTGTGAAGCGATTTACCGAGACAACCGCTTTCGGAGAATCCATAGAATCTTGGCAGACAATTATCACACTTTGGACCTGCAACTCCAGGTTTGCAGTGACAAAATCCAGAAATATCGTCACACGAACCGTCTAGAGATCCTAGTGGATCGCATCCACAGGGCGAACATCCTGCGCCACTCGACAAGCCCCAATGATCGTTCTGAAAATTCAGAATTTATTTTTAAAAATATTCTTTTTTCTTGTACATAGTCAAAAAAAAAAAAATTAAATAAATAAATAAAATTAAAAAAATGAAGAAAAAGGGAAAATAAATTAAAAAAAACATTTAAAAAAAGCGATTAAATAAATAAATAAAATTAAAAAAATGAAGAAAAAGGGAAAATAAATTTAAAAAACATTAAAAAACGATTAAGTAAATAAATAAAATTAAAAAAATGAAGAAAAAGGGAAAATGAATTAAAAAAACATTTAAAAAACGATTAAATAAATAAATAAAGTAAACCCAAACAAAATAAAATAAGAAAATACATAAAAATAAATAACAAAAACTAAAAAATGATTAAATAAAGTCAAAAAAGACAAAACAATTATGTTTAAATAAAAAATATGAAGAAAAAAAAGAAAATAAACAAAAAACACTCAAAAAGTGATTAAATAAATAAATAAAGTTAATAGAAAATAAAAAAATGAAATAAATGAATTAAATAAAAATAAAATAAGCGAATAAACAAAAAAAAAAAAATAAAAAAGACAAAAAAAATTATTAACGAAAAGAATAAAGTAAAATACATAAAAAAAATAAAACAAATAAATATAAAATTCAGGAAACAATTAAAAATAGTGGAAATAGTACAAGAATAGAAGAAAATGGTAAAAAAATAGTGAAAATAGTAGAAAATAAACCAAAATAGAGGAAATAATAAAAAAAAAAAAATAGTAAAAAAATAGAAAAAATTTTTCAAACCTAGAAGAAATAGAAAAAATAGTGAAAATAATAGAAAAATTGTAAAAATAGTAAAAAAATAGAGGAAATTGCAAGAAAAAAGTAAATAAATAATGAAAATACTAAGAAAATACAAAAATAGAAAAATAATAAAAAATAGTAAAAATAGTAAAAAAAATAGAGGAAATGGCAAGAAAAAGTAAATAAACAATGAAAATAGTAAGAAAATACAAAAATATAAAAATTATTTAAAAAATAGAGAAAATAGTAAAAGAAAAAAGAAAAAGAAAAAAAATAGTAAAAGAAAATGTGAAAATAGTAAAAAATAATCAAAATAGTTAACAAATAAAGGAAATAATAATAAATAGAGAAAATAGTACAAAAATAGTAAAAAAAAAATAGTGGAAACTGCAAAAAAAAAAAAAATAAATAAATAATGAAAATAGTAAAAAAAAATAGAAAAATATTAAAAAATAGAGAAAATAGGAAAAAAATAGTAAAAATAGAGGAAATTGCTAAAAAATAGTAAATAAATAATAAAAATAGTGAAAAAAATACAAAAATAGAAAAATAATAAAAAATAGAGAAAATATGAGAAAAATAGTAAAAAAAATTAGAGGAAATTGCAAAAAAAAGTAAATAAATAATGAAAATACTAAGAAAATAGAAAAATAATAAAAAATAGAGAAAATATGAGAAAAATAGTAAAAAAAAATAAAGGAAATTGCAAAAAAAGTAAATAAATAGTAAAAATAGTAAAAAAATATGTATAAAAATTAGACGAAGAAAAAAAAATAAAATAAATAAATAGATCAAGTAAATAGAAAATAAAAAATAAAATAAACAAAATAAATAAAAATAAAATAAGTGAATAGATAAAGAAAGACTAAAAAAATTATTTAAGAAATTTATAATATACCTACTAAAATAAATAAAAAATAAATTAAAAAATAAATAAGAAAAAAATTTATAGAAAAAATTATTAAATAAATGAATAAAGAAATATGTATATAGATGAGAAAAAACTGAAAAAAAATAAATAAAAAAAAAAACTAAAAAAATGATGAAAAAAATAAAAAAAAGTGAAATAAATAAATAATAAATAATGTAAATAAATGAAAAATAAATAAATAAATACCTGACAACGATCACATTGTCGGCCAATGACGAAAGATTTACATAAACATTGACCAGTTAGCAAATCGCAACCCGAAGAAGTTGAGCCAATATTACTGCATCGACAACCTGCAATCAAAAAATAAATCTAAATACAAATATAGAAAATAGAAAAATAAACATAAAAACGAAAAATAGAAAATAAATAAAAATGTGCAATTACATAACAATATAAAAATAAATAAAAAGAAAAAAATAAATAAAAGTACCTATAAAAAAGTAAATAAAAATACAAAACTGGATAAAAATGAAAAATAGGAAAGTAAGTAAAAATACAAAAATAAATAAAAATGTAAAAATAAAGAAAAAAACGAAAATAAAATAATTAAAAAATGCAGAACTAAAGAAAAACAAAAAATAATTATAAATAAATGAAAATAGAAAAATAAATAAATTACGGAACTGAATAAAAATACAAAAATAAATAAGAGTGCAGAAGTTAATAAAAATACAGAAATAAATAAAATACAGAACCAAATAAAAATGAAAGAATAAGAAAAATAGAAAAATAAATGAGAACACGAAAATAAATCAAAATACAGAACCGACTAAAAATAAAAAAGTAGAAAAAGAATACAAAAACAGAAAAAATAAAAAAATAAGTAATAGAAATAAAAAAAATCGAAAATAAAATAAAAAATAAATTAACATGTTATTATAGTAAACAAAATAATTAACATATAGCGATACTTTTTTTCCCTCATAAAAGAAATAAAAAAAAGAAGAAAAAAAAAAGAAAAATAACAACTCCCCACTGAAAATGACACTTAGATTTATGAACATATCTATATACACGTGTTCAATCCCTGCAATCATCTCATTACAAAATTGAATTATATATTTAACAAATTTATCTCCGCTCTCGCACATAAGCGTCGTCGACGCGGTCGACCTCTTTGCGTATATATCGTTATATACAAGGAGGCAGGCAAAATCGTACGTGCGATTTTTCAAATTGTTATAAACATTAAAGGAAGTTGTGACATGATAATAATGTTAAATCATAATCTTTATATTTATAATACATTATTATTTCTTGCTCAATTCAACGAGAGGGAGACAAGTCCTCTCTTTTCTCTCATGCTCATACTCTAACAAGTAGTGCAATCCTTTCTTGCTCAGACGTCAGCTTATCATTAAATGAACGATTTATGTTCCTCAGTTGTTTTTCTTTTTTTTTCTCTTTTTATTTTTTCAAATCTTAAATGATGATCGGATTAAGAATTAAATACTTTTTGCGCGAATGGAAAAAAAGAAAATTGTACGATAAATATTTTTTTTAAGTGACATAAATTTTTTTCAGTGTGAATATTAATTAAATTTAATTAATAAAAAAAAAAATTTTTGTCATCTTATTTTTATTCGTAGGTATTTTATGTATAATGGTTTGATCCAAATCTCATTTTTATCTCGAAATTCTCATGCTGGTATGTTTTTTTCTACTTTATTATTTTTGTTTTTTCTCGACGAAAAATTTTCTCATCTGTCATATTATATTTTTTAGTCTTGAAGAGTCGTAATATCACAACGAAATGCATAGATGAATTCGAATTTTTAAATATATGAAAATTCTTTTGTGAACAATAACCGTTCTTTTCTTTAATAGACCAAAGGCCACGAAAATTTTTTTCTTAATTTTAACAATAAGGTCTACAACATTCACTATTTAATTAATAAAATTAATTAGTTAATCTTCAGTTCAACATTTTTGTTATTTAGTTTTAGAATTATATTTTAATAAATGTTTACAAGCACTTTACAAGTCAAGCAAGACGAGACGAGCGAGACACTAATAGGTTATGTTTACAAATCGTAGCTTCGTTCTCCTCCACTGTTGCCAACCTTGCCATACTTGCCAATCGACGTTTTAAGTGCTATTCACATTCCCCGTTGTTTCAATTTTTATTATCAATTATTTCCGAATTTCTATTGACTTTAGGCATAATTCTTATGTAGTTTTGACTTCTTTCAATGTCTTTTCGATACTTAATTGTATTTTAAGACTCTTGGGACTATTTATAAGGTTTTAAAATAAAATATTACTTGAGGTCAGAGCTTTAGGCGTTCTACCTACCCAACCCTGGTTCGAAGTGACAAGTAAGCATGACAAACGGAAAAAAGGGACAAAATAATAAAAAATAATTTTCTAGTCTCGTAATGAGTGTAAAACAATAAAAAAAACATAATTTTCCGGTACTTTTCCCCAAAAGAGTCACGGAAAATAATAAATATCTCATTATCAATATTGATTGATCGTAAAAAAAATTTCTTGACCGTTAACGTTAATTGGTAAAAAAGAAAAATGAAATACCGACAAAAAGTGCTATCTGGTGGAGAGTATGAAAAGTTCAATTCAATTTCTTTTTGTTTCTCATGTTCGATGTTCCCGAACTGAATCCCGATCGTGATGAGTAGTCCTGCGGACGAGTCTAAAACGAATTGAGTTTTGCGCGTAATCGTTGCGGCAATTTATCGGTCAATAAATCGGTAAGTGGTCAAAAGGTATCACTTTACTGCGCGTAATATGCTACCTTTAGCAAAACAGAAAAAAAACAAAGTTGCACGTAACGTTTCGATTTTACAGAAGACCGAAAATTATCCCGGAATTTTTTATTAACCTCGTGCCACGCCACTCGCGCACAACAAATGAGACATTACCGTGGTGAGAATCAATGATTAAATTGCGCCTCTTTTGCCATCACTAATACCGACCGTTATTCTCGTTAAATACACAAATTTCGCCTCTTTCGTGTCGCTCGTGAAATTTAAAAACCAACCAATCGAAACATAACCTCAAAATTTTTCCCATTTTCTACTTTTTCCACGAATCTTTTCAAACATTTCTCCTACAATAGAATTCCATAAGTCAGTGACGTATACAGACAAGGTTTTTAGGAGGGGACATAAAAAGCAATAAAAAAATACATAACCTCAAAGTTTTTTAAATTTTCTCTTTACTTCTTTGTTTAATAACTTTCCAAATTGAAAAAAACTTTGAAAAACCGATACATTTATATAAAAAAGTAACAATAAAGAAATAAAAATAATAATTAAAAATAAATAAAAATAAATAAATAAAAATGAATAAAAATAACAAATGAAAATAATAAAATAACAAATAAAAAAGTAAAAAAAAAGATGAAAAGTAATAAAAAAGTGCAAATTAGACTAAATAACAATTAGAGTCAGTGAGCAAAAAAAAACTATCCCCGCTTAATTAAATTTTTTTTTCGAAATTGATCCCACGGGAATTAATTTCTTTCTCTATAGGAGAAATATAAATATATTATGCAAAGTTGAAATTATCGTTGACAATTTAAGGCTCATATAGAAAGGTAATGTGTATAATTTTCTTGTGTACGTGTGGGGAGGGTATATATGTATATATACACGAAATAATAAAAATATTTTAACGACGTTGTGCTACGCTACTGGGTATATGAGACATGCGTGTTTGCGTGTTTTTCTTCAACGCACGCACGTTATTAAACCAAGGCCTGGGTCGCTCTAGGCAAATTACAAACAAGAAACAAATAATCCGCAAAAGAATCGAGTTGCTTCGAGAGCCCACACAACACGTGGTTTATAAGTTGATTGAAAACTTATAATTAATCGAGTGCCATTTTTATTAAGTTCTATTCAATTTTTTTTTATTTTATTTTTTGTAGTTTCTTTTTGAAAGTGTCCTTTCGAGTGTAGGTATTAATTCACAATCGGGAATTCAAAAAACAGTGTTAAAAATTCGAACAAGGAATTTTTTTGTTTCATCACAAAAAGGTTATTTTTTTTAGAATCTGAGCTATAGTGTTTTAATAACACGATTTCTATATTTAATCACAAAAAGGGTATTTTTGTAGAATCTGAGCTACAATGTGTTTTAATAACACGATTTCTATATTTAATCACAAAAAGAGTATTTTATAAATTTTTTTATAATAAATTAATTTACACTCGTGAATTCAAAAAACACTGTTAAAAATTCGCACAAGGAATTTTTTTTGTCTAATCACAAAAAGGTTATTTTTTTTAGAATCTGAGCTACAATGTGTTTTAATAACACGATTTCTATATTTAATCACAAAAAGGGTATTTTTTTAGAATCTGAGCTACAATGTGTTTCAATAACATGATTTCTATATTTAATCACAAAAAGGGTGTATCAATTGCGCATTCATTAATTTTTTTAAAGTAAAATAAATTATTATTATTCAATATGTAATGACTGAAACGAAAAAAATTATAACAAGTCAGTGAACGACGATTCAATGGATTGTTAATGAATTAAAGTAAAATTAAAATTTTGAGTTATAGACTTGTTTAGAAAAAAATTATTACCTTTTGTTGTTGATTTATATTTATAAAAAGAAGAAACATAATTTATACTTGTCAATTTATTTTAAGTTTTATATTAAAATTATGTAAATTTTTATTAAAATCGAAATAAAAGGTAGAATCTTCACAACTAATTGTTGATTAATACAGAAAAATTATTTTTTTTATTATTAAGTTTGAAGAAAAATTTTCAAAATGGGGAAAAAAAGGCTCGTGAGTGAAAAATAGGTTTGGCTTTGCGAGATTTATTCCTCTTGTGCGTGTAGAAATTGTAAGAGTAAATTGTTGTAAATTGTTCGAAATAAACAGACTCGTGATAAAAAGTTTATGGCTCTTTTTAATTCACGCGAGAGCGACTGTTAAGCCATGCATGTACACAAGACCACTGATAAGGTTCGCTTACAACACACTCTCTATATTTTTTGCTTTCTTTCTTTCTTTTTTTTATATATTTAAAGCCGTTTTTGTATACAACTAGACACGAATAATATTTTTACACCTTTTGGCAAATTTAAGTATTTAATTTTAATACTTAATATAAATCTGTTTATATTTAACATTCTAAGTTAATAGTTAATATATAAAGTATATAATAAAATTTCAATAAGATTTTATATATTTAAACGGTGTAAGTGGTTCGCGCGCTCGACATGCGCGGTAAAGGTATAACCTATGATTTTTTGCTTCTAATGTATCTAGGTATCTTTCTTCAATGCCATTTTCTTCTTTTTTATTAT